ACCCGTCGTCGTCTTTGTTACCATCCGGCGTCCAAATAGATTATCAGCCCCCACCCTCCTTGTTTCCTCCTCCTCCTCCCCCTCCTCCCCCTCTCCCCTTCGCGAGGTTCGAACGAAGAAGAAGACGACAGAACAGGACAATGTATCGGGCAACACCACGGACGTTACAAACGACACACTCCATCATCCGCAACACAATCAGCCGTTCCTCCCACGCCCACTCCCACTCCCGCTCCCGCTCCCTCTCCTTCTTCGCCCATCCGACCCCTCATGCTTCTTCTTCGCTGAGATCGTCGTCGGCGCCGTCGTCCATGTACCTCCGTCGTCTGCCTGCCGCCGTCGCCGGAAGCCTCGCCGTCGGCTACGGAGCCTGGTACCTGGGAGCAGGAGGCGCCATCAACCCGCTGGCGTACCTGACCCCCTCGACGCGGAGCTACAGCGTGCCCCCCACCGGCGGTGCCACCGGAGCTTCTTCCTCCGCCCTTCCTACCAGGACCGTTCTCGTTGTGGGAGCAGACGAGCTGCGGCAGGGTACCGTCGTCGGGGAGGGCCCCATATCCAAGGTCGTCGGCGGAGCGGGCGACGACGCGAACCGTAAGATTGTCGAGATGCTCACGCCCGAGCAGGCCACGCAGAAGCTCCGCAAGCTGGAGCAGTCGTACCTCGTCAGCAGGGGTGAAGGCGTCATCCGGTACGATCTGGTCCAGCTGCCCAGTAACGACCCCATCGAGGACGATCACGCCGAGAAGATTGTACAGGTTCCCGGGAGGTCGGCAGGGAATGCCGATAACGACTGGATGTTTTGGGGCGTGTTTGACGGCCACTCGTATGTTCCATCCTCCCACTCTCTGCTTCGCTCTGCTCTTCTGCCATGCTTTTTTCCCACTCTTCACTTCACTCCACTTCCTGCTGTCGGCTCCATATATACTAATAGTCTCTTCATCGACAGCGGCTGGACAACGTCCGCTACCCTCCGTGAGAACCTCATCAACTACGTCGCAACCGAACTAAACGAGACGCACAAAGCGGCTGCCAAGGACGGCGCCCCCACCCCGGACGCCATCGACCTAGCCATCAAGACCGGCTTCGGCCGCCTGGACGACGAGATTGTCCACAAGAGCGTCGAGAAGGTCATCAAGTCCAGCTCCAAGAACGTCGCGGCGGAGCTCCTGCAGCCGGCGCTATCCGGCTCCTGCGCCCTGCTGTCCTTTTACGACTGTCGTACCAACCTCCTCCGCGTGGCGTGCACCGGTGACTCGCGTGCCGTCCTGGGACGTCGCTCCAAGTCCGGATCGGGCAAGTGGACTGCCTCCCCGCTGTCAGATGACCAGACGGGTTCCAACCCGCGCGAGGCGGACCGCATGCGTCGCGAGCACCCGGGCGAGGAGGCCCACGTTGTGCGCAACGGCCGCGTCCTCGGCGGCCTGGAGCCCACCCGCGCCTTCGGCGACGCAGTCTACAAGTGGTCGCGCGCCACGGCTAACCAGCTCCGCGAGAAGTTCTTTGGCCGCACCCCGTCCCCCCTGCTCAAGACCCCACCCTACGTGACGGCCGAGCCGGTCATCACCACCACAAAGGTCAACCCGCAGGACGGCGACTTCCTCGTCCTGGCGACGGACGGTCTCTGGGAGATGCTCACGAATGAAGAGGTCGTCGGCCTGGTGGGCCAGTGGATCGACAGCCAAAAGGCGGCCTCCGGTTCTTCTTCCGGCTCCACCCTCGAGTCGGCATGGTCCAAGTTCTTCGGTTCCGCGCAGAAGCCGCTCCCCGTCGAGGACAGAGACGCCGCTGCCGCGTCTGGTGCGTCGGGATCCAACGGCCAGAAAACCCCCATCCGTCTTCAGCAGTGGGGTATCGATCCCAACGCCAAGGACCGCTTCGTCGTCAAGGACAAGAATGTGGCTACTCATCTTGTTCGCAATGCCCTGGGTGGCACTAATGATGAGCAGGTCTCTGCTCTACTTACACTTCCTGCCCCCTTCTCCAGGAGGTATCGGTATGTTTCTCCATCCCTTACAAGAGCAACTTCCATCATCAGAGAAGAAGAAGAAGAAGAAGAAAAATACAGAGAGCAGAAAACAGAGAAGAGCAGAACGAGAAAGAAGAAGAGCTGACGAGAGAGTATGTAGCGACGACCTAACTGTCCAAGTCATCTTCTTTGGCAACGGCGCCAAGACAGGCGATGTGGTGCTCAACCCCGAGGCCAGTGCCGACCAGACGCCCAAGGCTAAACTGTAGGGATATAGAATCATGGCGTGGGGGTTGAGCCTTGTTGTATTCTTTTCTTTTGCCTGGTTGTCTACTATGACGAGTACGGATACCGGTAGCAGTGCAAGTAGTATAAGCGGTAATGGCTCTCCATTCTGGCGGCGCTTACCTTGGAGAAGAAGAATGAGGCAACGTTGCAAGAGTGCGGGGTCGTTTATTCAGACATTGTTGTCCGTGTCGATACCGGCGGTACCGGGAGCAGACTAGAGAGCAAAGTAAGTGGTGTTTTAGCGGGCGGTACTTGTTTGGTTCTTGGCTTTGGCTTTTGCGTTCGGTTTTGGCTTGTTTTCTTTTTTTATCTTGTACAAATGCATCATGTTGTATTATTTTATAAATGCGCTGTGTATGATGCAAAAGAGACATGTCATTCCGGGGGGAAAGGGGGGTATAATATGTCATGAAGTGACGGAGATGTGCGTGCGTGTGCGTGTGTGTGTGTGTGTGTGAGCGAGAGAAGAGGGAGGGAGAGAACATGTTCACGGATTCTCCTTTGGCCAAAGTAATTTTCTCTGCTTGAGACCCCTCAGCATGGTGCAGAAGACGAGGATCCAGACGACGACGAGAGCCACCGTCATGACGATGCCGAACACGCGTATGCCGTGTGAGTCGAAGACCTTGCCCATGGCCTCTGTGGCGGTGACGAGGGCGGTGTTGGGGAAGACAAAGGACCACCACGTCATCTGGAAGGGCAGGTGGTGGCCCGGGCGAGTGTACTTCCACAGCGAGCCCACGGAGACGAGGAAGAACCACATCGACAGCCCCCACATCCACAGGGAGACGAGGAGGCTGACGACGCGGACGATCTGGATGGCGTGGGTCGGGTCGAGGGCGTCGGGGAAGGTGATGATGTCTGCCTCGTTACCGATCTGGAGGAGACCTGCTGCCGTGAAGCCGTAGGGACCGATGGCCATGAACTATCACCAATAATTTTGTTAAGGAAAAATGCAAATAAACAAAAATAAAAAGTGGAAGGGGGCAGGGGAGGGGGGAGGGGGGAGGGTGGAGAAAAAGAAGGAAAGCAAAAAGAAGAAATGAAATGAAACGAGATGAGATAAGAAAGGAAAGAAAAAAGAAGCCTACAACACCAGGACGTTGCATGTCTCGAGGCAACTTCTGCGTCATGAGACGATATAAAAAGGCGGCAGAGATCATGAAGGCAATCAGACAGCCTGTTCCCTGGGTGGTGACGGCGCAGAAGAAGACGGCTGTGTAGTTGAGAGAGACGTCGTCGGTGGACGATTGTCGGGTCGAGGCGATGAGCTGGGCGGCAAAGGGGGCGGTTAGGAGTAATGGGTAGGCGGGGAAGACCCAGGTTGGCGTCATCATGTGGATGGGGAAGATGCTGTTTTGTGTCAGAGCGGAAGGAGTCATATTCATATTATATATATATATATATATGTGTGTGTGTGTGTGTGAGAGAGAGAGAGAGAGCACTGACAGTGTTGACCATAGAGTGAGATATATGCCTGCACAGGCAATTGTGCTGAGACCGGCATAGACCCAGAACATGACTTCCATGGTCTTGGAGAGCCACGGACCGGCGGAAGGGATTCCATATGAGCAGATTCCGATGAGGATGGTGCCCATGCTAGGGAGCTGGTGAGTGTGTGTGTAGTGTGTGCGTGCGTATCATTCAAAAGTGAGCAAGGTCAAACTTACGATACAACCTATAAGAACAAGTTAGGATGGAGGGGAGACTATGAGGCAGGACGGATAGAGTAAAGGTATACCGACAAATGCTGGAGTAAACAGAGATTCGATCTGATCGGTAAAGGAGTTGGTAAAACTTCCGGGGCGGAGATAGAAGCGCATAGATATGAGGGCGCAGTTCATGAGGAATAGGCAGATGTTGAGCAGGAAGAAGAAGAGGCCGACCCCCACAAGCCAGTCCGGTTGGGAGGGTACTGATCGAGGAGTGAAGTTAGACTCTCCGCCCTCATTGAGAAATATATTGCTGGGATGGGATGGGTACATACATGAACGGATGCAATTGGCGATACCCCCTGTGGCCATGGTCTGAAAGTTGACATGTTAGCGCGTTGCGGAGAAGGACCTAGCGTATACGAGACAGCCAGAGAGAGAGGAGAGAGAGAGAGAGAGAGAGAGAGAGAGAGAGAGAGGAGAGAGAGAGGAGAGAGAGAGAAGCTAGAGCAGTGACCTCACCATTGTGAAATATGTCCACTGATAACAGGCGATGCGGTCTTTGAGGCTGACCTTGTCAGCTGCGCCCATCTTTCCAATCCGAGATACCAGTCCGTCGAGGTTTGTGCCGTTGTCGACGAGTATCTGCGACGCATGATTCACATTTGTGACGCGACGTGTCGGTCCCGGCCTCGGCGGAGTAGCAGCGACGGCAGCAGCAGCGTCGCGATTATTACTATTACTACGATATTGCCGGCCCCCCCGTCCGTCCTCCTGCTGCTGAGGTTGGTGACCTCTGTTCCGTGGCTGCGGCGATGCGAGGTCCGAGGAGGAAAAGTAGTCGACCTGACCCTCGTGCATGGGCGACTCATAACCGGCGGACTGCACGCCGTTCTGACGAGTCGGGGTGGGAGGTCGTGTTGGGAAGGGAGTGATGACGGGGGTGAAGGCTGATGATGGAGGGTTGGCACCAGCAGCCGCAGCAGCACCGCCAGCGCCAACGCCGGCGCCGGCGCCGGTACTGTCTACTACCACACGAGAGTCGGAGGGGGCCATGACGGCGCGGCGGCCGTGTCGTCGAGGAAGAAGTCCTCCCCTCTCCGGGCGAATAGGCGGGATACGCAGTACAATGGTACCAAGGTGCTGGGATCGATGTGGGCGAAGGCGATGTTGACGTAGACGAGGTGAATGACGAAGACGAATTGATGGAGGATGAGCGAGCCTAGATTGTGGAGAGGCATGGCTGTGGGGAGGGGGTGGTCAGGATGATGTATAAAAAGACGCGTATGCAAGAGAAGATGGGATTAGGCAAGAAAGAGAGAGGAGGGAGAGAGAGAGAGAGAGAAAAAAGAAAAGAAAAGGAAAGGGGACCAGAGATGATAGGACGGAACGGGACGGAGGTTGCGGAAACAGTCAAGTATTATGGCATATAGAATAAGTAAGTTTATTTTTATTTTATTTCAATGTCCCCCCTTCTTTTCTCCTTGAGAGATGTGCCATCCATAGCGCCGAGTTTGGCAATATGGAAGAGTAAGAATGGAAGAATGGAGTATCATAATAATCCTCCTTGGGGGGGGGGGAGAAGAACGGGGAGGATGGGAAAGAAGTGACGTCGTTTTCTTTGTTGGTAAACTTGGGGAACGAGATGAGTAGGCGGGAATAACCGATGAGCTGCGTGGTGGTGGGTTGTATCATCAGCGGCAATTGCAGCTGCAGTAGGAGAACATCTGCGAGTGTTTGCCATCGCAGTATAATATCACATAGCACACATAGGCCAACTAGGCTTTGCCATGCGGGAGGGCGTGCTGAAGATGGAACTTGTGAAAACCGAGCAAGGCATCAGAGAAATCTTATATCAGCACATGATGAGTACAGGTGGCCTGTCTCGAAGAATACCCGTACACACAGAGAACTGCAGTAAAGCATGCCTCTTATCAGTCCAAGTGGCAAGTGAGGAAAGTGCGGTCGGCCTTGGGGCACCTGCAATACCAATACCGTAATTTCATTACAGTAACAATGAATGTCACTATCGTAGAGCCTAGCAGCAGTGGCATTCAATGCCTAATCCTAATACCTGTAGCCTGTAGCCTGTAGCCTGCAGCCTGTAGCCTGCAGCCTGTAGGTACATGTGGCTACTGTAACTCCCACTGTCGGCTCCCACTGATGATATGTATAATCGTACTCCGTATATTATTACAGATTACACATACCTATGCCCCGCCATTCCTCCCGACTCCACCTCTTCTTCACCTGTCAGCGTATTCCCTCGCCGACCGAGGAACACGTCTACTCGTACATGTATATATATGCATGTACACCACCGCCACCGTCACCATCACCGCCACCACCCGCGCAGCCTGATATCCATCCCTCGACCTCATCACATCCTCGGCCCGCCCAAGCCGCAACATTTCCGAGCATGCCATTGCTCTCGACGGGCTCGACAGGTACAAGCTCGACAAGCTCGACAACGACAGCATAGCTCTCTCTCTCTCTCTCTCTCTCTCTCGCGCGCGCGCGCGCCTGTCCGCCCACCTCATGTCCTTCACAAACACCCCCGTGACGCGGCTGCTGGTCATCGCCGTCGTCGCCGGGTCCATACTCGCCAGCATCGTCGACGCCAAACACTACTTTTACATACTCATCGACCTGCACGTGTGGCGGTACCGTCAGCTATGGCGCCTCCTGACGTACCAGCTCTGCTATACCAACTCAGCCGAGGTGCTGTTCGCCGTCATGACACTGTACAATGTCCGCACCGTCGAGCGCATGTGGGGTTCTAGCAAGTATGCCGTATGTCTCACCTCTCCCTTTCTCTGCACATCACCCCCGACTCCCCTCTTGCTGACCTGGCACAGTCCTTTCTTGCCGTCTCCTTCCTCGTCACCTCGACGATCCCCCCGCTCGTCATGGCGGTCCTGCGTCCCCTGACGGCCGGCCTGACAAACTACATGCCCGCCGGTCCCACGCCGGTGATCTTCTCGGTCCTAGCCCAGTACCATGCCATGGTGCCCAGCATGTACAAGTACCGCATCGCCACGTCGTCGGGCAGCGTGACGCTGTCGGACAAGTCGTACCGCTACGCCGTTGCCGTGCACCTGTGCCTCCTCCAGTGGCCCGGGTCCCTGGTCGGTGCCGTCGTCGGCTGGGTGGTCGGGTACGCCTGGCGCGAGGGGCTCCTGCCCACGGCCCTGGTGCGCTGGCGCGTGCCCGGATGGGTCCTGGGACTGCGGGCGCAGAGGCATCGCGGCGAGTTCGAGGGCCTGAGGAGGCGTCTGGAGGAGGAGAACGGCGGCGGGGGGGGCGCCGTGGCTACCGGCATGCAGGGGCGGGAGCCGGACCAAGGGACCGAGAGACGGCGGACGATGGGGCAGCAGATTATGGCGCAGATTCGGGATACGTTATAGCTGGACGCGTTCACGTACGGGTACATGCACGAGTCCGACCGAGTATGATGCAGGTATGCACCTCTATTACTTCCAGGACGCTGGGGGGGGACAATGACACAAACGTCACATCCACCCATGAATGAGGCTGCGGGTAGTGACATTACCTGTAGAGACGCAACGTGTGGCGGTACGGGTACGTCATAACGCGTGATGAGGACAGTCGAGGAATTGATGGGGGCATGCATCCAATGTCGTCATGGTATCTCGGAAGAGAAGGGCAGACGGGTATGACAAGAGGCTGTCCCAGTAATAATACTGTACTGGTGGACCGTGACCGTGGTACATTGTTATAATCCACGCAAGTATTACTCCGTATTGTATACAGCCTCAAGTTGGTGGCTGTTGGTTGCTGAATAAGACTACGTTGGCTCAGAGCAAGCACATGGTCAGGGATGGGGGCTGTGGGTCGCATTGACGAGGCCCCGAATGAACAGGTCTATGCAATCATTGCGAGTACTCCTACGGGTAGCCATCGACCGTAACATCATCATCTACTATCATCCTGCTGGGAGAGAGAGGAAGCGAGTAGAGAGGCACATAGAGCCTTTCCGTCTTCCCGTGCTCAGGTCAGCATCTGTCCAGTGACGCCTCCTTTTTCTTCCCTGCAACTCAACTTGTGCTTATTACATACTTGGCTGAGTATCAAAGTATCGATAAATTACCAGCTAAGGCTAAGCCTCTCTGCCCAGTCGTAAGTTTCAAGTATCTGTACATGATCCGTACTCATATAATAGACTAGCAGAAGAATAGGTAATAATAGCAATGACATTAATGGAATTAATGGATAGTACGGAGTATCAGATGGATGGGTACATGACTCATCGTACCTGTCTCTACCTATTACAGGTAATAATCGGTGCAGTGCTACCCATCAACACTGAGCAGCCTCTGTACCTGTTCCTGTGCCTGTGCCTGACTCCCCAAGTTCTAACCGCCGATCCCACAAGCCATTGCCAGACCCTTGTCCGCTCCCCCCCTCTCCCCTCTCAATCCAGCCTCCTCGATCCCAGATCACAGAAATTACGGCACTCTGTGCCTGTTAATTTCAGATTCGAATTTTCCCCTTCCATACAGTTGTTTTCTCCTCTCGATTCTTTCTTTTCTTATTTTGACCCTTCTTTCTCTCCCTCTCGGCGACACGCATATGCGACACGACCTTCTGGTCATAAACCCCCCCCCTAACGTCTCCTGTTCCTTAGCGGCACGCGTCCTGATAGTCCATTTTACGAAATAGGGGCACTGTCTAACCACCACCCACACCCCCCCCCCCCCCGGCCCAAGTGCGCAAAACCACCACACACACCCACGCATGATCGTCTCCTCGACCCAAACAACCTCTCTCTCTTTTATGCTTGATTCTGTTTAATGCCCTTGATGAACCTGGACGCGACATAACGAACAGACGGTCTTCCCTTCTTCCTCTTCTCTCTCTCTCTCTCTCTCTAAACGTTCACGCACACGCACACACACGAACATGAACGGTCACGCTAGTCGGCCAAGCGCCGACGATTATGGCCCTCCGCCACCCTCCGCCCTCGATCCCAAGGGCAGCGTCGTCGTCGATGCGTATGAGAGAGATATCATCAATGGATTCGAGAAGGATAGGCCTCTCTACAATGCTGTAAGTCTCGGAGGTCACGGAGAGAGGGAGATTCCAGCGAATGATCGTGACGATGCTGACGCCTCCCTGCCCGTCAACCTAGGCAAACCCCGAGCGCACACAGAGTTCAGCACACGTCGACCTCAAGGACCCCATCCAGATCCATCTCCTGACCGAGACGGCCCTGTCCGACAGCAAGGAATATGAGATCCTGTCGCAGGAGGAGATTGACGGGCTCAAGAAGCAGTGTCAGCTGATAACGCAGCGCATCGAGTCCACCCGTTCCAACCTGCTCATCCAAGCCAAGTACCGCGACGCCGCCGTGTCCATGGTCCGCCTGTACTCGCCCACCCTCAAGGGTGACCAGGACGGCAACATGGCCTCCTCGGCCGAGGACGACGCCCGCCGTGAGGAGGCCGAGGCGGAGCGCGAGGCCTGCGAGAGGAAGTGCGAGGACCTGGCCGCCGAGCTGTTCCATCTGGAGAAGCGCATCATGGAGCCCAAGCGCCGCCTGCTGGAGCATACCGCCGGCGTGCTGCAGCTCACCCATCGGGGTCCCGGGAGGGGCAGGAGGGGCGGCCCCGACGGCCAGCCCGCCAACGGCGTCGTTCCGGGGAGCCCGGAGAGCATGTACACGTACAACCAGAGCCGGAACAGCCTCGACGGCCCAGACGACTTCTACACCGACGACACCAGCTTCACCGGCATCGAGCCCATCGACACCAGGGGCCCCCGCAAGAACCCGCTCGAGATCCCCCTCAAGTCGCCCAACCGCGAGAACAGCAACATGCGCGAGATGGACCGCCTGCGTGACGAGAACCGCGTCCTCATGGATGCCGTGGCCGAGATGGAGGCCAAACTCGAGGGTCTCAACGGGTCCCTGCGTGAGACCATTGTCCGCTTCAACCCGGAGGGCAACAGCGAGTTCGAGGGCCCGCCCACGGCCTCCCAGTTTGCCCTGGATCAGCTGAAGCCCGGGCAGATGCTCAGGAACCAGGTAGAGTACCTCGAGAGCGGGCTGGTGGCGGTCCAGGCCGAGCAGGAGACGCACCTAGAATCGCGGAGCCTAGGCCTAGGTCTAGGCATCGGCGGCGGCGGCGGCGGCGGCGGTTCGTCTGTAACGGAGCAGGAGCTCCAATCCCTGTGGGACGTGATACAGAACGGGTACGCCGCCATCAAGACGCAAAAGGAGGACCGGCGCCGGGCGCGGGCAGACAAGGGCCTGGAGGACGACGAGTCGGACGATGAGGGCATCGACCTGTCCGAGACGTACTCGCTGGCCAACTTCTCGTCGCGGGTGCGGTGGCTGTACCGGCAGGCGACGGTGCTCAAGGACCAGCGGGCGGTGCTGCGTCGGCAGATCAAGCAGCAGCGCGAGCTCAACAACAAGTCGGACGCCGAGAAGGACGCCGAGCTGGCGCAGAAGCAGGAGGACCTGGACCAGTCGGAGCGCGAGGTGGGCGAGGCGCAGAGGATGCTCAGCGAAGCGCTGGAGGACCTGGAGCGGGCGCGCGAGGACGCGTTGCGGGCCAACGCCGCCGCCGCGGCCGCGGCCGACGCCACAACGTCGTCATCGTCTGCCGACGCGGACAAGATGCACGCGCTCGAGGAGAAGATGGGGCTGATGCAGCGCGAGCTGGACGAGACGTCGGGCGCGAGCGAGGACATGCGGCGACGGCTAGCGCAGGTGGACGCTTCGATCGGCAACCTGAGCGGGCAGCTGGACGAGGCGCTCACGTCCCGCGACGCGGCGGCGGCCGAGGCGGAGCAGCTACGGATCGACGTGGAGAACCTCCGCGAGGAGATTGCGCAGAAGACGGAGGCTCTGCAGGCGCAGGAGAGGGAGAACGAGACGTTGAGCCTGACATGCGCGGAGCTCAAGACGGAGGTGACGCTGGCGCGGGCCGAGCTAGACAGCGCGTACGGGTCCCGAGCCGAGCGAGCCAAGGACCTGGCGGCGGCGCAGTCGCACAGCGAGGCGGACCGTCTGCGCGAGGAGCTCACGCGCACGGTCATGGACCTCGAGAAGGTGACCAAGGAGACGATCGCATCGGAGCGCGAGAGGCTCGACATCGAGGTCAAGCTCGACGACGCCCTGGCTGCCAGGTCCGAGCTGCAGGCCGATCTGGCCTCGCTGCGGGAGCGGCTGGACGAAGAGGTGACCAGGTCCCGCGACAAGATCGCCCAGCTGCAGGAGCAGCTCGACACGGAGAAGCTGCACGCCGGTCGGGGCGGCACCGGCAGACCGGGTGCCGGTGCGGCCGTGCTGAGCGAACAGTTTAGAGCGCATATGCGTGAGGAGAGGAAGAAGTATCAAGAGGATATGAAGGTTAGTTTTTTCCCCTCATGGCTTTCTACTCCCCCCCCCCCCCTTTTTTTTTTCCCCTTATCATTCCTTCGACTTCTTCATCACTCCCTCCTCAACTTTTTTTTACTATTCTTTCTTCTTGCCACCCCCCTCCCCCCCCGTTTCCCCATCTTTCCTAAGTACAGTACTAACAAAACATAGGAGGAACGGGCTCGTTACAGAAAACTAGAAGAGGAACTCGGTCGTATCAGACGCGCTCAAGGACCGGGTAAGAGTCCTCTTAGTCCGAGGGTACCTCTTAGTCCAGCACCTCTGAGTCCGAGGGTTTAGTGACGCTTAAGGACCACTCGACTGTTTTTTTCTTTCTTCTTTCTTCTTCCTCTTCATATATTCTCCCGTGTCTTTTTTCTTTTTTTTCTGAAAGTCTTCACCCTCTGGGTCTATATATATATATATATATCTTCTCTTCTTGTATGCATATTAGATATTGGAGTTTTTTTAGATGGGTACGGGACAGTACATCATGTCAAATCAATTTTTGCTTTTTTTTCTCTTCCTTTTTTTGTTTTTTTATCCTTTCCTTCCCCTATCCAAATCTGTGTCACTGTAGTTGATGTCAATGTAGTAGTAGATGATGACAGAAATGGGGAGATAGACAGAATAATATCCGGCATGACGGTGTAACCCTCGATCGAACAAGCAGGAATTCAAGTTCACGGAACAAATCAAACTGGCACTCACACACGGACGGACGATGACAGGTGAAGACGAATGCATCGCAAGGCGCGTCGAATAAGCTTCTCTCATCACGGCATCAAAGTCTTATCGGCACTAATGATCAAACGTAGTCTCGGGAGCACTTTCAACTCCTGGATGTCGATGAATCACAGCATTCACAGAACTTTGACATCCAAGGAATAATTCGAGAGAAATACAGCCATTCACATGTTTCACAGAACAAGACAAAACACACGCACTGCAGAGACTGCAGAGCAAAACGCTTTCTATATGTAAACAGGTAACCCTGTGGAGAATATCTAAAATACACCAAAACACCATGACGAGAGAAGTAGAAAAAAAAGCAAATATGTACTCCTCCAATTCTCAACCCGTTTTTTTTTCCGAMAGGAAAGGAAAAAAAAAAAAAAAAAAAAARWAAAAAAWACCCAAGTGAACGACTGAGCAAAGTTAAGAGACGAAGAGTAGAAGAAATTCTAAAACCAAAATGATAAAAATTGAACCGATTGTAACCAATTGTTGAAAACAAGAAAAAAACGCCTTAATTGTAAATGCATAGCAACAGAAAAAGAGACCAGAGTGAAAAATTAAGAGGAGAAAAGAATTTCCTCATATAAAAAGATGAGACTTTTTTTTCCTGGAGGAAAAACGATGTTGTAGTCCGTAATGTAACGTTAAGTCGGGTATTATAAAAAAGGTATATATGTTCGAACAGTGTTTTTGAGAGGGAAAAGAAGGGTAGGGGATAAAAGGACGAGTAAGATAGAAAGGGCGGGGGAGGGAAGAAACTTATAGTTCTGAATCACAATCACTCATACGCAAGACCTGCCCACACCCTCCAGTGCAGAATGCCCACATGAGCCAACCGGGTGACCATGTCGTCGACGGCGGCCTCGTCGTGGCCCTCGCGCAGACACTCGTAAAAGTCCCTCGGGTTCTGGGACCCGGGACGAAGCCTGCGCTCCGACACGGCGGTGAAGAGGCCCAGTCCCGACAGGCCCTTGAACTCGCGTACGCGGGCGCTCAGCTGGTCGACCAGGCGGGCCTGCAGCGTCTGCTGGGCCTGCAGGAAGGGTTCCGAGTGCACCTGGCACAGCGAGGCCGCCAACTTCTCCTCCAGGAACGGGAGCATGTCCGACGGTGCGTCGGTGTAGCGGAAGATCTGGACGGCCATGGCGGGCGCCACGGCGGCCCAGCGCTCAGCCTGGTCGGCCGCCGGGGCGGCGGTGTACAGGAGGTCGACGAGCGAGGCGTACAGGCTGCTGGCCTTGTTGGTCCGCTCGGCCGGATCCGTCGCCAGGAGGTACGACGGCACCGAGGTCGGCGCCGCCGGCGTGGCCCCCACCACTATCGACGTGCGCGGCGACGGCGACGTGTCGGACCCGGAGCAGCAGCTCAGCACCAGGCTCGAAGGGCGCGAGTTGGGCGCAGACGACACGTTGTTGAAGCTGAGCGTCCGGGACGAATGGCTGTCGTCGTCGTCCATATCGCTGCCGCTGCTGCTGCCGCTGCCGCTGCCGCTGCCGTTGCTGTTGCTGTTGAGCCAGGAGGCGGCGGCGGCCGAGGGGCTGACGGAGCGGGAGAGGCTCTCGAGGTCGTGGTACAGGCGCATGCAGATGTCCAGATTGACGGTGTCGAGCATGTCCATACGGAGCTTCATCAGGCGCTCGTGGTCGTTCTGTAGCGTCTCGGGCAGCATGGTGCCGGCCGAGGACGGCTGGATGAGGCGCGAGAGGGCCTCGAACAGGACCGACATGTCGCCGAAGCCCCGCGGGGGGAGGTGGCCGAACTCAATCTTGGCGCGGCCGTACCACCGTCTCGACGCGTCAATCGTCATGCGGCCCGACTCGACCTTACGGCTGAGGAAGCGCTGCTCAAAGTGCACCGTGTCCTGAATCAGGATCGGTCGCCAGCAGCGGATCTGGTGGTTGGCCACGTCGAGCTTCATGTGTTCCAGCACGTTGAGCAGCTCGCGCAGGCCCATGACCAGCTTGTCTAGGTTGCTCTCCTGATTACCCGTCTTGATCAGGCTGAGCATGTTCTCGACCTCCTCGTCGCGCATGGGCGCGCAGTGCGACTTGAGCACCCCCGATAGCCACTCGGCCAGCTTCTCCAGATCTAGCACTCCCTTGTAGAACTGCTGCATCAGTAGGGGCACGTTGAGGCCATCGTCCAGAAACTGGCGGTCGCGCTGCGGCACGAGCGTCTCGAGAATCTCCTTGGCCGTCTTGAGCAGCACCGGTAGGCACCACCCCTCGGCGTCACCCACCTGGGCGGAAAAGGCCTCGGGATTCGTGATGAAGGTCTCTAGCTGGTTGCGCAGCGTGCGCCAGAACGAGTCAGACCGCTGCTGCTTGCGACGGTTCTTGCCGCCCTCAACATTAGGGCGGAAATGGAGCTCAGGGTTGAAGTTGATGTCGTGGCGCAGCTTGTGGTTGTGGATGATCTTGGAGAGGTCGAGCTCGCTCAAGGTACTCTTGGTGATGGGAGGATCCAGGGACATGCGCGCAGAATGAGGTACGCTACCGCTGCTGCTCATGGTCCTGTGGTGGTGGTGGTGGTGGTGGTGGTGATGTGTGCTGCTGCTGCCGTTGCCGCCACTGATCATCTTGCTGGGGGCGGGGGTGGTCGGTGTCGGTGTGGATGTGGGGGAGGGTCCAGAGACGGACTGGAGGGCCGGTTGGGCAGCGTCGCATCGTCGCGGCGATAGTTGCGAGGCTGTCATCTCGTCATCCTCATTCTGTTGCGGTTGTCTTTGCGACTCGGCCTCTTGCCTGGCGTCGGCGTCGCCACCGCTGACCGAGGCGTTTTTTCTCGAGTGCTCCATGGGGAGCCCGGAATTCTGTTGTTCGGGACCCATACTATGTACTCTGGGTTTTTGTTCTCTCCTTCTTTCCAACCTCTCTCAATTCCTCAAGATTTGGGGGAGGGGGGCTATAGTCCAGCCAGTTGGTCGGGGTGTTTCGGTGTAGTCGGTTGTATGGCCGGGGAGAACGAATATGTATAAATGTATGTATATATATATATATATATATATATATACAAGTCAGGGCTACAAGAGGAAATGACTGTCAGTTTAGTGGCTGCGATTTGATGAATGATATCATCGGTAAGGAGGCGAGAAATTGGGAGTATTGAAGCTTCCGATAGGGTTGCCAATAGCCGGAACCGCCGTTGAGATATACGGAGAGTGGCGAGGCAACTTTGAGAACGAACAGAATAAGGGCTCCGCTGTGACGGGTAACTGTAGCCATGGAAGGGGGGAACCACCAAGCATCGACGCCTAATGGGTTGGACATGGGGATATAGAAGGGGCAGCCGTAGGGCTCCGACGAGTGGGAAAAAACCAAGGGCGGCATACTACATACATGATATGCGCGTGTGTGTGGTCGGGCAGTATCGGCGGAATTTTGTACGTCGAAGTCTTCTCGTTTTTTCTTATTTGGTCTTTTGGCGGTGAGTTGTTGGTCTGCTGGCTGGGCTGCAGGAGGGAGAAGAGAGAAGACGTGGATTTGCAGGACAAGTGCAGTCAGGCAGACCGGGCAAGCGACAGCGATGACGACGACGATGTTGTCGAAAATAAGCGAGGGCCGAGGGTATTCAAGGACAATAGGTTTGCTTGAAGTCGAAGGGGGGGAGGGACAGATTTCGCGGTGGTCGTTGTCGGCTGTCGTCGTTTGTATGTCGTAGGGTGACGATGTTGTGATGAGAAGGGGGGGGGGAGGGTGAGAGAGGAAACAGGTCAGGAAGCCTCAGAGAAGAAGAGGGAGAGGAAGGTGAAAAGAAGAATCGAAGAAAAGGGTGTTGTGTTGTTTTTGGTGAGAGATAGGAAAAGGAAATAAAAAAAAGAGCGAGAGAATGTTGTCTGTTCTAAAAAAGTGAAACAAAATCTCAGGTAATAGGAAAATCGAACCAAAAGGAACGAACCGAGGATGGGGGACGGGGGCGACAAGAATAATAAGCATCTGCAATTCTTCTCTTCCTTTGGGGTGGAGGGGGGGGGGGGGGGGGGGTGAAGGAGGAAAATGGAGAGAGGGAGAGTGAGAGCGAGAGAAAGAGATAGAGAAGGAGATGTCTAAGAGAAAAAAAGGGAGGGGAGTGAGGGTGTGAAAAGAGAAAGTACAATCGGCAGGTGGTATGTAGGGGAAGGATAGGGGGGGTGCGTCTATCAGTTGAGTTATAGTAGCAGCGACTCCGTTCTAGTATATGGAGTAGTATGTAGTAGTAGGTCTCTCTCCCTGTACGATACTAGGTGGAAGTAACATGTACGAGTATGCGTACGAGTATGTGTGTGATGGGTATGTATATGTATACCCTCTTATAGTTCTTCGCAAGCATTATCATCACTGGTGCGATGTAATCTGTACATATTCTGGAACCGCGACACCAGTTCTTGGTAGCAGAGCCCACCGGTGCTAGCCTCTACGTATTACGAGTACGGAGCCGGACCCATCACCTACGGACAGCGTCCGTCGGTTCTTCTCCTTGTTAGCCGTGCCCGTGGCTTCGTACTCGCGGCTATATTAGTGGTAGCAGCTCCGGTCGTATGCGAACACCTGACTCTTTCCCATCCTCTGTTTCCAGTCTAGCTCAGGTTGGCGTCGTACCGCTCTGGATATGGCGAAATCCGTAGCATATACGAGTAACAGGATACAGAGGACGACGGTGGAAGAAGAGAGAAGAGCCGGCTTGACCTATTACTTTGAAAAGAAAAAAGTCTATACGAGGTTTGCAGGACATGAGTAATGCACTCGTACGCGCCGCACCGCACCGCACGTACGCGATGCCAATCACGCCCTGGTAGACTGTAGTACGTTGATGGTTGAATACGAAGCTTGTACGAGTACGCGGGACGCGATACCTCACCACACCCAGCTGCCAAGGTGGGAGCAATCATCATGCTCCGTCCCCGTACAGTCGAAAGAAGGAGGAGAATGGCTCGGCGCGGTGGTGCAGGTGTCCGGGACTAGGCAGGAGTAGGTGATGCGTGCAGCACCATCAGATGCGACGGTAGTCCTCGCCAATGCAAGAGGAGGAGAAGAAGAGGAGGAGGAGGAAGAGGAGGAGGAGGAGCTGGACAATGCATGCATCATCGATACGGGAGAGAGGGAGGGATGATACTCAATATATGCCGTCATGCTGATATGCTGCTACGAAGTAATAATATATCGGCACGCAGAGCTTTGGTGGTTGTGTACAGATTACGTGTAGTAATATATTAACATCGCTCTCTGCATTTCGAATGTACATCTTTTGCAATCAGCAATTCCTCGACGTGGCAATAAGGCTCGCTTCGCTCATACTGCGAACTCTGCGGAGGGGGTGGCGCGAAGGCGAAGGAGGTAAAGTGGAGGTGTGTGTGTATATTACTGTTCCCACGTACCCGCTGAGAAGCTTGCGCCCTCCTGGAGCAGAGCTTTGATCCATGAAAATCCCAGCGACAAGTCCCTTGCATCATCTCAGCCCCCGTTCTTCTCAACCCAACCCAAACCACCCCCCCCCCCCCCCCCCCCCCCCCCCCCCCCCCCCCCCCCCCCCCCCCCCCCCCTTTCCCCCCCAAGGAAAGCAGGGGGGCGGCTTCCTTGGTCCTGGTCCCTGGGAGTGATGGCATGGCGCAGGATCTGTGATTATATTCTTACTCCGTACAGTGTCCATCATGTAATACGTTCAATGTATTAATATTATGTCTTCCCCCCTTCCCCCCCTTCCCAGCCCCTTCCCCTTCCCCTTCCCCTTTCCCTTCCCCCAATGCCCATTGTTTGTTTATTTTGAAGCCATTGACGACGGCATTCTACCCTTTCTGTTTGTTTGGGGGGGAGGGGGGAAGGGTTGAAGAAGGGTTGAAGGGGTTTGAAAATAACATATACTTTCAACACGATCAATATTGCAAGATACGGAAATGGTTACTGTCGAATTCCTTGTCAATTTTATCTCTCCTTCTTTGCATGTGGAACCCCACAACTTGCTCTTTCAAGAATAAAAAAATTAAACCAAAATAAAAAAGTGAGGCAATCTGCGTCCTTGTTCCAATGCGAAAAGCCGCGTTCCAGCAGACGAGTCAGGACGGGAATCTCAGTCCTGATCCAAGCTATGTTTTCCTTGCGAATGCGCACACAGACTTCGCGCGTGTACGATACGCAGAGCTGGTAACCGTCGTCGTATCTGTACGAGTAATACTCCGTACCCGTAGTAATAACAGAGAGGGGAGGAGAGTAGACGGTGGCAAGCATCCCCGACGTGCATCGATACTCGCAGATGCTTCATTTCCTTGTCATCATGTACCTGCAGTGTTCTATCATCTTAGTCTTCTCATCCATCTTCCAACTCTCCGTTCATCACCCCTACCCTCTTGCCTGCGTGAACATGGAGACTTTATCGATGTGACTCTATAGACGACACACGCACACGGCATGTTGTCTCGCGATCTAGCAATTCGACAGACAAAAAGCATATCTCGAGCCAAGGGAGTCATAATTGAGCAAGGCAAGGCAAGCCGCTGTGTGTGTGTGCATGTGTGTGTGTGCGTGTTTGTGTGTGTGTGTGTGTGTGTGGGGGCGAAGGGGGGGGGGGGGCGAAGGGGGGAAGAGGGTGTGATTGGTTAGACCGCACCCGTCCTTCATTGACACCTCTCACGTGGTTATGCTCCGTAAGTGGATAGCCATGCATGTTTGTGCCTGTCTGTACTGCTAGCCTCGGTAGCCACTTGCTCCCTGCTGTTAGGGAGAATGGGAGAGAGGGCTGACGAATATTATCTGATGGGGGTGGTAACCTCGCGGCGCCGAGTTAGCGGTGCTGATTCTTGCGTGGTGTTTTCCTCGATATTGTGTTGTGGTCCCCCCACCCCTTTTTTTTTTTTTTTCCTCTTCTTTCTCCACGAGTATCGTACAAAAGTTGGGGGGGGTAATCGTTGGTCTCGTACTCGCAACTGGTGCGGACCGGAGGACAGACACATTAACCGCGGAACACTATCAATACCGGTGGCAACTACGAGTACTTTGGGCACGATGAATGAGTTGAGAATCTTGTCCTTACGTGGGGGGGGGTTCGGTAGATTCAAATCATGACATGTGCTATAAATCCAGATTCTCTCTCTTGACCGTTCCTCGTTGGCCGTTATTCCCGATCGTTTTGTCCCTATCAAATAAGTAATACTCTCCCTCCTTTTCCCCAGCAGAGTCAGCAGCGCCCCTCATCATCGTCATAATACATTGGCGCAGCTGCACGCACACATGAGAACTTTCTCTTCTCTTCTTCTTCTTCTCGGGAGAGTGAGACGACGTGATAACATCTCTATGCTGTGGTGACGTCGTGATCCTAACAACTCCGTACCCGTAACAGGTCATGTGGCCTCCGTGCATGTAGCTTAGCAAATGCGTGGCAAGAAGTCATGACTCTCATACATATATACTCATGTACTCGTACCCAGAAGACAAAAAAAAATTAGATACAAAATAAAATACAAAGAAGGGGAGAGGGGGCTTGGTCATTGCCACAGGGTACATGCACGGCTTTGTCACGATATGTTAAATTACGTGTATCTCTCTCTCTCTCAGCTTCATCGGAGCCGCCGCCACTCACACTCCTCCATCCCGCCTCAGCCACAACGCAGAGAGGTTGGCGATGGGACAGACACCCCGTGTCTATATCCCGTGTATATATATACCTATGGTATGTGGCTATGTGGCGACGAGGAACCCAACCTGGTGGACCGACTAAGAGCAACTCTCTTCTGCCTAATCTATGTAGTACTCCCGAGATACATCGATTCAGACTTTTCTTCTACGTCGTCTCACCGGACACGCCGGTTCATCACAGCCTTCCCTCCCACACACGCACGCACACATGCACGAGAGAAAACTCCTCTCGTAGGGGAGTGGTAGGTAGGCAACGATGACGACGACGACGACGATGACGATGACAACAAATAGCCCAACTTTATCTCAAGACCTCTCTTTCCTCTCCTTCTGTCTGGCTTCTTACTCGGACAGAGAGTCGTCAACTTTTCCCATCGTATGAGACTTTGAGCTGCAGCCATCGTTCAGGATAATACTCGCAACAGCAATACCCCGTATAGATGACTGCATGGTCCCTTTCGATTTTTTTCTTCTTCTCTCGTATGCATCCCGACAGGCGTCTACGAGTATACGAGTAGATTATACACAACGTAATTTAGAACAGGGTGAGAGAAGGATGCACACCGCTGCCACTGCCGGACCCCCGGGATGAATGAGATGCAGTCACTTCGGCCCCATCTTCCGTTGGTTGATTGGACCTTGACCACGGGCCACAGGGAGTAAAATCTTTGACCCTATGACATATTACAGGTTTCCTTCCTTTTCTTCTTTTCTTTCCTTCTTCCCTTCTTCTTCTTCTTCCTTCTTTCTTTCCGACAGGGCAAGGGGGGGGGGGGGGGGGGGGGGGGGACATGGGGGGGCGGCTACAATCTGGAGGAGGAGGATCACAGAGGTCGGTCGGTGGTCAATACAACATGATCTAGGGCAAACATGGGAAGATGGAGCCTAAGGGGTAATATTATTTGTATTATTATCACTGTAATCTACAGAGTAGCAGTAATACTAGGCACGAGACGATGCTCAGCAGCCCTCGAGAGCGCAATCTTCCGGGTTGAGCTGGCATCTAGCATTATTTCGCGTCACCGGTATTACCAGTGGTACAGAAAGATTGCAGATTCGGGAGTCGTGGCCTTGAGAACGTGCTATTGACAACCATGAGGCAGCTATTGCATGCTCTTGCATGCTCGCTCGTACGAGCCTGTACAGGATTAACCCCCATGATGGCCTCAACAAGGCCTGTTACATCACTGTTGATACGTCATGCGACGACAGAGACGCCGGTCCCGCGCGTTGGTCAGGTTATAGCGACCACCTCCCATGAGGCCCCTCTCCTGCCCCCCTCCCCTGCAGTATCACCAAATGCCAATATCTGCAGGCTCTGGGGCGAAAACAATGAAAGAGGGGGGAGAGGGGAGAACAATGATGATGCGACGAAGCGCACCGGAGCGGGACAGCGGATCATGGTCGTACGGGTTAGTTGATGGAGAGCTCTCGAACCAGGATAATAGAAAATAAATAGTATTAATAAATAGTATTAATAAATAGTGATAATAGTAATCGTAGTAATCGTAGTAATAGAAGCAACAGGAATAATAGTAATCTGTGGTAATAGTAGTAATAGTAGTAATAGTAGTAATAGTAGTAATAGTAGTAATAGTAGTAATAGTAGTAATAGTAGTAATAGTAGTAATAGTAGTAATAGTAATAGTAGTAATTAGTAGTATTAATGTATTTTTTTTAAAAAAAAAAAATCATGATACAGGACTGGACAGACTTGAGAGATATTCAAATTTCATAGCGACGGTGGGACGCTACGGTGAGAATGGAGATGATCAATTAGACGGGTTTTCAACTTGGACGGTTTTATTCTAGTATTTCCGCATGCGGACAATGTTTGAGTCAACAGTCAACAATCCAAGCAAGTCAGTTTACCTTGCTATTCTTTGAAGAAACCCCCCCCTCCTCCCCCCTTATAAAATTTCAGATATATATATATCAATATTAATATAAACTATAATAAAAAGTGGTGAGTGGAAAGACTCGAGTCTTGATGGCAATGTTCCCAACGTGTACGTCAAAAGTTCTATCCGAGAATATCATCGTATTATTCGTAACTCCTGGGTATTAGAGCCTAGCACATAAGAGGTCATAATCAATGCCTTCTTATGCAGTCGACTCAATTCCCTCGCAGTCCCCTGTTTCCCTTCGCTGCTTCCTCTTGTCAACCCATGGAATCCTGTGATCCGGCATCAAGGGGGAGGGCCCCCGGGAAACCCACCCCCCACTCTGACTGATGTGCGTGCACAGACTGTACATTGCTGTGTCATGGGTCTTGTCCACATGCCACTGATACCCGTCGATGTTGAAGACGAAGGAGAAGGAGGAGAACAATGGCTACGAGCAGATGGTACCGTCTCTCTCCAGGATGTGGACAAGATGCAAACATCAGGGCTGGACGGAATCTACCGCCATGGTTTCTCCTTCGTTTTTGCAACAGGGGGACTCATACACCATTTGACAGAGGAGCATTACTATTCAACGTGTAGATGGATCGGTAATGAAGGAGGAGAAACACATGCCCGTCATCTACCAACCGTGGGGGCTGGATTCCTGCAAGAGATTTTTGGCATGAATGAATTCTCCGTAGGATTGCGACGTTACGAGCACATGGTCAAGGCTAAACTGGGGTCTTGTCTTCTTTCTCTCTTAGTCCTTCATCTGAATGAACAATGGCGCCACCCATCATTAGTTGTCAACGAGGGTGTACGGGTAGAGCTGTACGGGCAGAGACTCGTTGCTCGTACAATCACAACTTGCGAGTACAGGCAGAGCTCTCACCTCTCTCCCTCTCTATTCCCTCTCTTTTGCCGCCCCCCCCCCTCTTCTCTCTCTCTCTCTACATGTACTGCGCCCCTACCTAGGTTCCCGTCTCGCTTTCAGGACTTCAGTTTTGCGTCTTGCCGGTTTCTCAGACGTAAGAGGGTTCACACTTTCATTGCAAAGTTTCTTGCACCTACACCTTCCGATTCAGGAGGACCAAAAAGATTTATAAAAAAAATTAGAAAAAAAAAGAGTCAGCATCACCAACAATCAACTATCTTATGAATGGATAGAGGCACTGAAGTATGTAATAGCTCCTTTTAGCTGTACACATACGATGCCTTACTCATGTGTACATATACATACACACACCCCTCTTCCTCAGGGAAACGACCGCTCCAAGCTGACAGCCACGACTCAAGCTTTTGGGTTGTGGGGAGCCAGCTACACATACTTACCGAGTTAATACAGCGAATAAACTTGTAGTAGTTTAGCACTGCTTATACTCATATTCCCGCACTCAGTTCGTCCCAATGTAGATGCCATTACATCAGAGGGTGTGCAGTAGCTCTGGAGCATAGAAGGAGAACAAGGTTTCCAAGATTTTGCTACAAACGGCATCCTCCGTATCGGTCATGTCCGTCCCTGCTTACATTGTATGATACCTGTATTAGCTAAATCCGTCCCGTTCGTCTAGTCCTCTCCCCCTTCTGAGAAATCGCCCGCCGCGCCCGTCGGTGCGTCCGATACGGGCTGAACCCATACGGGTCGCCACGTTTTTTCTTTCTTTCTTACTATTCCTCCTCTTCTCTTTCGGGGTGGTATGGGGTTCATTCTGGCCTCGGTTCCCGGGAAGGATTTCAACAGTTGGCAGGAGGTTTCGAAGTACACGAGTAGACGATTTGGGCATGAAAGAACAAATAGTGACAATGAAGTTCTCTCTCTCTCTCTCTCTCTGTCTCTCCCCTTCCCCTTGGAAATCCCTTCTCTTGATTTGCCTTTTTAGGGTCAAGGCGCGACACTACACGGAGAGAGTCATGATAAACCTCGTTCGATAGCTTTTTTTTGTGGTGGTAGATATATATGATTACTACTATCACTACATATTACTACATATTGCTACATGTTGGGGGGGGTTGGAGATATACCTCAACCATGGCCGAACCCTCTTTCTTCTCTAAAATAACCCCAACCATGATTCATAGAAAGAAACCCCATGACGCATCCTTTTCTCTCCCTTGAGTTCCCGTGGTGTGTATGAGGAGTCAGTCAAGGATAATAATACTCTATACATCTCCATGTGCCGAGTATCACTACTACAACCTTTCCCCATGACAAGGCCCTAGTTCTCCAAATTCTCTAGACCTCGGAGCATACTCCTCCTGGTCAGCTGCCCCGCGCTCATGACAAGTTCGAAGCCCTGCATGCGGGCCGCCGTGGTGGCATTCCCACATTGACACTGATGATCCTTCGTATCCACGCTACCGAGGGACATATCAATCGCAGTCTGCTCGAGGACAAGTTTGGAGGGCCTGGAGTCTGGTGACGTATGCCAGAAGATCATACCAACGGATGAAAGCAAGATTACCACCTCATATTCCTGTTCCTCTTCCCCAACCCCAGGAGACGTGTCATCCACATGGTTTCTAGTGCCATCAGTGAAACGCTGCCCCCTCTACTTCTCGCCGCATTCATCCAGTACGACTCATGAAGAAGAGAAATAAAGGAGTCCTATGACATTCTCCTATCCACTCTGCACCGAGTAAAAAAAAAACAAGAAAAAAAAACCAGAAAAGCACCCCACCGATCATGGAATAAAAAAAAATTCCAGGAAAAGAAAAGGAAGATTGAAAGAAAAAAAAAAAAAAGTCAGTTCGCTAAGCCCCATATATTATAAACATTTTTGTGTGAACCATTTTCCCTATCGTTCGATGGCCGTGGTCTAGTTGAGAATGATGGAGCCCTGAGACGAGAGGTATTCATGTCAGCAAAAACACAGATATTGGGTCTTTTGTTTTGCCTCATGACAAAGAGCAATCTTTGGAGTCAGGTGAGGATGAGGGACGGGGGTTGACGAACAGCCATGACAACGCAGCATATGCTAATATACGGACTCAACCGCTCTCCCACGCGCGCGCACTTCCAGAAGATACCCGTGACGCCATTCTTGTTTCTGTCCATCATCCCAGGGAAGAAGTGGTGTACGTAGGCGCTCGTGCAGATGAGGAGTAGAACGACGAGTAGGAGAGACTGGAAGTTGAAGAGGGCCGTCTTTTTTGCGCAGAACACCCATCGTCAGTTCTAGAACACACACACACACACACACACGCACAGGGTTTGCCTACCGCTTCCGGCGAGGAGGGAAGATGTAAAACTTACCATGATGTGCGGATGTGTATTGAGGGGAAGGTATGTGCCAACCCTGTTTTTCTTTCGCTTTATGTCGTCGGCGTATACGTAGCCGGGTTTCGTTTGTCGGTCGTTGTCGTCTTGATGATTGTCGCAATGCCAGGGTGGTCTGAAGGAGCAAAGATTCGCCGAGCCCGGCCAAGTTGCTGGCACAGTGGTGACTTGCTGGCATAGACATGCATCAATGGTTTGGTCATAAAATGTGGGTATCAACTCGTCCGATTTTATGCCCAGACACAACAATGGCTTTTACCACATGTACTCGTACGTACAGGTAATATCATATCATACTGTCGTCCTCTTCAAGAAGAACTTCTGAATGCTGCACTCCCTGTTCTCCTTCTTTTCTTTTTCGCAAGGGGTATTATAGGCTGTCCAAATATCCGTCGCATAACTACCAACAGCAGGCAGTGAGAGAACGCTCCTAAAGAGCTGTACCAGAAGAGTTCCAGCAGCCACACACGAGATTTACTTCTCATATATATATGTGTTATAATAAAGAAAAGAACACGAGTGTTCATCTCGGAATAACACCATGTCCTGAGATTTGGCTGCTCCAAGTACTCTCCGTACGATATCTCTTTTTTCAAGTATAGGGTAAGTGCGACTGACCCAGATCTCGGGCATGCGATTGTGGGGGACCAACATCCATCCACTGTCAAACAGAACCTCACCATCATTAACGAGAACTCCATCATCGACGCGACCCAACGACGACCCCAAAGCAGGCACCGCTTCACCCGTAAGTAAAGCGGAACAAACAAGATACCCAAACGACTCCAAAGACCAGATCCTCGGCGCCCCTTCCCCCCCCCTCCCTAGGCCCGCACAGCACCGCCCAAGATGGAGCCTCGAGCGCGCGCCGCCAAGAATGTCGGCAAGATGAACTTCACCCACAACGAGCGTAAGTGCTGCGGGCACGATTTCTACACAAAAGAGGCCCCTCAATATGAGGGAAGGGAGAAACCATCTGCTAACGTACACTCCCCCCCCAGTGGCAATGCTCCTCTACGCACACGGCGACATCAAGAACCCCCTTCCGGAGACGGTCCGCGTCCTGGACGAGATCCTGACCGACTTCATGCAGTCGATTGCCTTCGAGGCCGCCCGCGCTGCGCACTACTCCGGCCGCCAAAAGATCAAGTACGAGGACTTTGAGTTCGCCTTCCGCAAGAACCCGGCCTTTCTGGGCAAGGTACAGGAGGTGTTCGAGAAGCAGAAGGAGATCAAGAGGGCCCGAGACATTATGCGAGAAGGAGGCGAGGACGAGATCATGAAGGAGGCGGCCGAGGAGGAGAAGAAGAGGGACAAAGAGGCAAAGGCCAACGCGGCTGCGGCTGCGGCATCAGCTAACGGGGCTGGCTCGGCTGCAACGCCAAAGAGCAACGACGGTGGTCATGGTGCTTCCGCTGCTGCTGCTGCTGCTGCCGACGAGGAACTGGGTGAGGCGGACGATGACGATGCGGCCGAGGCAGATGCTCTCGGTAATAAGAAGAAGTGAAGAAGGTCCGGATCGATGCGGATTGATACACTCTTTGTACTTTTGATTCATCTCATCTCATCTATACTAGTATGAGGCATGGCATGGCGTTTTTTTTCTTTTTTTCTTGTCTTAATTTCTGGGTTCTATGGGCAAGGCAAGGTTTGGAATGGGTCCATGAAGGGGGCTTATTCGGCCCCTTCTTCCATCATCGTGATATATCGATGGTGGCATTATATCGAATAGATCCGTTCGATTACTTAATACGACTTATAGTAAAACTAAGCACTGCCAATACCACATGTTGTGAGTAGTATACGTGCAGTAAGTACAGGTTAGTATGCCATGATTGTCACGATACGTGCTCCACCATGTAGAACAAGGAAGGAGAAGCTTCGGATGTCAAGGCATGTGCTCCACAAAGTTCCTGGCTCATCTGATCCTGCCACCATTTGATGATATCATCTGTATTCTCCCTCTTGCATACACTACCAAGAACAATACTACTCTAGACCATCTGATCTGGACACCTTCGCGATGTCCATGGCGATGTCCATGGCTTCAGCGTTGTTGTCTCTGTTTCCCCTTATACCAAGAGCGATATCGGGGTCAGCGGTTACAATCGGACTTCCCCCCCCTCCATTCTCAACCCAGCTAGGATCGGGTCTCCCCACACGATGTCGAATCCACACTTTCTAATACATCTTCTCTGGTTGATGGCCCAAGTTTCTCGTCTGGGGCGTGGAAACACGCCGACTGGCCCGCTCACCAAACAATGACTTCTTCAATCTCCAAAAGGATGCCTCCCCTTCTCTCCCCCACCCCGTTCGTCCATCCGACTGTTAGCAGTGGCGGATGATTACTCGGACGTGACCGCGGAGCCGCCGAAGTCGCGCCTGCTCACATGCATGTGTCGTGCTTTTTGGAGACATGATCCCTCCTCCTGTATGGGGACCTCGTTGGCTGGGATGTTAGCTAATAATGGGCCATTTTGACTTTCTTCCCTCTTCTCTCTCCACACTTCTCTCTCCTCACGCACACACGTTTGAATTTCGTCATCTACATTAGCTAGCACTTTCTCAGGAGTTTTGACTTTTTCTTCAAATACTATCACTATTGACTACGTTTAAGACTAAAGAGAGAAAAAAAAGAGTCCTTTCTCAAAAAAAAAAAAAAAAAAAAAAAGCTTCGAACCCCGCAATGAGCAGTCAGAACGACCCTCCCGTCCCGCTCCTGCGTAGGACATCGAGCGGCACCGACGACGATCCATACTCTACTTCTTCGTCCGGGCCAACCCCGGTCGTTGACCAGGCACAGCATGGGGCATTGCCACACAATATCGACACCCAGGATGACGTGAATACACGGCAGTGGATCAAGGATCCTTCACGCACCCGGATGCTGTCCACTAGTCCGGTGCTCCGGAGCCTCACGCCGTCGCCGTATTCCGAGAATAGGGTGGCGCTGCCGCCGCTGCCGCCACAGTCGGCCCTTCAGCGCTTCTGGCAGAGGAACAAGAGTGCTGTGCTCGTGGCCGTGTCGCAGTTCTTTGGCGCCTCGATGAATCTAAGCGCGCGGCTTCTCGAGCTCCAGGGCGACGGCATGCATCCGATCCAGGTTCTCCTTCTCCGTCAGTCCATCACGTCTCTCTTCTGCACAGCTTATATGCGGTGGAAGGGTGACGGTGGACCTCTCATGGGAAGCAAGGATATCCGGTGGTTGCTGATCATCCGGGGAGTGTCTGGTTTCTTCGGGATATTCGGGTACGTTCAAGGCCATAGGAAATATGATTCAAGACCGGCACCGCTGTTTGCCGTCCTGCTAACAGGTTGCTGCAGCATGTGGTATTCCATGATGTATCTACCCCTGGCTGATGCCACAGTCATCACGTTCCTGGCGCCGGGCGTCGCCGGCATCCTCTGCTACTTCTTTCTCAGGGAGCCGTTTACGGGCATAGAACGACTCGCTACGTTTATCGCGCTGCTGGGCGTCGTCTTCATCGCCCAGCCTGCGTCCTTCTTCTCCAACCCCGAAGCAGACGAGCCGACTGGCGAGGCCCCGGACGGAGACTCGGCGATCCCCGGCTTCGGCGACGACGACATCGCCACGACGGAAGAGCGCCTGATGGCTATCGGTGTCGCCCTGCTGGGTGTCCTCGGCGCTGCCGGCGCCTTCACGACGCTGCGCATACTCGGCAAGCGAGCCCACCCGCTCGTCTCAGTCAACATCTTCGGCATCGCCTGCACCATCATCAGCGTCGCATCCCTGATCCTGGCCCCACTGCTTGACATTGGCCAGCCGTCGCTGCGCTGGACGTGGCCCGGATCGGTGAATGAATGGCTCCTGCTGCTCAGCCTCGGCGTGATGGGCTTCATCATGCAATACCTCCTCACCGCGGGGCTGCAGGGAGACAGGTCGAACCGCGCCAACTCTATGGTGTACACGCACATGCTCTTCGCCGTGAGCTTCGACCGGTGGGTCTTCCATCACGAGATGAACTTGATGAGCCTTGCCGGCTGCGTCCTGATCTTAGGCAGCGCTGTCGTCGTCGTCTTCCTCAAAAAGCCGGCACGTGCACAGCCCAAGACGGAAGACGTCGAGGGGCAGAGGATACATGCCGACAACGACGACAACGATGCCGGCGACAACACTGAGAGTTCGCCTATGCTTACCAGTGCTGGCGGAAATGGGGAGAACCTGTCGTTTCAACGTCTGTAAGCATGTGGCTGCACTTTTCACGCACCACTAACTAATACATGAAGTCTATGATACACACTTGCCTGCTGCGATCCAATGAAACGACAAATGTCTTGGGGGTAAAGAAAAGGCTATTAGCCATTGAATTTTGGATAGAAGTGATAGAAATTTGCATGATATAGAATAGGCTATTGTTTACACCTTGAGCTGTCGTCACGTTGAGATTTTCACGGTCTGGTGAAGTGCACATTCCACGTACCGCTTAGAATAGATGCTCACGAGTAGGAAACGTATACGATAGATCTACAAGGGATATTCAAGTAGAGATAAGATCCGTCCCCCACAGCCAGCATCCTTATACCTCTTACCAATAGTGACATATATACTTGATGTAAATAATTACGGCCCTTGGCGCTCATCACTACAATTAGTCGCACCGCTCAACACTTTCGAGAAGAAAACACCTACCAATTTTCCAAATATGCGGTAATACCGGGTAAGTAGGCACAAATTCACGTGATGGACCCACCACGCTATAGTCGCGACTGCAAGGGCGTTTTAACACCAAAAGCAGCCGCGACCTGGGGGGGGGGGGGGGGGGCTGAAGGGAAGGCCTGGTAGCTCCCAAATCTCCAGGGCCTTTCTTGCGAAAGCCATCCAATTCACAATCAGTCGCAAATCATTTTTTTCCCCAAACCACCAACGATAACCTACCACAGCATCCCAAAACCGGTCCCACGTCAAGGGCGCGTGATGAAGTAGTGGTACTTGACTTATTCCTTCGAAGTGTTGATATTCCAAACCTCGATTGCCAACAACGACCAACGACGGAACGAACAACCTGCAAGAAGGGAAACGACGAGCGAAAGAAGGAAACGAGAAATAGAAACATGGTTCAGATCAGCGAAGTCAAGGGCAACAAGCGGGATCACCGTACCGCAGCTCACACGCACATCAAGGGATTGGGACTCAGGACAGATGGACGTGCTGATACACAGTCTGGTGGCTTTGTAGGCCAGGCAGTGGCACGAGAGGTAAGCAAGAGACAACCTGCCCTAGTCTTGATTTCCTTCTCTCCTTCTCCGAGAGAGAGACAGAGAGAGAAGGGGAAAGAGCAGGGGAAGGCGAGGAGCAAAGAGAAGAGGAAAGGGGAAAGAGGAGGAGAGATATGGAGAGAGGCTGGCTGACTGGTTGACCGATCTAGTCATGTGGTGTGGTGGTCGATCTGATCCGGGCGCACAAGATGGCAGGACGTGGCGTGCTGCTGGCGGGCGGACCTGGTACAGGCAAGACCGCGCTGGCGCTGGCCATCAGCCAGGAGCTGGGGACCAAGATCCCGTTCTGCCCGATCGTGGGCAGCGAGATATACTCGACCGAGGTGAAGAAGACGGAGGTGCTGATGGAGAACTTCCGGCGGGCGATCGGGCTGAAGGTGCGGGAGACCAAGGAGGTGTACGAGGGCGAGGTGACGGAGCTGACACCCGAGGAGGCGGAGAACCCGCTGGGCGGGTACGGCAAGACGATCAGCACGCTGCTCATCGGGCTCAAGAGCGCCAAGGGCCAGAAGAAGCTCCGGCTCGACCCGAGCATCTACGAGGCTATCCAGAAGGAGAGGGTGACGGTGGGCGACGTCGTCTATATCGAGGCCAACACGGGCGCCTGCAAGCGCGTCGGCCGCTCTGATGCCTACGCCACCGAGTTCGACCTCGAAGCCGAGGAGTACGTGCCCATCCCCAAGGGCGAGGTGCACAAGAAGAAGGAGATCGTCCAGGACGTGACGCTGCACGACCTCGACGTCGCCAACGCCCGGCCCCAGGGCGGCCAGGACATTATGAGCATGATGGGCCAGCTCATGAAGCCCAAGATGACTGAGATTACCGAGAAGCTCCGCGCGGAAATCAACAAGGTTGTCAGCAAGTATATCGACCAGGGCGTTGCTGAGCTGGTTCCTGGTGTCTTGTTCATCGATGAGGTATGTCTGATGCCTCTCTCTCCCTTCTTACCATCCTTTTTTTTTCTTTTTTTTTTCGTCTTGTCTTCCTTCACACACCCCCCTCTCCTCTGATCTTTACAACGTCTTCCTATAATGTATACATATAACTGACCTCATATGTAGGCACACATGCTCGACATCGAGTGCTTCACGTACCTCAACCGTGCCCTCGAGTCCCCCATCTCGCCCATTGTCGTCCTGGCTTCGAACCGCGGCATGTGCAAGATACGGGGCACCGACGACATCCTGGCCGCCCACGGCATCCCGCCCGACTTCCTGGCCCGTCTCCTCATCGTGCCCACCACGCCTTACCAGGCTGACGAGATCAAGAGCATCGTCCGCATAAGGGCCACCACCGAGGGTGTCTCCATCTCTGACGCTGCCATTGACAAGATTGCCGACCATGGTGTTCGCATCAGTCTGCGGTACTGTCTTCAGCTTCTTACCCCTTCTAGGTATGCCCCTCACATCTTTTCTACTCCATCTTCCTCCCCCCCTCGTCCCTCTCCTCTCCATCACCGTCTCTCCACTTCCCCTAGAAGTCGCTGACAAAACATGCCAAACTGTAGCATCCTCGCCAAGGCCAGCGGTCGCAGCCAGATTGACGTCCAGGATGTCTCGGAATGCGAAGACCTCTTTGTCGACGCTCGTCGCAGCGCAGCCATCCTCAGCAGTGAGGCTGGCAAGGGATACATTTCTTGATCTTTCTCGTAGTTCTCTCTCTTCCTTTCATTGCAACTCTATAACTAGTACTTTTTTCTGTCACTCCTAAAGTCCTCGCTTGTTCAGAATATCGGCCGAAACTGTTTCCCACTCCCCTCTTCCAAGATTAATCAGAACAGTGGGTTGCAGCATGTACGGAGTACGTACGAGAGAGAACAGTACTGAACAAGGTATCTCGACCAGGGCGGTGGACAATGGAAAAAAAAAAAACGAGGCGCACGGCCAATATTTCTTCTTAGTTTCTTCCCATCTGTAGCCCATGGTCGATCAAGAATATCGGCCTCATTGTCCTCTCCTGATATTGTGACTAACCCGCCTCACCCTGCACACCCCCTTGTTCTGTTTGAAATCGGTCTCTTTGTTCCTATTGCATTGTGTGTGTGTGTGTGTGTGTGTGTGTGTGTCAATTCATGCCAGATGAGAAGAGGAGGGACAAAGACTAGGCGCACGGACGGGGAGGGGTTTGCCCAATGCCAAGGGAGCTGAGAAGAGGAAGGATTTCATTGATAGAAGTTTCTACATACATCAAGAGAGAAAGACTCTTTCTTCTTGTAAGAGCTGACAGAGAGAGAGAGAGAGAGAGAGAGAGAGCGGAGGGGGGAAAGGAATTCTAGGTATTTTCTTTGGTCTTACCTATTGGCTCTTGAGAGGTTTGGTTTCGGAATATTCATTGACTCTGGTTGACAAGTGATCTATATCCCAAGGAGAGACATTATCAACAATTTTACTCCAGACTTTTTGAAGACGGAATTGATTGAAGGAAGATGACTAGAAGAGACAAGAAGACAAGGAGGTGAATACTAAACTTGATGCGGATCTGGACAAGTCCCATAAGTGCAATCGAGTTGTGACTTTTGATGGGCCAAACTTTTTTGCTTGTTGTCTTCCCCCCCTGTCGTACAGACTGGACGAAAACGGAAGGGAATTCGGGGCAATCTACTCTCACTTTTCTTCTTCTTCATTTTCGTCTGCGTGTCCCTCGTTTAGCAGCTTGGGTTGGACGGAGTAATGATGTCTATTGACGACCAAGGACAAGGGTCAAGGGAAACAACGTGCAATAAGAGAGAGAGAGAGAGAGAGAGAGAGCGGCCACGATGAACTCGGATGCGATGATTCTCATATCCAACATCACCAAGGGTCGCCTTGTTTGTCAAGGAAAAGATGAAGAAAAAAAACAAAAAGGGAACACAGGTACATGGGAAATGTGACTGGTTCTCCGCCCCGTTGCACATCATTGTTCCTTGTCTCAGATGGGCGAAGCATTCCGCAGACAGGAGCGATGTTACATTCCCGACGCGGCCGACAGGGAGAGCTGTGAATTGTTCTGGGCAGAGGCTCCCCGTCTCACATTTCATCATTTATTACTCTCCATGATGATCGATATATTGTGCGTCGTGTGTGAATGACCTCTTTGTCACTATCGATCAGGCCCTTGTCATATGCAGCACCCGTAACAAGGAGTAAACACTCTTAACAAAGGGAGAAAGGTAAGACGAAGAAGACGAAGAAGAAGAAGGAGAAGTAAAAGATACAAGTCAATGCAACATTGACTACGACAGACAGATTTCCTAGTCCGGTCAGTGGGGAGAATTGGGTAGTATTACCAGAAAAAAAAAGAGAGATGTCCAATGTCTCAACTCAATATGTCAAAAAGTAATCTGCATGCGGGACCAACAAAGGTCTCTCGTTGCAAATGTGTTGCCATGTATGTGTTGAACCACTACACCGCTTGCTGCTGCTGCTTCTTCTTCTTCTTCTTCTTCTTCTTCTCGTGCTGAACCGACATGTATAGATACACACACACACACACACACACACACACACACACACACACACATACACATACACACACACACACATACACACACACANCACACACACACATACACATACACACACACACACATACACACACACACACATGCACACACATACATACACACTCTCTCCCCTCCCATCTCTCTCTGTATATCTGTGTGTGTGTGTATGTGTGTGATCATTCTTCATTCTCTACATACTATTACATACGTTACTAGAACGTTGTCGTATGAGGTGACAGCAGGACCGCGTATATAATAAAAATAAAATAAATGTCTGATCGGGGAGAGACCAGGATTTGCTAGCCCAACTTATTCTCCGATGGGGAGAGAGACAAAGAGCCTCAGCCCGGGGTCATGCGTATGCACCGAGTCCGTGCATACGCACTGCACACAAGCGGGTAGATAGACTATCACTAGTAGGTACTATTACTAGTAGGTAGACAGACGTATGATACATCGGAGACGAGGAAGACAGAAGGGGACCACAATGACAAGAAACGCTTCCGGGACGTACTTGGGTGTGCTAGTCTCACACTACAGTCCGTCTACGGCATCTACTCCAGTCTCTCTATTCGTATTATTAATTCGGCAGAGAAATCGTGCCATTTTCTTCTTCCCACCCCCTCCATGTTGTCGTTGTGGGGAAAAAAGTGAATCAAGTGTAGAGGAGATCGGGTTTGAGATGGAGAGAGAGCGAGAGAGAGCGAGAGAGAGCGAGAGAGAGCGAGAGAGAGCGAGAGAGAGAGACAGAGAGAGCTGACTGGTCTCATTGTCCCTTTTCCAGATAAGAAAGGAGGAGATAAAGAAATGAATTGATGAACAGGAAAGAAAAATAAAGAGGTTGCGCGCGCGCACACGTCTCGCTCGTGTCTGTGTGTAAGGAGTAGTATGAATGGGATCGGCATGCAACAAAGGTTTGATTTTAAGCTGGTAATAATAATAGGCATTTCCGTCGTCATCCTCTGGCCGTTTCCGCTTTCTTCCTCTATCTGGTCGCCCGTAATCCCCGCCCCATCCTGTTCCGGTCTCTCTTTGTTCTCATCCAGGCCGCCCCTCCTCCTTCTCCTCCGCCAACACCATCCCCCTTCTTCCCTTTAGTCGCTCCCGTGTTGTTCTTGTCGTTCTTGTTCTTCTCAGGCTTTCTTGCTCCTCTCCGTCCTCTCCTTTTCCCTTGAGACTATATTCTTTTTTAGAAGGCTAATCCCCACATCGAGAGAGTCAACCAACTCTGTTGACCCTCTCTCGCTTTCCCTTGTTCGTTTCCAGCTTTCACCACCCCTCCCCCCCCATATCTTTCTCTAGTCTCTACTCCATATTCTGTGCGGTGGTGCCTCTTTCCGACTGATACATGGGCCGCACTGAAAGTCACATACCTGGGTCAGCTAGATTGACTTGAAGTCTTCCCTAGCCCATCCTTCCTCTCGAGCTCTCTCTCTCCACACTCCCTCCCTCCCCCCCCCCCCCACCCCCCCTGTTCAGATACTGACAAAAACCACGTCGTCCATTTTAGGTGTCGTAATCTCCCCCACCCCCCCCTGCCCCCCCCCCTCACTATTAGAACCCTGGGGTAGAAGGGCGAGATTGTCTTTGTCGTTGTTTGCTCTTCCACTCGCCTCTTGTTCTTGTTCTCGTCTGCGTTTGCTGCCAATGGCACAGGTCGCAACGTTGACTCTTCGGCATAGAGAGGCCGGAATGGTCCATCCGCCGATGCAGCTACCTGGTCTAGACGATCCCAGCATTCTTCGCCCAGGGGTGGCTCTACCTGGACAGCAGCAACAGCAGCATCAGTCAACAGGAAGTACATCGACATTAGCATCGTCGTCAGCAATGGCGTCCAGCAATCCGTCTCAGCAGCAGCAGCAGCAGCAGCATCACCACCATCGTCGTGCGTCATCTAGCATAGACGACACGAGAATGACAAGCACACCCGCCTCCACAAAGGCAGAGACGTACGGGGAGGATCAGCTTTGCATGTGCACACCTGCACAGCATGTTCCTCGACCCTGTAATTGTAAGCTAACCACCATCGTCTCCTCCACTCCTTTTCCGTGTGTTTTTTTCCCCCTTATTTTTACCCCAAAAGGGGGAGGAGGAGGACGAGGGGTTGTATGTAGAGACATCGCCAACATCCATTGTGAACCCGCTGACCGATGACGAAATCAAACCCACCCACTCTCCTTTCCCTCCCCACAGCCTTCATACTCTACCGAACACGTATGGCCGCACAGGCCACGGCCGAGAACCCGGCGCTGTCCAACCCGCAAATATCAAAGATCCTGGGAGACCGCTGGGCCAAGGAGACGGACGAGGTCAAGGCCCAGTGGAAGAGATTGGCCGAGGAGGAGTCTAAGCGGCATCGACAGCAGTACCCGGACTACCGCTTCCAGCCCAAACGCCGCGGGAGCAAGGCCTCACAAGCTAGCAGGCTGAACGACGACGACTCGGAGCGATGCCCCAGGTGCAACGGCCTTAGGGTGCCCCGAGCACCACCTTCGGCCGGTTCCAGGCAGAGATCCGACTCCATCCCCGACTCCTCGGCACTGCTCCCGCCGCACCAGCAGCAGCCGGGACGTGGGATCGTGAGGACCGCCAGCGAGCTCGACGACCTGGATATGGCATCGCCGGAACTCAAGAGACGTCGCCTGACCACCGTCGCGGAGGGGCACCCGGGCATACACCCCATCCAGACCTGGGCGTCCGCCCACGACCCGCGACACCACCAGCACCAGCACCACAACCACCCGCAGGGGTACTCCCCCGCCGCCAGGACACCGACGTCGGCCGGCTTCGACGCCCAGTCGCGGGGCGGGTACCCCCCCATGGGCACCGCCCTCCCCGGCCCGGGCGTCGTGGCCAGGCAGCCATCCGTCCCGCGCCCGCCGCACCGGGCGCCACCACCGCCACGACCTGCCGGCGTCTCCGGACCCTGGACGGCAGCGTCGGCGGGCTATGCGCCGTACCGTCGCAGCCCGCCGGCCGAGTCTGTGCGTCTGCCGCCGCTCAAGACGGCCATCACGCCGACGGCCGCGTCGTCAACGACGGGCGCGCCGTCAGCGACGACATCCCACGATCCGGACTCGGCACTGGGGTATCCGCCCATCACGGCCGGCCTGGGCATCACCGGCGGGAGGGGCTCGCCTGAGAGGAGCGCCGCGGAGCAGATCATGGCTCTCCCCTTCGCGCGCAAGATGGCCGTCGTGAGCAAGATCTGCCCGCCGCTGCCGCGTACCGGAGGACCCGGGGCGTCGGGGAAGCGCGGGGCCGTCATCGCCGTCGAGGGCTCGCGGAGCGATATCCTGCACCAGGTGTCGCAGGCAGTGGAGAAGACGCTGGCGGGGTGTCAGCGCGCCAATCTCCGCGCGTGGGCCAACGAGTCGCCCTTTGACGGTGGCGCGATCTCGTCCGCTGCGGGCGAGCTGCAGGACCGCATGCCTTCCATCTTTGAGGATATCCTGTCTTGGCACAAAAAGTCCAAGGAGGTGGCGCGGCACGTGCTCGAGCCCGCAGCCGCCGGGGGCAGAGCCTCGCCCGGAGACGGTGACGAGGTGTCCCCGACGACGACGACGACGGCGGCGCGGCTCCCCGCTCCGAGCGTCGCCACGCCGGTGGCCCTGCTCAAGGACGGCTTCAGCCTCTCCATGTCGGATCGGTTCGCGTGCGCGACGAGCCGCTCGCTCAGCAACTACGGCCCCGTGGACCACTGGCAGTGGATGGCGACGCTGTGGAGGGGCATCGTCGGGCCGGACCTGATCGTGCACGCCGTCGCCTACCCCGACGACGACATGGAGAAGCTCAAGACTGTCGAGTTCCAGAAGCACCTGGGCGTCATGGCGGTGCGCGTCGCCGCCACCGCCACCACGCTCGACGAGGCGACCGAGAGGAGACTCAACTTTGAGATTCTCGAGTGGGTGAACGAGGTTTGGCCCAAGGAGACGGGGCGTTGATGAGAGGGGATGATGGACACCCTGTACGAGTATGAGCATGCCTGGGGAGCCACACGGCACGTCGCGGAGAGAGACATACGGGGACGCAAGAGGAACGGACGGGGAATACGGAGGGATACGGGGCGGAGACAGGCAGAGAGATATGATGGACTCCCCTATTCGGAGAGGGCAGTGACATACATTACTACACAACACATATCTTGCATTAGTAGTATATATTATTCTTTCCATGTATACATGTACATCTATCCAGTCAATCCTCCCCCCCCCCCACCAGGAATCAGGGGTTTCTTCTTTCTCTTTGCTCTATGTCCTTCTACTGTTGAAGAGTATCTACAGTTCATTGTAGTAGAAGATATAATACTACTATGATAGCGGGTAATGATCAAGACGGCGGAGACCTTGGAACAGTCAATTCGTGTCGATCTTGAGAAAGTCGGCGAGTCCCAAGTTTTGATAACCCAGACTGTGTCATGCATCCATCCGTATTGGGTTTAGCGTCAAGCTGATGACCTGTCGTGGGCCCGTGGCAGCACAATGAAACAGAACAGCTGTTACTCTGTATTCCAAGTCACTGAACGAAGAGAGAAAGAATATGTTGAACGATGTTAGACGTGAATAACGGTGGATCAAGGGCCTGTAGAATATTCTCGTCTCTTATTTACTCATGATCTGCTCAGATGTGATGCATGTGCTTGCTAGACGCTGATGCAGATTAATACATATATCATACGACGTAACCCGGCAGGCGGTACGGAGTACCTGGAGTAGCTCCTGCCCCAAGTTTCCAGGTTCGCGTTTATTAGCCCAACCGACGCGTTCTCCACTCTGCCACAGCGTTCAGGAGCAACAAATCTTTGGGGGGGGGGGGGGGGGGGGGGGGGACAGCGGTAACTTTCTCATAGTCAATCAACAGTAGCCGACAAGCAAACGACGACGACGACAAGCAGCACAACGCGAGAGAGTCGATATAATCCGCCATGGTTTTTCGGCCCGTCGCCATCTCTCTCGCTTCTCCATAGTTAATAGCACCACCGAGAGGCAAGGGAATAAAAAAAAAAGAAACAGAAACAGAAACAATGCCCGAGTTCAAACCGGGCCAGACGGTCCAGCTCAACGATGGCCGCAGAGGAACCGTCCGCTTCGCCGGACAGACCAACTTCCAGGTCGGCGAGTGGATCGGTGTCGAGCTCGACGAGAAGACGGGGAAGAATGACGGAAGCGTTCAGGGCGAGCGGTACTTTGACTGCCCCATGGGATACGGCATGTTCGTCAAGCCCATGATGGCCACCATCCTCGCCCAGCCCAAACCCGCTGCTGCTCCTGCGCGCAAGTCCAGCAGGCCCGGCAGCTTCAACCCGGCGTCTGCGAGGGCGTCGACCGGTCCGGACGCGGGGTTGAACAGGAGGAGGAGTCTGAATGCTCCCAGCCCAAGCCCCGTGCCCAAGGCGAGGGCGTTGGGAGTCAGGGTTAGTAGCAACTCTTCCCTCCCCCCCCCCTCTTCCCAGCGATAGCCCGGCTGAGAGCTGACCGTTTGTGTGGTTGAACAATTAGTCTCCTACCAAGTCGCCTACAAAACCGCCTACGAGCGCATCAACGCCCAGAACCGGCACGCCCTCCAACACGCGAACGCCTTCGGTGGGTGGTGTCAAGCCCCGAACGTCGAGTGCCGGCACGAGGACGTCCATGGGACCCCCGGCCGCGCCGGCCACCACTCGGACTGCGCGCCAGTCATCCGTGTCCTCCGTCACAGGGAGACCTTCCTCCGGAGCTGGGCGAGTTTCCACCGGCGCCCCGACGAGGACACTGAGCGGCCGCTCGTCGCATGGCGGTCCTCGCGCTGGAGCGGCATCGCGACCAGAGAACATGAAGAGGGCGTCGTTTGACTCACTGGCCGGACACGGCAGCGGGAAAGAGGACGACGATATGGGGTCTCCCCTTGGCACGGATGGAGAGATCATCTCGCCACAGCCGAGGAGAGCCGCTGCTGCGAGGTCGAACACGGTCGAGAAGCTGACGGCTGCCTCAAACGGTACGGCTCCACCAGTGAGAAAGGTTTCGGCGGCTACGACACCGCGTGCTACGGCCGCCAGCTCCGCCGCCGCCAGCAAGGAGATCGAGGACCTCAAGGCCAAACTCAAGGTTCTCGAGCGTAAACGACTCGAGGACAGGGACAAGATCAAGCAGCTCGACAAGGTCCAGTCCGAGCGCGACAAGTATGAGGGCGTCGTTCAGAAGCTGCAGCAGAAATATCAACCCCTGCAGCAGGAGAACAATGACCTGCGAAAAATGATGAAGGAGGCCGAGGCCAAGTTCGAGTCCGTCGAGACGATGCAGGCCGAACATGAGACAGCCCTCGAGCTGGCCACCCTCGACCGGGAGATGGCCGAGGAAATTGCCGAGGTGCTCAAGGCCGAGGCCGACGCGCTCAGGCAAAAGGTTGAGGAGCTCGAACTCGAGGTCGAGGTGCTGCGCGAGGAGAACTCAGAGTACAGCCAGGGCATGTCCTCCGAGGAGCGTGCTAGTACGGGTTGGCTGCAGATGGAGCGGACAAATGAGAGGCTACGAGAGGCCCTGCTCCGCCTGCGAGACCTGACGCAGGAGTCCGAGGCGGAGCTCAAGGACCAGATCTCTGGCCTGGAGGAGGATCTCAAGGAGTTCAACACCCTCAAGGAGCAGCACACGTCGACCCAGGAGAAGCTCACCCAGTCCGAGACCGTTGTCGAGGACCTCCGCCAACAGCTCGACAATGCTCTCGGTGCCGAGGACATCATCGAGGACCTGAGCGAGCGCAACATGTCGCTTTCTGAGCAGGTCAAGGAGCTCCAGGCCGTCATTGACGACCTCGAGAGCCTCAAGGAGATCAACGACGAGCTCGAGGCCAACCATGTCCAGAATGAAAAGGAGCTGCAAGAGGAGCTAGACCTCAGGGACAGCATCATCACCGAGCAGGCCCGCCGCGCTCTCGAGCAGGAGCAGAACATGGACGACCTCGAGTACACGCTGTCGCGCTTCCGCGAGCTGGTGACCAACCTGCAGAACGACCTCGAGGACATGAGGGCCTCGCAGGCCGTGACCGAGGGCGAGTCAGAGAAGCTCAACGACCGTTCGCGCGCCATGATGGACCTCAACATGAAGCTGCAGCTCTCGGCCGCCAAGGCCCAGGCCAAGACGATCGATCTCGAGCTGCGCCGCCTGGAGGCCCAGGAAGCTGAGCAGCACCTCGAGATTGTCAAGCTCTTCCTGCCCGACTCGTACCGGGACGACAAGGACTCCGTCCTGGCCCTCCTGCGCTTCCGCCGCCTGGCGTTCAAGGCCGGCATTCTCAACGGCTTCATCAAGGAGCGTATCAACGGACAGGCCCACCCCGGACATGAGGATGACATCATTGCCGGGTGCGACGCCGTCGACAAGCTCGTCTGGGTCTCGTCTATGTGCGACCGCTTCGTCAATAACATCAGCCACTGCTCCATCGAGCAGTTCTCCCGCTACCAGAACGCCCTGCATGAGCTGGAGCCTGTCGAGCGCGCCCTCAATGGATGGATTGATGGCCTACGCCGCGACGAGCTCAAGGAACAGAAGTGCGCCGACGAGCTGCAGCGCACCATGGCCCTCATGACCCATCTGGCCGAGGTCCACATCCCCAGCAACGACCTGGCTAGCTATGCCGACGAGGCCCACGTCAGGTCGCTCGTGGTCCAGACACGCCTCGACTCGGCTGCCGTCATCTTCACCACGCTACGCGACATGGTCCAGAGGGCCACGCCGGCCGAAGGAGGCGACGAGGATGAGCTGGCCCAGCACTTTGCCAAGAAGACGGAGATTGCCATCACCCAGACCAGGAGCGTCAAGGTTGTCGCGGGCAAGGCCGTCCGGGCGCTGGAGGAGCTCAAGACGCGGTCGCTGTCTCTGCTGCCTGCGACGAGGGACGCCTTTGAGCAGTGCGAGCTGGCCACGCAACAGGCGACGGACCTCGCTCGCCACATCGGCCTCGCCGTCCACAAGCACCTGACCAAGGATGAGGGACGTACCGAGACCTTCACCCACGTCGAGATCCAGGAGGTCATCCAGAAGGCCGTCATCGAGGCGACGTCGGTCAACGAGTCCGACCTCCTGTCCGAGTACCTGAACAAGCTCCGCATCGCCAGCGGCCAGATCAACGACCTGGCCGCCCTGGCCATGGACCTGGACCAGACGCAGGAGTTTGACATGCCTCCGGCACCTTGGAAGCTCCGCAGCGATGAGCTCAGGGCGCTCAAGACGGTGCCCGTCGATGCTGAGGAGGAGCTGCGCAAGCTCAAGGAGGAGTACGCCGAGGCCCGACGCACGGTTGCCCAGAGGGACGAGCACCTCAGCACGGCGGTGCTCAAGATCGAGACGCTCGAGGCTCGGATGCGCGATGCCCAGAACAACATTGACCGCATCGCCGGCCTGCAGGAGCAGCTCGAGGTCTCTGGCGAGCAGATCACGGGACTCAAGGAGGACATCGAGAAGCAAGATAGGGAGCTCAAGAACCTCGAGAGCGAGCGCGACAAGTGGAAGAAGATTGCCAGCGACAGCCGGGCGTACGCCGACGGAGCCGACGCGGGTGCGGCCGGTGCCAAGGCTGGACAAGAGCGTGCCGTGGCGACAGCCCGCGAGATGGACGCCCTCAAGCAGGACATCGAGAGCCTGCAATCCGCGGTGCGCTACCTCCGCGAGGACAACCGCCGTGCGCGCATGACGGAGCAGGGCAAGCACGAATGGCTGGTAGAGCCGCTGAGGAAGCCAGCCAGCGTGTCGGAGCAGCGCAAGGCCCTGGTGGTATCGGAGGGCAAGGACGTGCTCAGGGAGCTGGTGCGCATGGCTTCGTCGGCCGCGCCGTTTGAACTGGGCAAGCTACCCGAGGACAAGCTGGCGTGGCGGCCGGCCAAGACGACGCCGCAGTACCACGCAGCCAAGCACGCGGAGGGCTACGAGGCGTGGAAGAGCTGGCAGAGCTCCGTGATTAAGAAGTCGGAGCTGCTGGCGTCGACGTCGGCGACGTCGAAGAGGAGCAACGGCAACGGCAACGACGGTGCTCGGCTACGCAGTGACCCGGCTGCCCGTCTTCAGATCAGACTGCCCGGGTCGGATGGCAGGAAAATGGTGAGCGGGTCGGCGGGAGGACGGCAGGTGCAGATTGTGGGATCACAGGAGTGGGAAGCGCTCCAGGGGAGGCTGGGCGCTGCTGTATAATTCTGGGTGGACATACACGCATACACACACTGGACACCAAGTGTAGACCTTGTACTTTTGCTGTTCTCTTTTGTTGTCTTATTCGGTAGCGTGGGAACAGATACCCCGTCCTTTTTCTTGCCTTGTATAATACTCCTATTCATGGCATGGTCTTTTGATTGCGTGGGTGACGTTTATAACGACTGAGATTCGTGCAGAGAGCGCCGTGAAGCATTCCACGATCATGAGATGGCCCATGTCGTTGACCGTGACAACGGTGATGTCCAGCACAAGATAAGAATCAGCTGGCCATGCTATTCCTTTCCCTTTTTTTACCTTTTTTTTTTCTTCCTCCCCCGTCTATCGTTTCTCCCTCCTGACCCTTTCAAGACTTGCCCTTCTTCTTATCCTTCTTCTTCTTCCCACCAGCATCCGACGGGCCAGCACCGCCAGCGCCAGCACCGGCACCCATGAGGGCAGCCATGGGATCCATGCCGCCCTGCATCTCGCCCATCATATCCTTGAACAGGTTATCCGAGACGCCCCCGCCGGTCATGGCCGGACTGGCATAAGGCAGGAGGTCGCCCATCTTCCAGCCTCTCGGCACGGAGGGACGGGGGTAGGGCTTGCCCAACTCGGGGAGGAGCTGGCCGCCCATGCGGACGCGCAGGCCCATGCTGTCGTCGCAGGTGGGATTCTCACGGAGAAACCTGGCGACGAGGACATAGAGATGGTGCTTGTTGTTGACGGAGCCGGCGCCGGCGACCTTCTTGAGCCCGACCTTGACGCGGCCCGGGTTCGCCCAGTCGCGCGGGTGCATCTTGTCCGGCTCGAGGAGGGCGGGCAGCCGCAGGCGCGAGCAGGCGCTCGCTATGTCGCGCGCCAGAGGGTTGCGCACCGCCAGCTCGGACGACACCCTGCGCCCCTCGGCGCGGGACCGGCTCGAGTCGAAGTACACCGGGTACAGGCACTGGAAGGAGGCGTACTGCGCCCTGTCGGCGTCGCTGGACAGGTTCTGTGTCGGGGGGAAGTGCCCTCCCGACGCGGCTGACGCGGGGAAGCTGGGTGGAGGGATGGACGAAGGTCTGCTCGTCGTCGGCGGTGGAGGGGCACGCTGTCGGAGGATGTCGCCGTCGTCAAAGTCGTCTAGGTCCACCTCCTCCGGATCGGAGATGGCATCGTCGCTGTCGGATACTTCTTCTACGCGCGGGTGGGACATTTTCTCTGACGGGGCGGCGCGCGCGGAAGGAAGGTTTGATGGGGGAGTGATGGAATCGATGGTTTGGAAGGGGAAGTTCGAATTCTTGTGGGGATGGGGGCACTTTGGGAAATGCTTTGGTGGGGCTGGGATTTGTTCCCCTCCCTCCCCCAACACACATGTGTGTCAGCAAGTTTGTTGGTCAGACTAGAAGGAAAATAATAGTCGTTTCCTCTTCTCACTGGTTACGCTACTGTTTTTAGGTAATACTGATCGTGTTGAAGTTGATTTTTGTTCTTCTGTAATTGGGAATATTACGAGTTTGACAGTGTTGTGTTCGAGAGAAAGTGCAACAGTCCATGCGTTGCTGCTATGTACTTTGTCACGATGGCCTCAACTGGTCGCCTCTACTGCTACTAGTCTTGTGGCCAGCGCACTTCGTGTTTTGGTCTTCATGCCTTGATGTTTTCGGGTTGTAAAAGAAGGTATGTCTTGGTAGGATATATCTACACTCAACTTGATACTCCTCTAGGTATATGGTATACTAATATATCATAGCACCCCGTCGAGTAGAAGAAGAAGAATGGGCAGCAAAGAAAGAAAAGCGACAGCTCGCTCAAGAAGTATCTGTACAATCGCAATGATGCGTCCACGAACAAAGAGAATGCATACCCCCGATGACAACACCGACAAAGAAGACAAGGACGAGTACACTGGGCCAACAATACCAAAAGTACGATTCTAGGAATCCTAGGAAGCCAAGAAGAAAGAGGAAGAAATCAGTTCCAGGCCGGAGAACCGGATGACGTACAGGGAATGCCTCTTACGAGCTCAACCGCAAACTCTCGGAGCTACTGGAGCATAGTGGCGTGGCGAACGTCGCCCCTCGATATGGCCGCCGAAGGTTGACGAGGAGGGAGCTGTACTGGGTGTCGTCGCAGTGTTATCGTGAGGGGAAGAAGAAGGGCTACGATGGGGAATGACGAGAAGCAACAAACTGGAATCTAGGAGAGGTCTCTGAAGAGCAGGCACGTACACTAGGGAGATGTTCTAGGCTGTCCATGTCGTGCTTCGCAATCTTGTTATTTCAGCGTTACTTATAACCCTAATACATCTTGTTGAAGAAGGATCATGTACATGGACGGGGTTTGGTATGAACATTCTCTCTTGTTTCTTGTTACCGACATATTTCCTGTGCATGCCAGCTTCGTGCGTATATGACAGTTTCCGTGATGTAGACTAATTCTGTTTGATATAAGGGTTCTTGAACTTGGTCCCCGGCGGGTGGGAGTCGACGGGGAAACGACAGTGAGGGTGTGTACAGGTCAAATTCTTCATGCTCGGGCACTGCGACAGGAACATGTCCGTCAGCACGATCTCTTCTCTCTCCGGCTCTCCTCGTCGAGGCAATGTCCGAGACGAGGCCCGGACAAGGTAAGAGTGTGTGGATGGGCGGGTAGGGGGCCTACATGATGACCGTAGATGCAATCGTCCGCGTCGCAATCCTGCAGGAACGAGCAAGGGTTGAGCCTGGTCAGCACGGCGATGGCGTCCAGCTCCTCGTCCGTGGCGTTGTACTTGTGGACGAAGACGCACTCGCTGCCGCTGACGCAGGGCGGACGGAGGAAGTGGTTCTTGCAAAGCTTCTCCTTGCGCTTCTTTATGGCCTCGACGACGACGGGGTTGACGTCGATGGGTCTGTCCAGGCCGCGCGGTCCGGGGTTCCACTTTGGCTGCTGCTGCTGCTGCTGGGCCTTTTGCCTGCCCGCCTGCTGCTGGCGAGGGGGCAGGGCCACGGTGAGGCGGGGGGGAGGTGAGGCCGCCCTGCTGCTGGCCTTGGTAGTGTCGACGCCGGGGAGGGGGGAGGGAACCCTGGCGGCCGAGGCCTGAGCCTGAGCCTGGCTGACGCCTGGCAGCTTGGGGGCCTCGGACGGTGTGCTGCCGAGCGGGGTGGTGATGGTTAGGGAGGTGGCCGTGGCGGCGGGAGCGACGGCAGCATTGTTGTTATCATCGGTGGCGGTAGTACTGGTACGTTCGAACAGCTTCTCACGACGGAAGAGATCGCTTCCAATCTCGAATACGTTTACGCCCGTCTCGATGAGGGCCCGAGCGGCGGGGACGCCCTGGATAACGGTGACGCGCAGACGAGTCGTCTCGTCGCGCAGTATCTCGTCTAGGAAGGGGGCGTAGCCGCTGTCGTGGGATACGCCTAGGAGAATCTGCTTGCAGTTTTGGTTCTGTAGATGCCATCTAGCGTTTTCTGTTTTTTTGTGTGAGTCAGTGATGATGATGATGATAAGAGATATGCAGAGGGAGAGAGAGTACCTTTGATCTTTGTATCGGCCCTTTCCTTACCCCAGCCGACGTCGATAAAATCAAAAGACGCCATGGCCTGGCTGAAGCCCTGGGAAAAGCCCCTTAGGTCGGTGACGCTGTCGATGACGCCATCGCGGACCATGGCCTTACTCAGGCCGCCCAGGTTGGCGATGATCTTGGCGGATATCTCCATGTCCTGGGCCATGATTCCGCACTGGTCAGCCACGGCAGCACGGAGGGCGTACGCGGCCCTCTTCCCGCCCTCGACGCCTTGTCGGACATATTGATCTTGGAACTGGCGGTGAGGTCAGCACAGACAGGGTCTGTCTCTTGCAGCACAGGCACAAGCACACCGGGACAGAGAAGAGACTCACGATAAGCCCATCTCCGTCGATGAGCACGGTAATGTATGGGTTTCGGTTCTGCAGCAGATCTGATTTTTAGCCTGGCACTGGGAGAAGGGGTTCAGGCATCTTCTCCTTTCTTCTCCTCCTCCTTCTTCTTCTTCCGGTGTGGTAGTCACCTTGAAAAGTGTATGATTTTCGTTGATGCGCTCAATATCCTTCGCATACATATCGACAGTCTTTTGGAGCTCTCTTCTAGACTTGACAGCATCGGATAGATCGAGTCTTGTATCTTCAATCTCTTTAATTAGGCGACTATTCTCCGCCGTAAGCGTAGTCTCGACATGCTCGAGGTATAAGATGAGGTCCTGTACGGGGGGGGGGGGGGGAGGGAGCGATGAGATGAATCATCGACGAGATACGTCAGTACACATGCACTGGAGAGAGTCTATACGAGTGGAAACAGGGTATAGCGATAGGCTGTGGGAGGTCTTCATCATCATCTCTCCTCTTCTCACCCTGATAAGGCCATCGGAGGTCTCTCTTTGGGCCTGAAGAGCTTGGAAGCGTTGGATGAAGTCCACTGTATTGCCTTTTGTATCCATGGCTCATATGTCTCTCCCCTCTCTCTCTCTCTCTCTCTCTCTCTCTCTCTCTCTTGAAGTATCTCTCCCGGATAAGATGAGAGGAGAAGCTATCGACTTCCTCGGCCGATTCAATAAACTGTATGAGTATTCTAGCAGTCGCGATGATGAGGTGTCATGGATGGGTTGAAAACGACAGGCGTGAGTATCTCTTTCTCTGAACACCTAGCTCTTTTTCCGTTCTCGGATTCACAATCGTACCTCCTTTGATCTCCAGTAAACAGCCCAAAGGCGGTCGATCGGCTCTCTAGAAGGAGGAGGGACAATAGATGGATGGAATGGGACGAGAATGAGGTTGAAGAGGGAAACGATACGAAAGGATTGAAATCTGCTGGGGATTTTTTGGGTCGACAGGGTTATGTGGCGTGGCCCATCGACCAGGCAAAAAGAGAGCCCCTCATTGTTTACTCTTATTTTAGGCGCTGTAATAATAATAATAGGCGCCGACCCTTGAGGGTTTGATATGCGAGCAGAGCTGTCTTTTATTGATGTACAGATTATTGACTGACATATCTATCATTGTGAGACCGTTTAGAAGAAGAAGAAAGATACGCACGCACACACACACACACATATATATATATATACTGTATATGCTTAATATAAAGAGGAGATCTTACCTTGACATCTGGGATGCATCTTTGTCCTTGACGGTGTACCATGTTAGTTCTGTACAGGCATCACAGTCTACCGGGAGCCATGCTTTCAGTGGTGGGTCATCATCACAGCAGTTTCTTAATCCTACCAGTCTCTGCGGAGTATTATTGCGGAGTAATGTTGTCTCACCAGAGAGTAGTAATAATAGAACTGATAATAATATCTGATTCTACTCCGTAGCGTCTATCGAAACCACCAGGGAGGGGGGGGTTAGCCAGCTGGTTAGGACTGACTGCTCTTCTTTCATCTTCCCCTTCCCTTCTTCTGTCATCACTCCAACTCGTAATAGATTAAATCATTATACTGTATTCCCGAGTGCATCCAATGGTTGCCTCCTCGGGCAATTCCCTCTGAAAGGTCTCAAAGAGGTCAGTGCACCCGTAATGGAGCATAGAGCTGCAGCAAGCCATCGCTCCCAACGGGTGTCAATATCTTACCGCTTGCTTTTGACCTTTGCATAATGACGTGGCTTAGGCAAATCTCGCAATCTCTGGTCACTTCGTTTCTTTTTTTGTTTCCCAGCTCATAAGCTTGTTTTCTTCTGTTTCCTCTTTCCTCTCTTTCTTCTTTCAACATTTGGTACCGACTGCGACGTACGTGGCCGTATATCTCCTGCTAATATAGCATTACTGCTGCAGATGTAATCTGTACTCCTACTATGACTATTACTGCTACTAATGATACTCCGAACTGCTACCGCTATTACTGATATGTGATAATATGACTACCACTACCCCGTACATCACCACATATACAGACAACGAGCACGTGCCTCTTTTTCTTCCTACCGCATCTACCCCGACGTCGATCCAGGCTGGTATTGGTTGAGAAGTTGCCACACGGTATCATCGCCAAACACGCCGTCAAAGTGCCACGGTATATCAGCACCCCCCGTAGCATCATCACCCACGGCCGTCGGCGTCAGCCCGGTCGTCGGGAGTGCCGCCGTCCCGTCATCCACTGCGTTCAGCTCGTTGAATAGAATGTCGTGGGAGGGGTACATGGGTGCCAGTGAGGCGAGATCCAAACCCGTCCAGTCTGGAGCAGCAGCAGCAGCAGCAGCAGCAGCAGCAGCAGCAGCAGCAGCCGAAGCATCGTTGCCACCCAAATGCATCATTGCTATATATTCTTCTCCGCCAGTAGCAAGAGCAGGAGCTATGCCACCATCGTCGTCGACGGAGGTTCCTTGCCGTCGATTCGGTGCGGTCTCACCGTCGCTCGTCCGTCCAAGACTGGGCATGCTCTTCGCCGGCGTCACTGTCGTGGCGGTCGACATGCCCAGCGCCCTGTCGAGCTTGGACTTTATGGCGCGTAAGATTCCCTGGGCCGACCCGACAAGGGCGTTTCGCTTCCTCATGGCCGTGAAGCGCTCGATCGTCCACTGGAACTGCTGCGACGCGTCCTTGCCGAGGTCTCGGTTCTCGTTAGGGAAGAGTATATAGATGATGGACATGGTCACCACGGCGTCGAAGCTCCCGTAAAAGAGGTGGTAGCTTTTTTTTTTGAGGTCGGAGTCGGTACGTCAGTTCTATGCATACGAGAGCGAGGGAGAGAGTAGGAGGACAGAGAGTAACGTAGTGAGAGGAGAAAGAGAGACAGAGGCATGATGGACTCACTTCCTCCAATAATCCGGTGGCATCCCCTCAAACATGGCACTGGCCCTATCGAGAGCCAGCAGGCTTGCCTTGAGCGCCTCGTCGCGACTTCTCCTCCTGTGGAAGATGTACGGTCTGTGCAGCAGCATGATGCTGTTCGCTTGCTGGCATGCAAAGTGGTACCTCATGAAGCGCAACCAGTGTGTGTCCCGGTCGCGGTCCCAACGGTCGTCCGGGTGGTCGACGCGGAACACGGCCGGCTTCCGGGCGTCGATGTCGAGGATCTCGCGGTGGACCCTCTCGACGTCGGAGAAGTCGCGCGGCCTGGGCCCTTCCTTCTCGAGCGCCTTGATGTCTACGAGCGGCCGGTTGACCTCGCTCAGCCACGTGATGCTGGTAAGCGTCGTGGGGGGGTCCCTGTCCGGGTCGCGCGGGACAATGGGCGTGCGTCCCAGGGGTCGGCCATGGGGGAGCACGCAGTCTACCGGTGGAGTAGGAAGTTCCTGCGTGCGGTCTATGACGCCAGGCCGGCCGAGAAGTGCAGCCATGTGTATGTCCCTGGAGGGGTGGTCAGGGATAGATCGGTCACCGGGCCACACACACACACACACACACACCACGCACATACATACCACTGGGCAAGGACGTGATAGCATCTCCGTCGTCGCTGGATGAGCCATTCATTCTCGAGAATGCTCTCTGGGCTGGACGGGTCTTTTGGTTTGGGATCTAACGAGTCTCGGTGCATACCCAGCTCCTGGGCATCATGAATTGTCATGGCAATAGCGTGCCACTGTACATGTCAGGTTTTTGGAGGGAAAGTGAGATGTCATCTCGGCAGGAGGGGGGATAAGGAGAAGAGAGGCAGAGAGAAAAAAAAAGGTGGAAAGGTGAAACTCACAGACTCAGTCACATGAGCCGTGTATTTTAAAAAAGTACCCCTCAGAAACTCGGCCAGCACAGTCGTAAGCGTCAGGCTCCTCTTGTCAAAAAGGCCGACGACCGCTACGCCCGACTGGCTATAATCAGCCGCGAGATCCTCAAACGTCATCGAGGCAGCGTACTTGAGCGGGGCAAACTCGCGCGCCAGGTGGCCATCCTCGCCGACGATCAGCAGCGCCGTGGCGGCCATCTGGAACAGCACGGCGGGGAAGACGCCCATGTCCGGCGACGACAGGCCCTCGGGTCCCCTGGTGTGCAGGACGGAGAAGGGCAGGCCGTCCCACTCTTCCAGCTGCCGAGACAGCACGTCCGGGTCCACCTGGTAGTACTGGTAGTTGAACTTGTCGAGGAAGATGGATATCAGGCGGTCGAGGTACACCCGCGCCGGGAGCTGGCGGATCAGACCTTTGAACGCCTCCCTCACGGCGGGACTGGATTGGCCTTGTGATTGAACCCGCGCCCGCGCCCGCGCCTGCTCTGGTGGTAGCACTGTACTTTCGGTTGTGGCTGTGGGGTCGACGAAGCTGGTATCGCCGGTGATAGTGCCCGTGGCTTCGATCTTGCGCAGAATCCCTACCGCCGAGCCGTCTGCCTGGGAGTATCCTAGCGTCGCGGCCATGGAAGACAGATCACTGCTGTTCTGGTTGTCGCCGTTGCTCTTGTCGCCAACGGACCATGGTGATGGTGATTTGGCTGTTCGTTGCTGTTCCTGTTGGAGGACGACAACCTTGGCTACCTTTTCATATCGGCACGATGATGCCTTGTTGCGGGCCTTGCAGCTGGCGCATGGCAGTCCTCTGTCGCACTGACATTCCCGTATACCTCGTCAGCTTTTGTCCTCTCTCTCTCTCTCTCTCTCTCTCTCTCTCTCATCTCTCATCTTCTCTTCTTCTCATTCTTCTGTCTTTCCCCCCTCATCTTCATTACTTGTGATATAAAAACACACCTTTTGTTTTCTCCGATGACACTCTATACACGACACAACCAGCCTTCTTCTCCTCTTGCGCAGAGGCGTAGGCGCATTCTTCTGATCTGGCGCCCAAGTCGGAGCATTGTCCATAAGTTCATGCATGCGTGAGCGCGCTCTCCCACAACGCAAGGGATTTAGGATGGGTAGGGAGGGGGCTCAGTTGGGAGAAGAAAGAATAGTTGGAAAAGAAGAGTTCAACAAGGCATATGATTTTTTTTTCTTTCTCTTCTTTGCCCTTTTCTCTGCTTCCTATTTCACCCCCCCAAAAAAAAGTCAAAATAAACGTGTTGATTGAGAAGAAGAGAAGAGGGGGAAAATTTGTCAGCGAATATGATTTCAGATCGGGAGGGCATTAAGTTCATAGACGTAAGGTCGGTCCGGTAGTAGTAATACTGTGTGGCTAACCAGCTTTGTCTCCTCACGGTAGCTCTAATGCCCGTGGAGTTTTGCCCGGATCCCAAGCCGGAAAGAGTTGGTTATGTCCGACGGCGTTTAATTCCTGCTTGGGAGGGGAGGGGGGGGGTGTCCCACCACGGCTAAGAATAAGAGATGCACGTCATCAAGTCTGACTACATGGTTGAAGTACAGAGTACATGCTCATGAGAAGAAGCGAGAGGGGATTGATAGGGTTTATATATTAAAATAGAGACCAAGATAGATATTAAAAGACGTTAAATGGTATATACCTGAGAGAAAACCCAGTTAAAAGACTCCCAATATGTATATCTTGTGATATATATCTACCTCAAACATCCCCCAGTCATATCCGTTGCTTACGTTTCTTACGTTTCTTTCTTTTATATGTCTTATCCCCCTTCCATCTTCCCCGACTGTTCCTTTTTTTCCCCCATTATATAATCAAGAAATGAGGAAGAAGAAAAAAAAATAAGTATCCTTCGTGTACACTCCAACAGAACGCCTTCTCCCAACCGACCTCTACAACCCAACAAGGCTAACGCACCCTCTCAGTGTACGCCTTCCAAGCAGCAGATCTATATCTGTCAGCCTCGTGCTCCGGGTCTCCAGCCTTGATGATACCCCTGCCAACAATGGCTATATCCGCCCCGCAAATGCCAATCAGCTTGCCGGGGGTGTTGTACTGCTGGCCCTTGCCATCGCCCATGGCCTGCTGCTGCTGCTGTCCTTCATCGGGGTTGCCGTCCTCGTCGTGCTCGGGGGGAAGCTGGCACCCGGGCGTCATGTGGATGAAGTCGTCCTCGGGCAGTGTGTTGAGGGCCTCCTGTGACACAAAACCCATGACGAAGTCCTTGTGCTCGCGCGCGGCCTCTACGCAGGCCTGGGTGTACTCTGCGTTCATGAAGTTGCCCTTGGACGACATCTGGGCCAGGATGAGGAGACCACGGTTAAGGGGCGCCTCCTCGATGCCGTGGAGGAGCGCTCCCTCCTCCTCCGATATGGCCTGGTGGAGTCGCGGCGAGTGGGCGGGCTCGTACTGCTGCGTCAGGGTGGTGATGGATACGATGCTGCCCTTGCGTCCTTCCCCCGGTTGAGGCTGCTTGCCGTTGCCGTCGCCGTTGAACTGGAGGATGTTGCTGTTATTGTCGGGCGATTGCAGGTGGCAGTCATCCTTGTCGTTCTTGCCGTCGCGCTCGTCCTTGTTGCTATTGTTGTTGTTGTTGTTGTTGTTGTTGCTGTCGCCCTCCTCGTCGTCGAACTCCTCGCCCTCCATGCGCGGCGTGCCGACCGTGACCGACGTCTTGACCTGGTAGGGGATGCGCTCGAGCCAGCGGGCGGCAGCGTTAGCCAGACTGGTGACGGATGCTTTGCCGGGCACCATGTTGACGTTGGTGATGTGAGCCCAATCGATGATGCGGGCGGATCCACTTGTGTACTGCAGCTCAACCGTGTTGCCAATGTCGCCGAACTTGCGGTCCTCGAAGATGAGGAAGCCGTGCCGACGGGCCAAGGCCGAGAGCTTGGCGCCGGTGCCCGTCTCCTGGTCGTAGTCCCAGCCCGCCACCATGTCGTGGTGCGTCTTGAGGACGACGATTGACGGTCCGATCTTGTCAGCGAGGTAGAGAAGCTCACGGGCCGTGGGGACGTCAGCACTCAGACACAGATTAGAGGCCTTGAGGTCCATGAGCTTGAAGAGGTATGCGGTGAGAGGGTGGGTGGTGGCCTCTGACCGCTGGGCGTAGGTCATCTTGAGGGTAGGATGAGGCGTCGCCATGGTTGCGGAAGGGGTGGTGAGAGGGAGGCTGATTGAGCCTTGAAAGTTGAAATATGGCGATGCACAGTGAACCGTTTCTACCTCCTTCCTTTTTTCTCGAGAAAGAAATAAAAGACGAGAGGATGAAGAAGCAGAGTGCCGGTAAGGGTGTGGGTGAGTGTCGAGGTGAGATGCCAAGCCAATATATTTTTCAGTCTTCACGTGGAGTGACGTATTTGTATGAAAGTAGGTGAGGCACACAGCGTAGCAGTGGCTGGAAATAAAAGGCTGAGGATGATGAAGATGGTGGTGAAGCTGCTGCTGATGGTTGGTGGGGAGAAACTGAGATAGGTTATACGTCGAAAAAAAAAATCCACACTCCAAAGCTGTTTGACTTGTCTTGTTGTCTGTCTTTTTGGTCTTTTTTTTTGGGCGTGGCTTCTAAACCTATGGGGGAAGGGCAATGTCAGCAACAAAGAAAATGCAGGCCACCTTTATTTCAAATAAAACAGGTCGCTGTAATAGTCCAGAAGAGAGCCCAACCTCCCCCATGTATTCACCCCCATGAATCACACACACAGCCCCCCCGGGAGGAACACAAGGGGAGAGAGACTTAATAGCAGAGGAAACAGGGACAGAGAGAAAGTAACCTCGTAGGGGTGTGCGGAGGGGCCTCTAGCCAAGACCGGGGTTGTGCGGTGGCGGCCACACCGAACATCGATGTTGGTTCAGATCCACGGAGGGGCGCGAGCGAGGAGGGGGAAAGAGAAGAGGAGGTGACGATAGGTGATAGGGAGGGAAGGGGAGAGGCAGGGGGAATTAGACCCCTGGCAATAAAGTGTGTATTATGTGTTGTTGCTGGCTTTTGCTTGTTTTCGGACCCTGACAATAGTAGTGCATGGGGGATAAATGAATGATGGGTGTGTGGGAAAGGAAAAAGAAAATCGTGCGTGTGTGTGTCTGTGTGTTTGTGTGGTGTTTGGGGGGGTTTTTTTCCCCTACCTTTTAGGCAGGTATTAGGACGTACAAAAGGAAAAAAAAAAGAAGGAGCAACTTGTATGATGTCGACGTGGAGACTAAACAAGTTAAGCGGGATATAAAGAGAGACGGTGTGGGCGATGTGGAGAGAAAGTAATAAAAAAAAGTATGAGAGAGTTGCACACACAGAGAGAGAGAGAGAGAGGGCGCGTTTGCGACTAGAAGAGAAGGAGAGGAAAGACGATAATTATGTGTGAGTGATTCAAGGTTGAGAGTTGAAGTTTTGGATGGTGAGTTGAAAAGAAAATATGTGGGGAGGGGGGGCCTGGTGGAGGTGGAGGCTGAGTTGTTGTGGTGGTGCAGTATTAGCTGTAGGGAATACTACTGCAGGACCTAGTAGCTGTTACTACGGTGGTATGTATGTACACATCAATGGTACTATTACTACTATTCTTACAGGTATTCTACTCTAGTAGTAAGAGTACTACTAGACTGTATGCAGCAGTAGTAATGATTGATGGCAGAGATGGCGGCATGTGCCGACGGTTATTCAGAAGGTCAGACTATATGATTTTGGTCTGATCCTAGACTCTGGCAATGGCATTTTTATATAGTACGAGTACAAGACAGCTGATGATGGCCATCTGGTAACTTGCAAGAGTACTGCTGATTAGGATATACAGAAATCTACTCGTACGGTAGCACCTTGATCAGAAATCATGGACCCAGCAGGAACAAGCCTATGCAGTCTCCTGTCTCCTGTCTCTCCTAGTCTGCACGAGTACGAGTAAACAGGTCCGAGGGTTCAGTAGAGTAGCTGTATCCTGTAGCGTTATTATCACGTCGTAGGAGCAGTATTGCAGGTACAGATATATACCAGTAGATTGTCATATAGAGTACGGAGTACCTGTAGTAGAGCAGAGTGCAGATTGACAGAGAATACCAAGCACATGATAAAATCTTTGTTACACGTCTATTTGTCCTCGACTCCATACGGAGAGTACGGAGTATTACTGCTACTACATGAATATGTAGTACGTAGTAATAATACCTACAAGGGTGGGGGCGTTTGGAGGACAGTCATAGCGACCGTTTTGGTATGCCTCATAATGGCATGTCACAATTGCCAAGCTGTTCCTTGGAAACGAACATTCTATCAGATTCGTGCTGCTGCTGCTGCTGCTGTTGTTGTTGTTGCTGTTGTTTTTTTAATTTTTAATTTTTAATTTTTTTTTAATTTTTTTTTTAACCTTGAAACATGTCGGGATAACAGAGTTATAGTCGAAATCTTCGAACCCTTGCGAGATGCCGAAAATGATTACAGCCCTGACATAGTCACAACAGCCCTGACATACGAGTAGTTTCAAGATCACAAGTATATTTGACTCTGCTATGGCTACGGCTACGGCTACCAAGGTTGCTGTTGATGGCTGTGTACGATGACCCGCTGACCGTCCGTCTGCAAAGACCTCTATCATGACCCGACCAACGACCCGACCAACGTACCTCTTTAGTGATTATCGCTCTTTACCAGACCCTATACACTCGTGTAGATCCTTGTAGAAAAGGGGGTAGTCGCTGCAGAGGTCGTTGCACAGATCTGTAGAGGTCAAAATTAGAGAGGAGGAGGAAGGGGAAGGGGAGAAGTATCGGTAGCAGTAGCAGCAGTAGTCCATAGCAATAGTAAAAATGGAAGGAGCAACCGACCGGTTGAGGGCATCGTGACACTGCATGTACTAATGAGACGAACAGGGTCACAGCACCCGACGGCTTCAACGGTATAACTGCATTCCTATATTAGAGACACCTGTTAGAATCATACAACCGGTCACTCTTGTAGGTCTCGTATTGTTTTAGGTACCGTAATAATGTATCACGAAAAGAGTCATGACAGTACTGTACTGCTACGAGTCCTATTAGTACGTTAAGAGGGTGCCAGTCTGTTAGTAGTGGATTTTCTCTCTCTCTCTCTCTCTTTTTTTTTTTTTTTTTTGCCAATAGTGGCTATGACTATGTTCCGGAACGCCCCTGCCCTCGTAGGTAGTAATAATACGGGTACTATTAGTAGTATTATTATTAGTACGTTTACTCCTTACTCTGACTGGCACCCATCTGATTGATCAATGATCATTGGTCAATCATCTTCCTCGTCTTTATTCAAATCCCCTGTTGATAGAAAGCCCTGCCATTCCCCCCCCCCCAATGGATTTCTTCTCCCTCTCTACTCGTAACCTCTCACCTCTACTCGTACTCACCTTTCTTTCCTCTCCTCTCTTCTTTCCTTCCCAACTCCTCCCCCCCTTTTCTTTCTTTTTCCTTTCGAACCCCCCTCCCCCCCGTTCATGCACCGGATATTCCCCGTGCAGCCGCAGAACTAGGTTTACCTTGGCACTCCAACACTTTGGGTACGACAACCGTCACCGCTTGGTATATTATTTGACAGTCATACATCGAGGCGGCGAACGCGGCACTGGGGGTATGTGACTACTGCTGTTAGCACTAGTATTAGTTAGGCATTTACCACTGACCGGTTCCTGTAATGTTTTCATATGTATTACTCTGTACGGGTAACATGGTATGTGCGTGTGCGCGTACGATATTACCCAACAGGCTAGCGCCAACGAGAGCCAAAAAAGACGAAAGAAAAAGAAAAAAGAAAAAAACGAAGAAAGAGGGGCAAGTCAACGCTTTTGTATGACTCTCTCTCTCCCTCTCCTCATCGCACCAATACATTATTACTTCTTCTTTTGGATTTGGTCTTGTCAGATAAATCAAGGGTCACTGCTGGTAGACGGTTACGATTCGTATTTCGGGGACCCGATATTCAATGTCAGGATTACGAGCTTAGAGAGGAATGCCGTAGCAGTAGTATTAACAATAGCACATATGTTAATACAGGTAGGTACGTAGTAGGTATTATTCCTACGAGTTGATAGATTGTCGTATCATCCACACCTTCTACCCCGGTATTATCAACAGCCAAAACTCGCAACAGTTAGCCACTTGATGCCGACCCCTCCTCTTTCTTCCAAACTGTCATGTCGATCGGTGATGTTCGCTATTACATGCACTCTGAACCCCCCCTACCCCTCCCCCCTCTACAAGTGATGCCAGAAATGTGCCTCATACGTATGCAGCTTGGCAACGTCTACTGCAATGTATGCGGCGGCTTTACCAGTGTGCATCCGCCTGCCAGAAATGCCTCTGCGTCGGAGAAGGAGAGCAAGGGAGGGATTATCATCCTGAAAAGAAAGGAAAAAGTGACAGCTTTCAAGACTAATGAACACCACTAGCAGTATGTAGCATCAGCACTACTGCCGCATCAATACTGCAAATGCCGACATGGGGCATTGCCCAGGGTTTCATTCCTTTCGTCCATCCTAGGGCTCAACAGCCGATGGGCAGAACAGCTCTGACGTGACACTTGTACGTGCATTGTTATATATACTATCATAACACTGGTAATTTTTTTTCATCCAGTTAGCGCGGCACTCGCTTATTCTCCACCCTCCTGGACAGCCGATCGCCGTTGCAGCTTTGCCGACCCCTCCCACCATCATAGAAAACCCGGTACCATGGCAACAAGCCCCGTTCTCGTTTACTATATTCTTGCTTGCAAGTTGCAACCAAACACCTCTAACTGAGCCGGAGTAGCGGTAAAACAAACGCTGTAAATAGCTAAGGAGGGGTGGGCTCGTGCTGGGATCGCCACAGGGGTGAGTGGTGGTGAAGGTATCCCCGCCATTGTGTTGCGCCACCAATTCTAGAGGTCTCTTGTTTCCCACACACACACACACGCACACACACTAGCCCACATGAGGAAATCCTATAGATATCATTTCTTGTCAGTTCGCCATCTCCATAGACAGCCCTTGATATCCGACGGTCATATATATATATATATATATATATATGTCTTGGAGCATACGAGTAATACCGTCCAAGATCTCGACACCATCGTTAGCTCCACCCTTTTCTTCCCGCTTCGAAAGACCGAGAAACCCCACAATTCGTCGCGCCCCCTCCCCCACATTGAACGTACGACTACACACATTCGCTCGTACGACTACAGCGATTCTCAAATCATGGCACGGGCTAATACACTGCTCAAGTCTTCATCATACAACCTAGGGGACGGTCTCGTGACACATCTCTTTCTATTTCTTCTCTGTTAATCTCCCTTCTATCTTCTTCGTCTTTCTGCACGTCGGTAGATTCAACATACAAACTCTTCCCATACGGTCCCTGCGGATGACGTCGTGTCCATGGGCGTGCCTTTCTTTTTTTGGGGGGGAAAAAAAAGACCCACTCAGTTGGAAATTTGTTCATGGGCAGTGCCAATTCTTCGACTGGGACCCACTACGAGTACTTCTCCTTAATCTTGGCTCGCTCCCACGACGAATTCGAGTATGGTTGTCGTATTACTCGTAAGAAAATAATACTACCCCAGTAATATTCCGCAATGCCAATATTGTACGACATTCATCACTGATTTGATTATGCAAAGCGAGAATGAGGCAATACACGCACTCTCTGTCGTATGAGGCATTCGTACATCCTCAACTCGTTGCGGGTGCGGGATTCTTAGTCAGCCGACAGCAACAGGGGGTTAGGGAGAGGGAATCGTGTGCGCGCCAACCACAACGTGCAGTAGAGTCAGGCACGGAAAACTGAACGGTTGAGCGTATATGTAATCTCCGTACGATCCATTCGGCGCGTGTCTCGCACCCCGAAGTCGTTATTACTCAGAAAGAGTTGTAGGTACATCTGTCCTAGGAGGTCTCACCTAAGTATTATTACCAGTTGATGTGCTCGAAGAAAAGCCACGGGTATCGGAACAAGTCGGTGGAGACTTGACAGCGTCCGAGGTGCCGAGAAACTCGACCAATCCCTTATGCTAGCAGCAAGGAATCGAACCTGTCCAGAGTACAGAACGAAAGGAGAAGGAAAAGGCCGGGTCATCGTCTGAAGCGGACTCTCCTCCTGATGCGGAATTTTGGCAGACGACATTATAGTGGAGTGTCAGCCACAGGTACGAGTACAGTAATAAAATGGAAGTCTCCCGGGAACCCACCCGTCAGGAGCCCGAGAGGCTGCAGCTATCCTTCGGGGCTTGTCTGCTACGTAGTGGACGTCCAGGCAGAGTAGGGCCTGGGGCCTAGGGAGGGGGGAGCCCCTAAAATTTACGTACTAGCGGCCAGGTACGTACGTCGGACTCCCATCGCACCTATTGTCAGCCCGGTTCGTCAATGTACCCAAGTACACAACACCTCTAGAATCACCCTTAATGCCTGGATCGAAAGGGTCAAGCAACTACCTCTCTCAAACCCCTCTGCGCCTTTCCTCCCGATAACAGAAGAAGAGCCCGTCTCGGTTCATCAGAGCCCATTCCCTATCTCTATCTTTCCCGTTCACCCCACACCTACAAAACACCTACAAGAAGAAACATCTCGCTTTCTATCTCTACGGTATCTTTTCTAAAATTCTTCCCCTCCCTCCCCGCCTCCTTACACGCCGCACGCGTGTGTGCGACCGACGACCCTGAACACGTCACGACCGGAAGAAAAAAAAATCAACCCCTACCGACGACGATCGAACGGCCCCTACGTAGCCCAACCTTGGCATCGCAAAAATACACATATACAGCACATACACGGCACATACACAACCCCGACATCATGCCCCGGCAGACACGGAGGAGCGCAGCTTCCAAGTCGCGCAGGTCGCCATCTTCTTCCCCCTCGGGCGATGACAAGAAGAAGCAGATCGATTCGAATGGTACAGTTCGATCGGAAGTCTCGGAACCAGATGAGGATGGCGAGAACATCTTTCTCTTCTGGCCCAACATAATCGGTATGTTTTCTGTGTCTGTCTGATGGTGTGGAGGAGCAGGTGAGGGGGGAGAGTTTCACCGGCTGACAAGAAATCTCAAATCTCAACCACAAAAAGGCTATTCTCGTATCGTTCTGGCCGTCGCCTCCCTCTACTACATGCCCCTGCACCCGCGCACGTGCTCGGTCCTGTACAGCATCTCGTGCCTTCTCGACGCCCTGGACGGGTACGCCGCCCGCGCTTTTGACCAGTCTACGCGCTTCGGCGCCGTGCTGGACATGGTGACGGACCGGTGCACCACGTCCTGCCTGCTCGTCTTCCTGTCCTCGGCTTTCCCCCGGTGGGCTATCGTCTTCCAGAGTCTCATCGCCATCGACTTTGCCAGCCACTACATGCACATGTATGCCACGCTCGTCGTCGGCGGCGTCGACTCTAGCCACAAGAACATTGACAAGAGTCAGAGCTGGTTCCTCAACCTATACTACTCCAACAAGGTAAGGTTTCTCTCTCTCACTCTCTCTCACTCTCTTCTCCCCCCCCTCTCTCCGCTCTCACACACGCTCTATTCGTTCTCTTTCTCCAACTAACGTGACTGCTTTCTGTTACCAGGCCGTCCTCTTCACCTTTTGCGCGCTCAACGAACTCTTCTTCATCGCACTGTACCTCCTCTCCTTCTCCTCCCCTTACCTCTCCCCTCACCTGATCAAGTCGGTTGAGGAGTCGAACGGTGGCACCATCGAGCCGGGGACGCCCCTCAACAGCTCCATCCTCAGCCAGATCTTCCCCGATCCCTTCAGCGCCGCCGCCCTCGAGCTCGCCCGCGCCAACAAGATGGACTCCCTCCTACCGTGGATCCTGGCCGGCGTCAGCTTCCCGATCATGTTCCTCAAGCAGGTCATCAATGTCATCCAGCTCGCCAAGGCTAGCAAGTGGCTCGCCGACGTCGACGTCAAGAGCCGTCGTGCTCGCGGTCTTCCCAAGAAGATTGACAAGACTGCCTGAGCCGTTCGGGTGGGTTACGCCTATGTCATTGCTTCACACCCCACCGTGTCGATGTTGTATGTGTGTGCGGGTTGGATGAATGTCTTGCGAAGAACAAGACACTGAGATATTGTGAAGTGACAAAGGAAAGGCAAGCAAAGCTTCCAGACATGCCCTCCCCGCCTTTTTTACATTACACGTATCATCAGAAGCCCATGCTTCACCGATTGCATAACCAGGATTTGGCGCCAAGGTATGATTTTTTTTTCAAGGTTGGAAAGGGGAAGACGGGGCAGACAAGGAGGGACGCAGGTGAGATGGGCATCCAAGGTAGGAGACCTTGTCATTCGTTTTTTCACTTTCTCTTATTTCTCTTTTCTTTTCTCATAACCTTTTTTTTTGTTCTTGACTCCGTTTCTAACCCCCCTTCGCTTCTTCTGTATAATATGTCGAGGTGGGAGTCTTGTTAATTTCCCATCTATTCTTTAATTAACTTAAAACTAGACTGCTCGTTCCTTTTCTTACCATCTTTTAATCATAGTATTCCTTTCCTTCTTTCATTTTGTCTTGGGAAGGGGGCGGAGGGAACGGAAGGATGACGATGTTTAGTATAGGGACGTGAGTGGGACTGCAAAGTGCTTGCAGGGTCTGAGGATTTCTTGTATCTCTTCTCTCTCTCTCTCTCTCTCTTCATTCTTAATTTACTCTTTTTTTATTTACTTGAACGTCTCATTACACTTTTCGCGAATGCTTCTTTTTTGTTTTTAATTCTTGAATATTCGACAGCCTGTGTGCGTTGACGTACTACCATCGACATTTCACATCTCCGGTGTCCAATCCCATTCTGTAGCGGTAAACAGCTTCCTGGCCATGCGATCTGCGTACATGGCCCCTTCGTATCTGAGACGCTGGTCATTTGCCAGTGCCCTGGTGAAGGCAAACACTCGACTGCTGTTGCTGTTGTCATCTTCATCGCCCTTGGCATGCTTGACCTGCGCTGCGCCTTCGACCCACGAGACATCCGCCCTCCGGCGCTTCCATTCCGCTAGCGGCACGGACAGGGCATTGGCCGACAGCGCGGTACGGAAGTAGTCCAGCACGGGATCTATGCGCAACCGTGGCCCGCAGTTGGTGTGGTGCTTGTCGACCTGGTAGGCCGGACACTGGCGCAGGGCGGCCAGGACCTCATCCACGTCCACGGTCGAGGGGGCGTCGGGGACGGCGTCGACGGACCCGGGGCTGAAGTCGACGAGGAAGAGAAGCTCCTTGGCCAGCAGGAAGCGGAGGAGCTGTCCCAGCTGGAAGGAGTCACACGCCGCGCTCGAGTCGTAGCCCAGCTTGCACTGTCGGTCGCGAGAGGAGTAGCGGCGAAGGAAGTGGCGGGGCACCGAGGCGATAGTGTTCAGCACGCATTCTCGCCGGAACTGCAGCTCATCTACGCATGGGGAGAGTCAACAGCACGCGCTATATCCACGAAGGGGAGGGTGTTGACTCACGCTCCAATCCGTCCGGCAACGCCCACCATGCCGCCGTCGACGCCGTGCCATCCTGCCCGTCAAAGTATGGGCTCCACCGGCTGGACCCCCGCATGATCAGTTCCCGCGTGGCATTGTGCAGCCGCATAGGCTGCCCGAGGAGCCACGCCACGAGGATCTTCTGGCGCAGCATGCCCTCGACGTCCGTGGGGTGTCCGGAGTCATCGCGCATGGGACGCCCGCTGGTGACGGGCCACTTGAACTTGAGCGTCGTGTTGACGCACCGGGACACGCACGCCGTGCAGTCGAACCGGTCGGCCGTGATGGCCAGCGTGGTGACATACGACATAGTGGCGCCGACTAGGTTCGGCGAAGGGGCCCCGGCCGGCGGCTGCCCGTGCATGATGCGCAGCATGTCCTCGAACACGACCTCCCTCCCCGCGCTGGCCGTGGCATCGTCATCGTCCGACACAGCTATCCTGGGAAGGTCCGACGCCTCCGCCTCGCCAGGACGCTGGCCGCGCGCCGCAATGGCACCGTGCGCCTCGGTCACCGACTTGGCCTCGCGGAACTGGCTGTTGGTCAGGAGGTTGCCAAAGTACTTGGAGTTGCTGCACAGGGAGGCCAGGCCGACGCGGTACCGCACCGTCACCTCGGCCTTGAATCTGTCTGCAACAGACGTCGATGCCGGCCCTCGCGATGCCGCCGTGCTGCCAGCCTTTCTAGATGTGGCCAGCGCGGCCTTGCGGCTCTTGCGTAACGTCTCGGCCGATGTATAGAATGTGACGTCGAGGATTACGTCGCCTCGGGGGTCGACGATGACGACTGTCTCATCCTGCTGCTGCTGCTGCTGCTGGCCCTGGCCGTTTTGCCGGTTGGTGCTCATGGCGTCTGGGCCATCTCCGCCATCAGCGGCGCAATCGTCGTCGCCGCCCATGATTCTGTTCGGTCGTTCATTTGCACGTGGAGGGGGGAAAGCCTTGGACAAGAGCAGGACTTCCCTTGATTCCCTATACCACCACACAAAGATGCAGGAATTCAAGGCAAGAAGAAGAAGAAGTGATAGCTTTGTTCAAGCCTGCATGCAAGCTGACAGAGATGGAGGCGGGGACGGGGAACGCTGACGAAAAAAAGGACCCCACCAATTTCGTCACCGCCTACGGAGAGGCTCTCAGGTAGGCATCTCCAGTATTAATCTGTACTCGTACAGATATGGTTATTTATAATACCAGGCCACCTGCGCTTATACCACGGGCGGCCTTAGGTACTGTAACCGCTGTAGCCAGTTCCGGTATCCAGGCGGTCCGAGCGCTACAGTCCACGCCCGGCCCTGCAGCCCCTGTACTCGTATAGTCGGGCCCCCACCAAAGAGCCTATTAAGCGGAATGGATAATACCACCATGTACGAGCATGTATTGCCTGCCTTTACGGCGTATCATGGATGGAATAGCTCGGAAGAATCCCCTCCCAAGGTGGAACTTCAACGTCACCATTTACTCAACTCCTACTCCATATTAGCTTTGGCGGTCCATCTCCCTTTCTCCGCCCTCGCCCGACAAAAAGTTAGTTTCAATAGAACAATAGCCCTCATATTCTGTTCTCTTGTTCCTTCCATTTTCTCTTCATGTCCGTCGTCCTCGCCATGCGGTAGCATCCTCCCCGCCCCCCCTTGAGCCTCTGTTTTGGAAGTCGACTCCCTTCCAGCCCTGCCATCCTCGCACCACGGGCTTCGCTTGGCGAGTTCAACCCGCTCTGCCTCTTTCCTCTTTTTTCCAGATTTGCGTTTACGACTCGACGTCATCCTCTTGCTACCGGCCCCCCCCCCCCCCCCCCCCCCTCTCCAGCCCGGTGATGATACGACCCCCCAACACACACCGAGCCACCACCGTTTGACTACAGGACTGATGGCCTCCTTACCACAGCGAGCCCGTCGACGACCGTACGCGGTCTCCCTGCCTATCTCAAGATGCATGGTGCCCCCGCCGTTACGACACTCAATTCCTCCCCACAAGAGTAGCCGCACGCCGTGCGAACGACCCTGCTGCTTGTCAACATTACCGGGCCGCTCCTTGACAAGCGTCGCGCGCCACTCCCGCTATGTCGTCGCTGCCGCCGAGGCGCCGAAGAAACGCAATGATGGCCACCGCCACCCCTCGAGTAGCAATTTTTCCCGAGCTCACAGGTCCTTCCACACATACTTTGTCACACACCTGCCGTCATCTTCACTCCACCCCGAATCAGTGGTACCCCGGGTCCCCACCCACGGGCTGCCCCGCGACGCGTCCGAGCCGCACACGCCAGGCTCTGGGGGGCCATCGCCCGCCGTTTCCCCGCCCAACATGCCGGGCCGGGACCTGACGGTGGTGCGCATCCCGCTGCGACGCGCGAAGCACCACTTCGGCGCGGCATCTGCGCGCGGCAGCCGCCCCTACAACGAGGACACAGACCAGGCGGGCATCATCGACGTGCCCGCCTTTGCCAAGCGCGCACCGCAGTCGGTCGTCAGACAGAAGCCCGGCGAGGCCAAGGCGCCCGAGGGCGCGCTAGGCGACCCGCAGATCTTCTACTTTGGCATATTCGACGGTCACGGGGGTACCCAGTGCTCTGCGTACCTTCGGGACGGGCTGCACACGTACATTGAGAAGGCGTCGGCCGACTTTGGCCTCAAGAGCACGCTGCAGCGGAACCGCCACACCGTAGTTTCGCGCCCCCTCTCTTCTGGAACTGAGGACGCAGAGGAGCCCCAGGACCAGGCTGGCGCCGGCGATAAGCCTCCCAGGGGCGAGAGCCGAGCCATCCAGATGGAGCGCGACCTGGTGAGCGAGTACCGGAGCACGATAGGCGGGTACTACCGGCGCTTCAACCCGCCGTACTTTAACCTGTCAGACGATAAGGAGCCCGAGATCTGCTTAGAGTCCGTGCTCTCGTACGCCTTCCTCCGCGCAGACCTGGACTTTGTCAGGGCGCAGGCCGACCGACCAGACCCAGACGACCCTCGCGTGGGCGACACGCCGCTCAACAACGACGAGATCCTGGGATCTCCGAGCGCGCGCGCGCCCGTTCCAGGTCCCAGCGATATGCGCTTCAAGGGCGGGTCGACGGCGTCTGTGGCGCTGATTTCGACGCCCACGCCTACGCCATTCTGGCACCCGGACGCGCACTCGACGCTGGTGGTGGCGCACGTGGGCGATACGCGGGTACTCCTGTGCGAGACGGCAACGGGCCAGCCCCACCCGCTCACGTCGGACCACCACCCCACCACACCGACCGAGTCGCGCCGCCTCCGCCGCTACGCCCCGGCCGGTTCCATGGTGTCGGGCGACAGCTTTGGCGAGGAGCGCATCGCCGGCCTGGCCAACAGCCGCGCCTTTGGGGACATACGCTCCAAGCGCATCGGCGTCTCGGCCGAGCCCGAGCTCTCCCGCATCGACATGCGCCCGGCCCAGTACGCCTTCCTCGTCCTCACCAGTGACGGCGTCTCCGCCACCCTGACGGACCAGGAGATCGTCGACGTCGTCAAGGAGGCCCCAACCCCGGAGCGCGCCGCCCGCGCCGTCGTAGACTACGCCACTGAGGTCTCCCACGACGGTGACAACGCCACTTGCCAGGTCATCAGGCTGGGTGGCTGGGCGAGGAGATCCGAAGGCGGCCTGGGTAGTCTGGGCACAAAGGAGATACGTGACCATCGCAGGGCAGAGGCCCTCGATCCTAGGAGGACGAAGCAGTAGATCTACTCTACCTTTTGTTCTTCTTTTCTCTTCCATTTCTCAATACCTTTATTTTTCCGTCTCTCGCTTCATTAGTCGCAATTTTTTTATGGCATATCCAAAGGACAGAAGTTTCTATAATGTGTCCAAGGGGACCTATTTCATCAGCGTTTTCATCTTTTACATCCATGTCTCATCAAAGGGTTGCATCTACACAAAATGTATGACAATACAAGAGAAGGACTTTTTTTTTAATTCGAAAGACAAAAAACAATAGACAAGGAGAAAAAAAAAGTCACGAGTCTTGTAGGAAACTATGTGCATCTGATCCAACCGTTTTGCCACATCAACCCCAATCGCGTCGTCACATGACACTTTCTAGTATCTGGAATATCCTCCCCCATGGTGCTGTCCCGGATACTGGTTCCCGTAGTGATGCTGCTGTCCGGGATGGCCGTAGGGCGGCCCTTGGGGCGGGTGGTACGACCCGGGAGGTGGGCCCATGGGTGGTGTACCGTACGGTCCAGGTGGAGGAGACTGGTGGCCGTAACCGTGGGGCGGAGGAGGTCCCGGGGGAGGGCCATAAGACGATCGACCGTACCCCCCGTGGGAAGGCGAAGGTGAACCGGCGTAGACCGAGTGGCCGTAGCCTCCGTGGGATGGCGGCGGACCGCTAGGCGGCCCGTACGACCCTTGCTGGGGGTATCCGTGGTGGGCGGAGCCGTATCCGGAGGAGTACTGTCCGGGAGAGGGGGCGGGGGCGTTGTACCCAACACTGCTGCCCTTGCCGCCTTCGTCGTGGTAGTATGACGTGTTGCTCCCCTGACTGAAATGCTGCGACGGCGGGACCGATTCGTGGGAGGTGTAGTCCTTGTGTGGGTCTCCGTCGCGGCCCTCCATGGCATCGAGGTCGCGTGTCTGGACCTGAGACCACAGGGAACCCGTCACCTTGCCATGGCCGTAGCGATCAATCATACTATCGACGGCACCGTGCGAGTGCGAGTGGCCGCCGCCGCCGCCGCCGTGGCTGTACCCGCCGTGGCTGCTTTCGTCCGTCTGGGAGAGGACGTGGTTCTGACCCTTGTAGACTGAGTCAGATGACAGGAGCTGGTCGAGCTCATGGCGGCGGGGGTGCTCGTTGACCCACTGCTCCATCGTGCGGAACATGTCACGCTGCAGCTCGGAGCGATTGCTACGCAGGGCGGGGTGGTGTAAGGCTTGCACGATGTCGGTGACTACCTCGTCGACGGGAACGCCGGGGTTCTCCCAAGCATACAGGATACGGCTAATATCGTGTTAGCGGAGCTTCTGAAAGGGAAGCAGAAGGGTCAGAAAAGAGCAATGCATACGGTACGGTATACTTGAGAATGGTGACGGCGATTCGGCCGGCACACGAGTTGAGAACATTGCTGAAGTGGTCCTTGGAGAGCATGCTGTGCGTGGGATCCGAGCAGGTCGGGTCAGTCCAGGGCTCGTGCTGGGAACGGGTACTAGCAGAGATGATGCCCATAGAGCCATCCTTGAGCGACTGGGATACCTGCTTGATGATGGGTCGGATAAAGGGAGCGAGGAGGCCCATGATGAAGGCCGTCAGGGTCTCGCTGATGTGCTCGAGAAGCTTCTCGAGGCCGGGGATCTTGGCGATACCCATGCTGATGGCCTTGACAATCCTATCGCGGAACTGAAGGATAGGGTAGATCCTGTCCGCCGTCTTGACAGGGTCAAAGCTAGTGCTCATGCCGGGGACGATGTTGGTGTTGTCCGAACCCCTGTCGCGAATATCTCTGTTCTCACGCTCCTGGGCGTCAGACTGGGCCTTGAGGTTTCGGGCCTCGGAGGCAAAGCCGTCGCCGACACCGGGGAGCTTGGATATCAGGGAGATGAAGTCGCCAGGGCTTTCGAAGCCAAGGAAGCCCCTCTCGCCATCGCCACCGCTGGGGCCACGGGTTCTGGAGGAGCCTACACCCCTCTCGGCATTCTTGAGAGCGATATCGACTTCGTCCACCTCAGTCTGGGTGAAGTGGTCTGTGGCTTCGCCAATGACACTGTGAAGGAAGTCGACGGCACCGAACTACATATATATATCCCTGTCAGCGTAGGCAAACTTCTATGCAGCAGCAATGAGACGGTCATCTTACAGTTCCGGTGACGAGAGGAAAGACCCTCTTCCCATGAACAGTGATCTCGGTATCCCTTCCGCAGTGGGGGAAGACGTTGTGGTAGCCCATCTCGCGTAGGGCAAGCTCGCAGTAGTTGCTGTGGGCGCCGAAATCCTCGAGGCAGTGCAGGGCCTGGCCCAGGCACCGGAGAGCCTCGCACAGGTCTTCCTCCCTGCCCTTGCGCGAGGAGCCTGATGTATACAGACGACCAAAGTGGATGCTGCGGGCGAGGCTGTACTTGACGTAGCCAGAGCTCGTGGCCCACTGTCCTGACTCGTTGGCAATGTAGTTCTTCATCCCGGTCCGATGATCGATCTCGGTCTCGACGGGCAGGACGGGGCCACGGAGGCGCTTGTCAAAGGTCTGGGCGTCGACGCCGTCGGCGTAGCCTAGCGGGTTGTCGATGTGCTCCTCTGCGCGGTAGACGCCGAGCCTCTCGCTGGTGACCTCGAACTCATCGGTGGCATAGCCGAAGGCCATGAAGGACAGGACCCAGACCAGGATGCGCAGCGTCTCAGCGTTGATACTCTTGAGAGTGCCCACGTCCAGAGCCTGGGAGTAGTCGCGTAGGAAGTTGCCAAAGTAGACGCGCTTGATGAGCATGGAGGACCACTTCTTGCCGTGGAGGAAGGCGATGGTCGCGAGTGTATCCTCGATATCTATACATGTCCGGCGAGATCCGGTCAGTATTAGTCGACTTGCAAACAGCTTGAAGGATGAGAGGCCTGAAGAATAGACAAACCTCCGTGACGCCAGTTGTGACCTTCGACCTGGGCAATCGAGGGAATGTTTCCAGCGCCGAAAGCCGAGGCCTTGCCGGGCAGCACCACTAGACAGATGGCGAGGGCCAAGAGCAGACCCCCGCCGCGAGACCAGCCAAAGGCTCCCATGACAATCAGCTGAGCAGAGGAGGAATAACGTTACAGTATAGGATATTCCGGAGTGGTGCGATGATAGGGAAGGATTGCTTCGAATGTCACAAAGGGCAGATATGGCGGCGCGCGGGGGGAATCGGGGCTCGCGGACAAGTTTTAGTTAGTGGGGGGGGGGGGGAGCTGATGGAGGAGCCGGGAGGGTAAAAGATGACGCTGACGCAACTTGGCAGTGTGGCAACTTGCTGTACTGGTTTGATGTAGCAGGAAAGCACGGCCTACTTGCATCAGGCCGCGGAATTCAAACGACGATACTATATATATGAAGTAAGATCTTGTATCAGACCGTCTACCAACACATCAGCTACTTGTTAACATGTCGTATTACTGGTCGTGCACTACCTGTACACTGGTTAATGACATGCATCTGACAGCATTCGGGGTGATCTCCACTGCCACTACGCGTAATACCAAGATATCTTGCCTATGATTGTGGCTGGACAGAGCTGAGCCACCGACACTGCCACAGTGTCATTGTAACATGGACATAGAAATGGTACCCGTTCTTGCATTTCCGGATATGTTGTGGATCCCGTGACATACGGGTCCGGCAGAACGATTCGCCGGACGCACATGTCCTCGCTATAGATAGATAATAGCAGGAAGCCTCACCTTCCTGCTACATCTTCAATCGAGCACACCCTTCCGTTTTCAGGTCTAACCGTAGCCTCACATCGCCAGGTGTGGGTTACGAGGTGACCTGGCTAGGAAGGAGTAGCAGACGCACAGAGTGGCCTAATGCACGCATCTAGCCAACACAGAGATAAACGCACCCTTACACGTTGGATCAAGAGTATCAACGATAACGTAATGATTGATTAAAACGGCAAAGGCTCTTGATGTTATTACTGCATCGTGATGTAGCACTGCGAGTATTATAGTATTATATGCTAAATAATCGATATCCACCAGCGCAACCAACAAGATTGTAACAATAAGATGATATGCATTGTTTTACAAGCTACGACTAGCCTAGCCAAATTCCTCTCTGGCTATTTCAAAACCTCCTCGCATATCACATGTCATCCTTTTTCCCGGGTTGTCAGTCAAAAGCAGACATTGTCTGGTCGATTATGACGTGAACATTGTCAAAGTCGGCGCGAGAAAGACCGCGAGGATAGATCAAAGCCAAAGCAATGAACAGAGGCAAATGAAGCAGTCGTAGGTTTTGATACCAAGACGGGGTGATGGTAGCAGAAATATTGTCAATTCGCTCAGAGGTGGTTTGTGTGTTGCTGTTAGGTGTCAGATTCTTGATTTTCAAAACATTGACCTTGCTGAGCTCGATGCACATGCATCGCCATCTCGGTTACTATTGCGAATATCTTGACCCCGTCATACAATCGTGGGACGTTTGATCGGCAAATTCGCGACGAAGGGCTCATCTGTTCTTCATCTGTTCTTGATATCACCGTCCTATCGTCTGTCCAACGTTAACCTCCATCCCGGAGGGGCCCATCAGCAATATGCCTCGACCTGTCATGATCAGTGATGCCGGTCAAGAAAATATGCCCAACCGTTCAGCATATAAACTCATACGAGACGCGATGCGATCAATACACTGCAGATTTCCACGGTTGACAGCTGCGCAGAAGGTGTTGGTTCCAGAGCATGCGGCTAACGAGTATCTGCCGCAGCACGTATCAATACACTATGACAAGCTGCTTGCTATCTTGGCCCATCTTCTTTCTTTTACGGTTTCTCTCTCTCTCTTTTTCTTTTTCCTTTTTTCTTCACAACGCCACCCGTCTATGATGAACGACAGCGATCAAGGACGGACAGAAGCCCTGGTCCACTCGGTTCTCAATCTATTCTAGAGCGAACTGGGCATCCTAAACAAACGAATGTCCCCACACGCACGCACGCAACCTCCCAAAACAGATGCGACGGGGCCGGCCGTCGATGGCGCGAGACGTCGATGCAATCACGCACCGATGCCGGACAAATAGACTACCCCCCCATCGCACCTTGCCGGCACCGTTTCGACAAGGATCTTTCGCATCATTCCCATGTTGATGAGTTTTCCCGGCCATCTCGCCCACCATGAACCTCTTGGCTGCCATCACGACAGCGCCGCTAGCCTTTAATCGTGCATAGCTATTCGCCCATCCCTGGTTTCTTTGGTCGACCAAGTTTCCGCCAAGGACCCCTAATATGTTCGTAGAGGATTTTTCTCTTCCCACGTGAAAGAATACAAGTAGTTTGGGATTCCCTTCTCCTTCTCCTCCTCTCCTCACCGTATCCCATCTCGTAAGACGTCTCGGTCAAGGAACAAGCAAACAAGCACGCCCGCACGCACGCACGCACGCACACTCCATGGCGGAATCCAATTCCTTGTCCGAGGTGACGGAGTCGTCGCCCAACGACAACGACACGAATGTCACCAAGCCTGTCTCTCGCCTCACGAGATGGTTCCGCAGTCCGCTGTTCAACGTCATCATCGTCGGATTCATCTCCTTTACCCAGCCGGGCATCTGGAATGCGCTCAACAGTACGTAACACTCGCACGACCAGCTCCGCGTGGGAAACGGTGAGACTGACACGAAAGTCGCCAGGTACCGGCGCCGGTGGCCAGCAGGAGCCTTATCTGGTTAACGGAGCCAACTCTCTGACATTCGGGTATGTTTGTCGATGTACTCGGAGCAATCCCCTGTAGGATACGATACCAGTGACCAAACGCATATATCTGACCTCTGCAGCATCATGGTGTTCGGCTGCTCCATCTTCTCCATGGTAGCCAACAAGATTGGCATCAACAAGGTCCTCATCATCGGCACCCTAGGCTACGCACCCTACTCGGCAGCTCTGTACGTCAACAACCGCTACGGAACCGAGTGGTTTGTCCTGTTTGGCGGGGCTACATGCGGCATCGCTGCCTCGGCCCTGTGGGCGTCCGAGGGTGCTATTGCCCTCGGATACGGAGACGTCAGAAATCGCGGAAAGTACAGTACGTTCTAGACACTTTCCCATCTCCCTCTGTCTCTCTCCCTCTCTCCCTCTCTTCTCCACCTTTTCCCCCTCTCTCCTCCATCCCCCCTCTCTCTTCTACTCCCAAATCCACCAGGGCGGATCGCTGATTTATAAATAAAAACAGCCGGAATATGGCTCGGACTCCGCGAACTAGGCCAGCTCCTCGGCTCGTCCATCCAGCTCTCCCTCAATGTCAAGGACGGAAACCGCGGCAAGGTATCGTACACGACGTACCTGGTCCTCATCAGCCTACAGTGTCTCGGCCTCCCGCTCTCCCTCCTCATCTCGCCCCCCGAGAAGATCATCCGCTCAGACGGATCCATGATGGGCAACGCTGCCATTGCTAGCAGGGAGAAGACGGTCAAGGCGACGCTGAAGAGCATGTGGGCACTACTCAAGAGGAAGCAGATGTTCCTGTTGATTCCCGTCATGGTGGGTTTCAACTGGAATTCTACATACCTGGGAATCTATCAGACAGCATAGTAAGTAACGGTCTGCTTCGTTCTCCTTCTCTTCTCCTTCCTTCCTCCTCTTCAATGTTTCACCTAGAGAATGGAAGGCTAGGATATGAGAAAAGAAGGAGAAGCGAGAAAAGGACGCAGAGAGCCTATGAACAGTTTTGCTCACAACCCGCCTACAGCTTCTCCGTCCGTGCCAGGACCCTAAGCTCCCTCGTCTCAGGCATAGTAGCCACTATGGCCAACATCATCTGGGGATGGGTCTTTGACCTCAAGCGCTTCAGCCGTCCCGTCCTCGCCAAGTTCGCCTGGGGCTTCTCTGCAACCACCATGCTGGGCCTGATGAGCTGGCAGATTGCCAATGAGAAGTACTACGCCGACGCCGTTCCGGCCGTGACTCTCGACTGGGCGAACTCCGGGTTCGGAAGGGGATTCGCAAGCATGGTCCTAATCAGGTACGGTTCCAGATCCCGCCTCTCCAGCTGCCTTTGCTAACAGTCTTCTCTTCTCTTTCCTCGCGTCTTTGCGTGTGTACAGATTCTTCAACGAGTCCCACTACATGTTCATCTATTGGATTATAGGCGCCTTCTTCGACGACCTGGAGACGCTGACGCTGGCCGTGGGGATGGTCCGATCCTTCGAATCACTCGGATCAACCGTGGCTTTCGGCATCGGCGCCGCTAAGGTGTCGCCCATGGCCAACCTCGTCGTTGCGTTTGTCCTGCTCTGCATCACCATTCCGACGACTACGCTTGCCGTGCTCCTGGTTCCCGAGAGGCCGGAGCAGACGAAGCTCATCGAGGAGACGGAGGAGGACGAGCCGGCTGTTGAGACCATCACCGAGTCCACGGGCGTTGATTCCAAGGGATCGACAGCTTAGGATGGGTGTTGTCAGCGTATGATGGTAGATATTACTATATACATATTCCAAAGGGTTTACAGCATCGCATACAATTTTTTTTTCACACGAGAGAAAGCGCGGTGCGGTCAAGATATATTTCGTTGCACCATCGAGGTCCAGGAATTCAACTGTCGTCTACCAGTCTAATGAATTCCGAACATTCGGACGCCAGACGGGCCCTAAAAACTTTTTGAACATTTCTGTCTCTGTCCTTGCCAAAAGCGCAGGCCTTCAGGAACCTTTACATGGTATTGGCACACCCGTGTCAACCAAAAAAAAAAATTTAATTAATTATTTTAAAAAAAATAAAAATAAACCACTCTCGGAATTCCACACGCCAGTCTGGTCTAAGTCGGCTCCTCTAAAGGGCAAAACGAAACAGAGGGACAAGACAAAGGGATAAGAGAAGAAGAAGAAGAATATTGAAGAAGAAAAGGGAATGATGGAAAGGAGGTAGAAACAGAATAGTGCCCTGGCACACACAAGTCTACCGGGGTCTTCCATCACAGAGGGTAACAGAGGGTAAACGACTCCTCTGGACGAGGGAGGACCTCGACGTCGGCAAACGACGCAAACGAGGTATCGGGCTTCTTCCCCAGGGCCCTCATCGATTCTGTCAAGGGGACGGCCTCACCGTTGGAACGGCGGTGGGTGCAGGTAGACTTGGGCTTCGGCGCAATATAACTCTCCATGTATGTCTCAAAGGTATGTAGTTGGTGGTAGGCCTTTTTATTTCCCGGGATATGTGTCAGTTCATCTACTCTTTAGAGGAGAATAATAAAAAAGAGAGTGATGGAGACAAGCAAAAAGAAAAAAAGGCAGAATAAGATGAGAGGCAGACAGAGAGAGAGAGGCCTTACACCGTCTGTGCTGGGATACGCAGCCCTGAGGCCACCAGGAACCAGCCTGTCATACAATCCCATGGCTCCCGACTCGGCGAAATCCTCACTCCATTTAGTACGAGCGTAGTCAGTGACACAGGCCGTATCAAGGTTGTAGTTGTCCTGCCAAATCTTGGAGTTGCTGAAGGGTGCTCCTGCGCCGCCGCCGCCGGTGATGTCGGCCTGACCATACCAGTCGAGCTGGTGGGACATTTCGTGGGCCATGACGGTCTGGAACAGACCGTCATCTTGAAAGGTGATGGACCCCTCGCTTGAAGTGTGAGCTACGCTTTCCTCGTAGACAAACGAAGGCAGGAGGATCACTTCCGAGACGAATTCCCTCATGTCGAGGGGCATGCGGCCAAATACCTGTTTGTTTACCCCTTGAATGTCAGGATATGCGAACATGTCTGGCGCTGGCTTGCCTGTGCACAATTCCTGTTCTCTCTCTCTTCTTTTCTTTTCTTTTCAACTCACCTCAATCATGTCTTCCCTGGTCTTGGAGGTGTTGGTGTGCCGGCACATTGTCCAAGGCATGTTGCAGTCGCCGTAGCGTACGTTGAAGACCTCCACGTCGACGGACTTGTAGTCCTGGGCCTCGATCTCGCGCTTGCAGTCTTTCGGGATCCATCCATACCCCCAGGGCTCTATAGTATAGTTTGTCCTCATCGGGAGCGCCTCGAGGAGCCCGTCATTGATAGTTCCTCTGAGGTCAAGGCGTGGGACCGCTGCCGGCAGTGGCAGGGTGTAGTTCCACTCAGCAGCAGACACCGTGGACGGCATGGCCGCGCCCATCAGGGCGAAAAGGGAAGCTTTGGCCATAGCGTGACGTTTGTGGGGAAGTACGAGGGTGTCGGCTTCCAACGTTTAAACGACTTTTGGTCTTGTAGAGGCAACGGCGCTCTCCGGTCGTTCTCCAAAGCCACACCGTCCTTTATATATGCATTCGGCTGGTTACATGTCGTCCATGTTACCAATTTCTTCTTCGCAAGCTAGTAGGACTTTTTCTACCTTCCAACAAATTCTTCGCTAGTACGGAAAACCCTCTTCGTAGCGCATCTCGAATCGAGACGGAGAGTTGGCGGCGGGATGGTGCGACTATGATGCTACAAAGCTTGGTGATGATTGCAATATCGTGTGATGACGAATCATGGAACAGGGGCATACATGACCTCTGGTTTTCTCTCTACCTTTACCACTAACCAGTGGCATACTTTATCCAGCCTCTGGGGGGCTTCAACTCCTAGCGATGAGGTTGCCGGAAGGAAATGGAACGAAAAGACTCCGGCGCGTTCATGTTACATTCTGGACCGCATGGCTGATCTGTGGCTGTAATAAAGATTTCTTATGTCAACTTCCTACGGTAGCCGGATATGGGAAAAGCTTGGACGCGCTGTTCTAGCCAGATCTGCGTGCTCGAGTTTCCAACAGGGAATACGACAACGTCCTTACTTACATGTTCATTGACAGGAGAGTTGACGTACTGTTTCCAAGAGGTTACGTATAAGCTGTCGTATATAGAAGGACGGTTGACGGGCCGGGCCGTCAGCCCGACATGTATGTACCCTCATGTAGCGTTACGGGAGGACCAAGAAAGACAGAATAATACATACCAATCATCGAGTAGCGTGAGTGTCACTACGTAATGTCATAGATTAATGCAACATTGAGACGATCGAGAAGCAGCAAGCAAGACAGGAGTGATAATGGCTCGAGGCTCAAAGCGTATACATTGTCCAATTCTTGTTGGGACGGCGATGTTTTAAACAAATGAGACGGGAAGCAGCCACACGGCGGCGGCCCGAAAGCCGAATGCTCGTGCGCTTTTGAACTCGTTGGCAATCATTTCTGTCTCAGGTCAACAAAGTCTGTGAAGAACGGTTAGCAAGGCCTCGCACAATGACAGGAATGTCGTTGGTATGAGCGCTGGTTACGACGGCTATGCGTCGTGGCTATGGTCGAAGTTTTGAACTTGTTGCGAGTGCACGCATAGGATCGTCAGAGTGGCGGCGCCTCGAAAGGGCTGGGGTGTTTCAATTCTCTGGTTCTGACTTTTAAAAGGTGAGGTTTGGTGCCGATTGAGAATTGAAATCTGAAACGGGACAGATATCGAAGACTAGAGTACGTCAAACGTCATGTCTATGAGTTGTCGTGAAGCTTGATGTGTGCCATAGAGTTGATATACCGGCAGCGTTGCACCAAGTGACGAGGCAGGTTCGCATGAAAGGAGAGAGTAAGAAAAGGATGGGTTCCAGGCTAGCAAGCAGTGGCCATGATGATGATGGTGATGATGTATATGGAAAGAATCACGTTTCATATCAGGGCCTGGAACAGATCCTCTGCTTCTGCCTCTCCGTATGTGCTTTGCACCTTCCTTACAATAGATGTTTTGTTCTTTCCTTTCACATGTGATTGTAGTTATTTCAAGGTGTGGCCGGTGTTTATGTGGCTGGTGCACAGACAACACGCGCCACAGTTAGCGCTTGCACGGCGTAATGAATCCCAGGCCTAGTTGCATAGCGCTCGAGATGAAGAGGCACCTATGAGAGGATATTACCGAAATTACCCATTATTATCAACTGTCAGGTGCATTACGAGTTACAGGTCCTGCCTCTACGAGCACTCATAGTTCCGATCAAGCGGGTAAACAATACGAGTAGTAATCCTCTAGATTATCCGTGCCTTATTCTACAGCGGCACATCGACGCAAGGTACAGGTGGGGGAGGGGGGGGACAGCGCCACCGTGGGCTGTTTGGAAGACCAGTCGATGGGCCTAGGAAGACCCGGAAATGGAAAGACAGGAAAGTGTAAGACTGGGAAAGGAAAAGAAACCGAGTAATGGGAGGAAGGAAGTGGACTGACATGGCGAAACAATCACGTTACTTTTCCCCCAACTTGCTTCGTTGGCTGGTTCCTAGTAGTTGTATGACTACCTGTACAGGTATTGCCAACTACTAGTACGGATACAGTATTATTGCAGGCACTGGCAAAGAGTCAGAGTGGCGCCACAGATTGGCCTCGGCATCCGTGAAAAGTCCGCTGACCCTTGACTGCTTGGCTTCAGTCTTTGGGCCTGACCTTTACAGGTACAGATTGCTCGTACTTGAATCCTCACTCGTAGTCTCGTACAGTCTGGAGCCCCTCCAATCCCATGAATGTGGCCCCTGTCCATTTGACGGTTATTACTCGTTGAAGGCTAGTACTTTATATGGAGTATCAATCCTGTGCTTTGGTAGATTCGTAGCCTTGGGTGACTTGTGATCTGCCCACTCTGTCAAGACGCAAGTAGGAAGTAGGTACGAGTACGGAGTATAATGTATTGCAGGTACAATAGTACTTTGAGTAAGCCCACTCCCACATTGGCATCTCGCCACGCCCAAATTTGCCTGCCTTTTGTTCAATCTGTACGGTATTAGTCCGGATCCTTGGGCTCCCGTGCACACACATACACACACACACACACACACCCCCCCCACAGTTAACCCCTATAGATCAGCATCAACAATCAAATCAGGGCCCTTTTTCTACTCTTTATTTTTTTCCCTCTCCCTCCCTCTCTCTCTCTCTTTGTTCTCCTTCACACTCTTCCCTCCTTATTTTCCTGTGCTGATTCAATCATTTAATTGTTTCTTTTTCTCCAATACCCGATAACTTTCCGTCCTTTGGCGCCCTCGCAGTCACTCGTCTGACTCTTCCGTTCCTTTTGATTTTTTTTGTCCCTCCTTTCTTACCAAAAGGAGCGCAGGAGAAAGAGAACACTATTCAAATACACTGAAACCCCGCCGTCCCCAGTCGATCCGAAACGAAACAAACGCGGCAAGCACCAGCAACAGCCAAGATGCCCGGTCGCACACTACCGACCTTTACCCTCGCCGAGGTCGAAGCGCACAACTCGAAGAGGTCATGCTACATGACCTACCAGGGAAAAGTCTACGACCTGACCGACTTCATCGACGAGCACCCCGGCGGCGGCCAGCTCCTGATCGACTACGCCGGCAAGGACATCGAGGCCATCCTCAAGGACCCCGTCTCCCACCCTCACTCCGAGGCCGCCTACGAGATCCTCGACGAGTCCATCGTCGGCTTCCTCGCCAAGGACAAGTCCAACGGCAGCGCCAATGGCACCAGCACCGGCATCAGCAGCAACGCCAACGGCGACGGGTCCGTCGAGTACGTCCACCCTCGCACCGGCATGTCCTGCGAGGAAGACCTCACCAAGGACACCGACTACAACGTCGACTACAAGAAGAACAAATTCCTCGACCTCAGCCAGCCTCTACTCATGCAGCTGTGGCGCAGCGGCTTCAGCAAGGAGTTCTACCTCGACCAGGTCCACCGTCCGCGACACTACAAGGGCGGCAAGTCTGCCCCCCTCTTTGGCAACTTTCTCGAGCCCCTCTCCCTCACGCCCTGGTGGGTCGTTCCCACCATCTGGCTCCCCTGTGTCTCCTATGGCATGTACATCGCCAGCAGGGGCCTGGGGCCCATCGGTCTGGTCGGCTACTTTGGCTTTGGTCTCCTCTTCTGGACCCTGATTGAGTACTGTCTTCATCGCTTCCTGTTCCATCTTGACGGGTATGCTATACCCCTCTTTCCTTCCCTCTCTCTCCCCCCCCCCCTCCATGTACGTGTGTGCTGACGTGTGCTGAATGATAGCTACCTTCCCGATCACCGCATCGCCCTGACCCTTCATTTCCTCCTCCACGGTATCCACCACTACCTTCCCATGGACCGCTACCGCCTCGTCATGCCCCCCACCCTGTTCATCGTCCTCGCCACCCCCTTCTGGAAGTTCGCCCACACCCTCGTCTTCTGGGACTGGCACGGCGCCGTCGCCGGCTTCTGCGGTGGCGTCTTCGGCTACATCTGCTACGACCTTACCCACTACTTCCTCCACCACGAGAATCTTCCCCTCTGGTACAAGGCTCTCAAGAAGTACCACCTCGAGCACCATTTCCTCGACTACGAGCTCGGCTTTGGTGTCACGAGCAGGTTCTGGGACGACATCTTTGGCACTGGCCTCCCCGCCGCCAAATCTGCCTAGTCGTTGGTCCGTAGTCTTCTGGGAGCCCCCCTCCCCCCTCCTTCTTTCATCTTCCGCGGAAACACTTCTTTGGGAACCTTCTCCCTTCTCTCGGATAACCACGCGTCGTGTTGTCGGGAGATTTTTGCATATAGGCAGATCTCTTTTTTTTTCTTCCTTCTCATGTATGAATGAGAATACGGAAGAAAGAACTGCTCGGAGTTTGGTTTGTAATCTGGGATGAAATCTTTTCCTCTTTTCTTTTTTTTTCTCACTATGCGGCAGTGAAACATCACATGGACGACGAAAAGCATCACCCCGCAAAGGTTCGGGTGTACATATCAGTGTGCGTGGTCCTATCTGCCATGGAAACATATAATATTCTAATAGTGGTGGCGGCAGGGCAGACCTGTGCTGCTCGAGATGGGCGAAACGATGTAATGGCTTATTTTGTTTGCAGTTATCTCCTACCTACCTACGTGTATACTTAATGCAATAATCTAGATTAATACTTGAGCGACTAGTAGTTGCATCCAATTCATACAAACTTCCCACTCCAGTCCTCCGTGAACAATCCTCAGTAGGTGGCCAGGCCACAGTCCTGGATGGAGCGTCTGGACCTCGGGAAGCCTGGGGTTGAAATCACCAGCGACCAGGCCATGTCCACCGATACCTCGGGAGGTCCGTTCACCAGACAGGTAGTGTAAATGCGGTGCTTGAAAATGTCCAGTCCATGGCAACAGATGGACGGCCCATCTCATACATTCACCGTTTCCTACACTGACTGCTTCCTTACGATTTGATTTTTGTGAGATCGTCTCAGCCTCATCTCCCAATCCCTAGTCCTTTATAAAAAAAAGTCCAGACATGGGTGGAAGATACTAACACGTAATAGAAAGACGTCAATTACTTTCCTAGATACAGTATCATAACAGGCTCAAAATGTGACATGATCTTCAAGAAGATTTTTTTTTCCAAAAAAAAAAGGATCAGAAGAAAAGAAACAAGGAAGAAATAGAGCAGATCGCATCAAATTCTCCAGCCGATCCTAACCACAATATGCTGCAGGGTAGTTGCGATTCAAACATACAGGGGCCTGCCTACTTGAGAAGGTGCAACCATGAAGTTAGCGGTACCTTCCCTAAATAGTTCATCGCTCCTCACTTGGGACAAACACAATTCACACTCGCGTGCCTCGCACAGATATCTTATCAAACACGAATATAAAACGTTCATTACTATCCTAGGACGGCACGGCAACACGGGAAAGAATCACCACTCCTCTACGCATCCACCCCGCCCTCCGATCGGCCAAAGAGGTTCATGTACTCCCCATAATACGTAGTTGCGCGCCGGCAATTACACCGTCCAGCTCCACTCTCCATCCCCCTCCAGATCCCGATCCGTCTCCGATCACAGGCCAACATCTCTCCCATCCCTCGATTCGACTCATCATCGAACTGTACTGACCCGACCACCTCTCCCCTCGGCAGCTTCGATCCTAGTTCAGCGAACCCTTCCCGCATAGCCAATCGCGCCTGGGCCGCCTTGTTTCCTCTCTGCCCCCCCCGGTTGGCCAGGGGCTCTCGAGAACCGTTTGAGCTCCTGGCAACTGGCCGTGCCGCGACTGCGCCCATGACTCAGATCTCGTGCGAGACCTTGGTCTGAAGCGCCCAGCCTGCTGCTCCAGCGAGATATTTCCACGACCACAACAACAGTCGGCAGCCAGGTCTCATGACCCGATTGCCAGGCATGACTGCCGAGGAAAAGGCTGCTGCTGCTGCTGCTGCTGCTTCTGCCAGTCGCAATCAACAACAACTACAGCATGCACCTACATCTGCCAATGCCGTCGCCATGCCTGTGCAATCAAACCCTGGAGCTGTAGCAGCAGGGTCCGGAACTGCTATGCCGTATCATCCCCGGTCTGAGGCGTCACTTATCAAGCGATACCGTGTCGAGATAGCTGCCAGCACCTCGAGCGTCTTCTCCACCCTCGCCGCATTCCCCCTCGACAGCATCAAGACGCGCATGCAGACATACCAGTACAAGGGCTTCATCGACTGCGTGCGCCACACACACCGCACCGAGAAACTCGGTGGCTTCTTCAGAGGTATGCCTTGTGCGCCCATGGTGTGCAACGATGACCTCCCGGCCTTGGAAGCTGACAATTGCCCCGGCCTCCCCCTCTAGGTGTGACGGCCCCAATGGCCAGTGTCGCCCTCGTGCGAACCGTGTCGTTTTCTATATACCAGCGTGCCAAGTACGCCTACGCCGGGTGGATAAACAAGAACACGGGCTACGACGTCATTCGACACGTCAACCAGCAGGGAACATACCCCAACATGTACTCGTTAGCCTGCTTCGGTGCGGCCGGTGCAACAGCCGGATCTGCCATCACCTTCCTGGCCTGCCCGTTTGAGCTCACAAAGCTGAGCGCGCAGGTGTCGGAGCTCCTGACGCAGCGATCGGGCACCGACGAGCGCAGTCGCGCCGTGGCATCCAGCTACCAGAACAAGGGGACCCTCAGGACGATGAGAAACATTGTCAAGCACCGCGGAGCTGCTGGCCTCTACACAGGCTTCCGCTTCCACCTAAGTGCGTTCACCACCTCCCCCCCACCTTCTCTTCAACACGCATTGACTTATGACTGACACGAGCTGGGGAAAAACCTGGATAGTGCGCGAGACATTGGGCACGTCCATCTACTTCATGGTCTACGAGAGCAGCAAGCAGCTCATCACCACATTCGGCGGCGACAGCCCCAACACGAACAAGTTTGCCGTCGTCACCGCCGGCGGCCTATGCGGACTTGTATCATGGGCCATAATCTGTGAGTCTGTCTTGACATGCCTTCACCTGTCACATCTCTAAAAAAAGCTTTTTCTTTTCTTCTCTTTTATTTCTCCTTTCTTTTCTTCTTCTTTTTCTCTCTCCCTCTTCGCCCCTTTCTCTTCTTTTTATCCATGTTGATTGACTGAATTGGATTGACTGATCTACCGGGGGGGAAAAACTAGACCCCATCGACTCGGCCAAGAGCATCTATCAGCGCAACGCCCTCCTCTACTCCAAGGGCGAGACGGTCCCCTCCCCCAAGATTGAGTTCTTCAAAGGTCGCATGTACCGCGGTCTGGGGGTATCCATGGGCCGATCATGTCTCGTCAACGCCATCTTCTTCTCTTCATTCGAGTTTATAAAGAAGCATATCAAATCCATGGAAGATGCACCACCTTCTTACTAGTCTCTTACACTCTACTCTCCATTTCCACAACTCTACTCCCATCTACTTTTCTCTCTACCTCTTTTTATTCTTCTTCTTCATATATATTCTCAGCTTTTCCTGTCTTTTTGAAAGGGCATTTGGTCAGGGTCATGTTCGGACGGGGACGGGGGGGGGGGGGGGGGGGGGGGGGGGGGGGGGGGGGGCGGCAATAGGCAATTGCATGTAATCTGGCGTTTCTTATTCATGAACAAAAAAAAGGATTGAAATTGATTTTCGTGTCTTCTATTTCTTTTCCCCTTGACATAACCAGCCGTGTTCCCCATGATACGACATCATCATATATTCCCCGTTTCCTCCACCCATAAACCCCCCCCTCCAAAACAAAAAAAAAAAAGTGCTACCCCGGACCTCACGTCACTGATTCAAAACACCACGTACTAGTACGTCAACAACTACGTCATGTAAATGCATATTAACCTTGGGGAACAATTCTTTTTACATGGGAATAAAAAAACAACCCAGCCAGCCCTTGTGACTTTTTTATATGAGAGGAAGAAAGCGGGCAAAGACAAAAAAAAAGTATAGTCATGAAAAGGAAACAAAAAAAAATCGTATGTGGTAAAACAAAAAGAAAAAGAGAGTATGAAAAGATGAAAGATGAGATGGGGGACAAAAAAGTGATGAAAGATGAGGAGGAATAGAGAGAGAGAGTATTTATATGTGTGTGTGTGGAAAATGAGAAGTTTTTAAAAAAGAGAAAGAATGAAAAAACTAATCCTGAGATGCCTTGAGCTCCTGCTCGACCTGAGCCTTGACGAGCTCACGCACCTTGACAAAGTCATTGTCGACGGACGAGACCCTCTTCTCCTTCTTCTCCAGACCGACAAACTCACTGGGGAGGACCTTCTTCTCAAAGTCGAAGCCCTCCTCGCCTCGGAGGGCCATGTCGACGGCACCCGAGAACTTGGCGGGGTGGGCGGTGGCGAGAGATATGTGCGGGAGCTGCTTGTCGGCCACCTGGTCCATGGAGCGCTGGGCGGCGGCGATGCCGACCGACGAGTGCGGGTCGAGGACGTAACCGACGAAGTGGTACATCTCCTGGATGGTTTCGATGGTCTGTGAGTCCGTGACGCGCTCGCTGTCAAAGTCGCGCTTGGCCGCGCTCAGCACGTCCTGGTACACGGGGCCGAAGGCGCCCGTCTCCTTGAGCTCGCGCAGCCATTTGCTCACCTCCTGGCTGGCCTGCTTCTTGTTCCAGTAGTCGTCCATGCCCGCCGACGAGGCGAACTCGTATGCTAGGAACCACAGGAGACGCTCAAAGTTGCTCGACACCAGAATATCCATGGCCGGGCTGAGCGTCTCCTTGACACCGTCCGGGTGCGACATGGCACCGTCCACGGCCAGGCCGCCCACAGCCTCCGTGCCCTGAGCTACCTTCTTCTCGTACTTGCCCGACTTCCAGAACCGGTCCAGTATGTCGTTCTCGTTGGTGGCCACAATCAGCTTGTCCACGGGGAGGCCCATGCGCAGCGCAAAGTAGCCCGCCAGGATGTCGCCGAAATTGCCTGTCGGCACTGTGAAGCGCACCTTATCGCCCAACTTGAACGTCGACGATTGCTTGGTCAGCGAGAAGTACGAGTGGAAGTAGTAGACGATCTGCGCGAGGATCCTAGCCCAGTTGATCGAGTTGACGGCTCCCAGGTTGAGCGACTCGTTGGCGTCCTTGTCGGCAAACAGAGCCTTGACGATGTCCTGTGCACGAGCCATGTAAGTTGTGATATTTCTTCTTCATTCTTGCTTTGCTTGGGAAAGGGGAACTGCTGCTCTAATGAAGGCTATGGATGAAGACGTACCTGACAGTCGTCAAAGGTTCCGGTGACGGCAAGGTTGTGAACGTTCTCGTCGAGGACAGTCGTCATTTGCGACTCCTGTATGGGGCTCACGCGGCCCTTGGGGTGGAGGATGAAGACGGAAACGTCCTTCTTCCCGCGCAGACCGTAGATGGCGGCGGAGCCGGTATCACCGCTGGTAGCACCGACGACGGAGAGGTGATGCCTGTCTGTTGAAGAGGGGGAGCAGGGGCGTGTCAGCCGCTTCTGTCTCGCCAGAGAGTTTTACGCACTCTTGTGTGTTCTGTTGTGGACATACCTCTTCCCGTCTTGCCCTTGTTCTTCCTGACGAGGAAGTACTCGAAAAGGTTACCGAGGAACTGCAGAGCGACGTCCTTGAAGGCGAACGTAGGACCGTGGAACAGTTCGAGGAGGTAGAGGTTGTCGCGGAGGTGGACGAGGGGCGTGGTCTCCGGGGCGCGGAAGGTGGCGTAGCTGCGGTTGATGATATCGCGGAGGTCGTCGGCGGGGATCTCGTCGCGCGAGATGTAGAGGCTGAGGATCTCGAAGGCTAGTTCGGGGAAGCTGAGATCCTTCCAGCTTTCTAGGGATTCGACCTTGGGGATGGCCTCCGGGATGTAGAGGCCACCGTCGTTTGCAAGGCCCTTGAGGACGACCTCTTCAAAAGAGAACTAGCAGGGACGAGACGTCAGAGAGTTAGCCAAAACCAAGACCCAGTCTCTCAATGCATCCCGTCCATCATCGAGAGAGAGAGAGAGAGAGAGAGGAAGTATCGGGTGCAAAACATGTCAACTTACCCCCTCATCCTCTCCACGAGTACTCAGGTATCGCTGAGCCTGGGTATGCGTGGCCGAGGAGCCGCCATTTCGGCTGGTTGCACCGTTCGCCGTCATCTTCGGGGTTGGGTGCAAAGGAGAATCAATTTATTCTCTTTCCGTCCCCTTCCTATGTATATTTCGCGGCCGGCTGTCAGACGGGCGGTATCGGAGGGGAAGCGCGGGGCAGAAGGAGAGAAGCGTGACGTTGTTTGGCCGCCGTCCGGCGTCGAAGAGTCGTGTTGGAGATTTGGGGGGGGGAGGAGGGACGGTTGTTGAATTTTTTTCTCGGCGGGGGAGACGGGCCGGTGAGCTTTTGGCTTGATCGAAAGGTAGATTGCTAAGGTGCGTGGTTGGCCTTTCTCTTATACGAGAGAAAAGGGAAGGGGAAGGAAAAAAAAAAGAGGCGAAAGAGGCGAGAGAGGGAGGAGAGGTGGGAGAGGATGAGTCCCCCCGAGGCTCTTTGAAGGATGGTACGAAGTGGGGGGCAGGGCAGCAAGCGCGGGGACCAACTTTTTGCTTCGTTGCGGGCACATTTTTTTTCCCCCCGGGCAGGTGGGGTTTGTATCTCTCAGTATTATTACTGTGAACAATGACTACGGCGCTATTAGGTACTGCTAATAACAATGTCATCTCCTCCCTCACTGCTGCTAAGTCTAGCGGTAACATCACGGTACTAAAACCTCTTGTTCTATGCAGAATGTGCTGTGCGACTTCTTTATATATAAATATGTGATATGTATAATATAATATATATGTGTAGGTTTCCTTTCTCAATGCAACGCTATGAAACCATCCTTGTGACATGATGGAGGGGCAGAGGAGGGGGGGATATGCAGAGAGATGATAGAGGGGGGGGAAGACACCACGAGAGAGACAGGGAGGGGTAAAGAGACAATAGAATCAACAGGTCACCATTCACTTGTCAGGAGATACAAGTGCTCGGAAAGAGAAGAGAGGAAAAAAGGAGAAAGAAAAACAGAAAAAGTGGAAATCGCCAGAGCGAGAAAGGAGAGAAGAATCACTCAAGACGTATTAGTGGACAAAGATCGCTCTTTGGCTCTTCGCACTACTGGAATCAACATGGATAAATTTGGTAAAGCGACCACGTCCCTTCCCCTCATCAATGACGACAAAATCAAACGAAAACGACGCATAGCTATCGCTGCTTCTTTTTGGACTCATGTGTATTGCGTTTCTGTGGACATTCTCAGGATCATACGAGGTCGTAAATGCGTATATCAGGAACCCCTCAAGGATACCCCAAAGGGGAAAGAAAAAGGACTGGGAAAAAAAAATGAATCCCTTGTTTTTTTTTTTTTTTACCTTGTCCCTCCGGTTCACCTCCGATCCACGCGCCCCTCACCTCCCCTCCCATTTTCCATGTCCGTGCCCATTCCCGTTTCCTATCCTTCCTATACCGAGGAGTGTAATGAAAGAAGAAAAAAAGAGAAGAAAAAAACGTCACACCGTTTTCGATCCCCAAAAAAAAAAAAAACAAGCAATGCCCTTATGCGCTATGCCGTATTTAAACAATTCACACCCGACCAGATCCCCCATGTCGGTTGTGAAATTTGGTAAACGCCGCAAATACATGGTGTACACTCGCCTCAAGGCGATTCACGGGTAGCCGGTTAGCCTCGCCCGCTTTTGCTGATCGCGAAGGACTCTAAGACTCTCCGTTGCGACGGCCTCCACGGGCAGGACCTCCGTTGCGGTTGCCACGCCCACGTCCACGGCCGTCGCCTCGGTAGCCGCCACGGCCCCGTCCACGGTGACCGCTACCCTCGCGCTCGCTGCGTCCGCGGTTGCGCTGCACTTGGTGGAAGCCGTCGCCGGGGTCCGCTGCCGCTGCTGTAGGGACCGGAGCCTGCATGCCTCTCATCAGCTTCTGGTAGGCCACAAATGCTCGGGCGCACGGAAATGTCAGTCTCTTACCTGCGCACTAGGCTCGGGATGGTCGTCAGCCCATGACTTCCTGTTAGCTGTCTTGGTGGGAGCAGCAGTGGAGCCAGCTTCCGTCTCGCCCGGGTTGCGGGGCACCTGCACCCAGTCCTGCAAGGTTGACGACGTGTCGTTCTGGGTGTCCCAGTTGGCAGCCGCCGCGGCATTGGCCGCGTCGTCCGCAACCTGCATGTTGCTGATGCCGTTGGTGGCCGTCTCCACGGCGTGGCCGTTGGTAGATGGGGCTCCCTCGGCCGCGATCTCGTTGACCGTGGCGTTGGCAATGGTGGGGTCCGTGGCAACCTCCTTGTCCGTCTCGACAGCCTCAGCGTCGTAGGGCATCTTGTAGGTTCGTGCGATGGTCTTAATCTGGTCGTCTGTGATGCGTGCGTAAGTAGGGTGAACTGCAGTGAGGATGACGACATTGTACACGTACAGTTGGTCTGCAGGAGCTCGCCAGGAACGCTAACAATCCGGTCCGAAGAACCGTTGACCAGCTTCAGCATCGAGCTCACGGCACTGTCGTCGCCTGTGTAGATAGCCAGGAGGACGCCTTCGATGGCCTGGCTCTCGTCGGATTCGGGATCGGCGGCGTCTTCTCGGCGGTAGGCAGCCAGGCGGAGGAACTGGGAGATGAGGAGCAGATTGGCCTTCTGAGTCTTCTCGAAATCAGCCTTGGCCTCGGCGACAGCCTGCGCCTTGGCCTTCTCCACCCTTTGCTCAAGCTCAGCCTTGTCCGCAGCCGCCTGAGCCCGGTACTGCTCATCGATCTTGATGATCTGGGCGAGCTGCTCCTCATACTGAGCAACCTGGGCCTCGAGCGCGGGCTTCTTGAGGATCTGTGTCTTTTGGTCGGCGTTGATGATCCTGGACGCAACCAAGAGGTCGAGGGACTTTCCGGGGTGCTGGGCAAGCAGAGAGTCGGTCTTGGATGCGTTGGCCTGAACGAGATTAGTGTCGTGTGACCAGAAAAGTGCATCTGTGTGCAAAAATGTTTGGCGAGGGGGGAAAAGGAAGAAAAAGCTCACAATCTTCTTGTTCACATTCCGGATGTTCCTATTACATACTGTCAGCTCCGCAAGGCAGAAGATTAGGACTGCCGGGTGACGTTTATTTACTTCTGAAGCTCCTTGATGTAGGGACTCCCGAAGCCATCGTCGGCTGCGGGACCAGAAGCGGTGCTGCGGGCGGGAGAGTCGGTGCGCTCGACAGCCCTAGCCACCTTCTTCTTGGGCGACTTGGGCTGTGTGGGGGCAACGGGAGCGGCCATTTCGAATGTCGGGTGACTGATATGCGTTCGTATGCGAGAGAGAGAGATTTTGGGTGTAGGTATGTGCGAGATGGTGCCCGGTTCTATCGTAGCGGTTACCAGGGTTGTGCAGGGGATAGGGTATGGATGAAAAGAGAGAAGAGATGTGCGATGCGGGAGTATTCCTCGTCTTGGACTGAATCAATGCAGAGGGTCTGCGATGAATATTATACACAAGCTTGAAAAGGAAGAAGAAAGGGTAAGTGAAGGTTGATTGCTAGGATGGCGAAAAGAGTCTGGGGGTGGAGGAGGAGAGGAAAGAAAGTGAAGTGAGGTCAGACCTGGAGTTTTCTGCAGGGAACCTGGTGCTGCTAAGCTGAGGGCTTCTGCTGGCGGCGCCTGGCGGGTTTTGTGGAGTGACGCCAGTCGCCAGCTGTCCACCGGCCGCCCGCCCAGTTCAACAGCCCAGCGCTACGACCCAACCGAGTTCTGTGGATTCTCATAGAAGCGGTAGGAAACATGGCCACCTTGACCCTCAATTGAGTACTGTAGAGTAATGCCTGTACCACTGCTGCATGTGGCTGACTGGCAATATCAATACGATTCATCATCACTACGCTATTCGTACCATTTACCACTTGTAGTTTTGCGGGCGGGCAATCGTACATGTATGCCAGTGAAGCAGGCACAGTACACTGGCAAACACAATAGCTCGGACCCCATTGTGCCCCCCCCCTTCCTTGTGGGCAACATACAGATATCTAGGACGATGCATCCGGACCAGAGTCGCACAAAGCGAATCAAAGACCGCTACCAGCTTGTAGATCAGGTCTATTGTATCCGATACCGTTGTTCCAAGGTCCGCATCATGCTCCTGTCCTCTGCCTGTATTTTTCATGTAACCTCCGTCGGTCTCAATGTGCATCCGGTGTTACCACGTGTCTTTTCACGACGTGAACCTTTCCGCCTCCTGAGAGTTTAGACAACCAGGTGCACGTCGGTATTCCAAATGGAATACCCTATGCATAATGCCGGCGCCCCCATTGCTTTTCCGTGTCGTTGGGAGAAAATTCCCCGGAGTTTGTGCATCAGGCACTGGAGCTCATCTGTCCAAGAAGTCATCTCGCATCCCGCCCCCATTCTTTTTCGAAAAGAGCCCGGCGATAAGGGGGGAGTTCTCGCAACGGCGCGTCGTCGGTAAACCTCCAAATCGATCGTGTAGGGGGTCGCTGGGTGGCTTAGCCGTGCTATGATAAGGTCGTCTATAGCTGTTGGGCATTTTCAACCCTTGAATTTACCCAGAGTATCCTGGATTGGCGAGTTAGCGATAGTCGTGTCGACAATAACCGGTACGCATTACATACCCTCGTGACCTTCTTTACGCTCCTAGCTGCTAGGCCACGCTCGCCAGACTGCTTTGAGTGGATGGCGGCTTCCTTGACAAGACTGCCGGCTTGATCAGTACCCTCGTCATGCCCAGGAGAGAAGGACGTATACTCACGACTCCATAAAGAGGACATAGTTGAGATAGATCTGCGGGAACCATGTCAGCAAATTGTTGGCGATGGATGTCGAGAGCAACAACGCGTCTTACGCAACATACCGTGACATCAGCATTCTTCTTGATATTCAGGTTCGAGTGCGCTTTGATGATTTTCTTTATGGTTGCCTTGGGGTAGGGCTTCTTTCCGACGAGAGCCATGATGGATATTATTGTTGATAAATGTCGAGAGCTTAAAGAATGATGTTAGAGCATAGGTAACGATGCGATAACAGACCAGAGCGCGTCTCTCTTGAATGTTGTGTGTGGAGAGACTGAGCGACTGACCAATCGGCAGTGGCTATTAGGCAAGGCCAGTTAACGACGTAATAAATAACACCCGTGCTCGTATTTCCTTCCTACTGGCAGAGTTTATTGGGATGGAGGGGCGGCATGGAATAGACTGTGCCTATAAAGTACAAACACAGTCTAAAAGCACGGTACCCCACCACGCAACGCTGTTCGAAGCTTTTGACACTGGTGCTGTGTTGCGCCAGCCAAAGCTCCCTGGGCTACTTTGACTCTGCGCAACCAACTGTCCTTCGTTCTTTCTGCCTATCATGTCTGGAATACTGGGGCGTCGCATGGTAAGTAAAGATCTGTGCAAGTCTCACGAGTGGCCAGACTTCTGACAGACCTGTGCAGCTCTCCAAGGCCGAGGAGGAGGGGTCAGACGAGGTCGAGGTCCGTCGTGAGGACCAGGACAAGATCAACCGGTTCAGCCGTCTGCATCAACGCGAGCTGGTCCTCAAGGAGCAGCTTGAAGGCAAAAACGCAAGTCACCTACACAGATACCGTCCTCGACTCCCTCCCAACACCCCGAGATTGAGAACCAGCTCTGGCTGACCTGTGTTTGTGTGTGTACAACAGAAGGAGAAGGAGGAACTTGACGACCTCTCCACCGAGCTCGAGCTAGCAGATGAAGACGAAAAGATCCAGTATGTCCTACGATCCTGCGAGATACACATAGACGAGACGGGCGGTGTGCTGACGGTGTTGTCCAAAGATACAAGATCGGCGACTCATTCTTCCACGTACCCCTGGAGCAGGCTCAGGAGATGCTAGGATCAGCCACCGAACGAACAGAAGAGGAGTCGGACGCGCTGGAGGAGAAGTTGAGCAAGATTCAGGACGAGATGAAGCAGCTCAAGGTAGAGCTCTACGCCAGGTTTGGCAAGCAAATCAACTTGGAGACCTAAGTGGTCGATTTCTTTAGGCGCACATCGTACATGCTGTGGTTTCCCCGCCTCTGTACGGTTCTTCTCATTTCTCTTTGAGAGAGTGCGTCTGAATGTCGTAAATTTTCTCTCTTTGATCCTGCTCCTCTACTTTATCCCTGCAGTAAAACCTTTCCAAGAGGCAGATCAGCACATTCTTTATTCATAACGCCGTAATTAAGACATGAGTAGGATATATGTCATGATTGTACCACCTACAGGGACAAGAGCAAAACAACAACATGTAGTCACGTGCAAGCGGGGAGGAAATTACAAGACAAGGCTTGCAAATCTTCGACCAAGCAGCCCAAAAAAAGGGCCGGAGGACGTGCGCAGAATGGCGGGAATAAGAGCCAATGACAGACACGGCTATTGACGGGATTCCCAGTCTGTAAGCCGGATGTGGGGACGTCCGATTCCATTTGCATATCATTACTACTACCACGTCCGCGCTCAACCCCGTTGTCCTGTATCTTTTGATAGCACGATACAGAATGTAGCTGATTTTACTTTTATTCTCCCTTTTTTTTTTTTGCTTCTCTCCAAAGACAAAGTACAGGAGCCGTCAGGGAGCACGTTATGACCAACTAGAAACAGGAGAATGAAAAGGAAGGCCGCCGGTAACAAGACCGGTCAATCCTTTGATCCGATGCCGGCTCGCCCCTCCCAAACCCCCGCGGGATGCAATGGTGGGTTACATACACCGGTGCTCTATCCGTCCCATGGTCCCATGAGATTGCGACAGCGCATATTCGTCGGTGCTAGTAATGGAACTCTCGTACTCGTACCATGTGCCTTGCCGATTAACAGCCAATCCAAGCAGCAGGGTGCCGGTTTTCCCGTCCTGCCATCCACTTTCTGATCTTATCGGGGGGGGGGGGGGGGGTTCTTTTTTTTTCCTGTCTCAAAAAGTACCGGAGGGCACATCTAGAACCGACCAAAGGGAGGTGTACGGTACATGACCAATCTCTCTCTCTCTCTCCGCCACTTTTGACGTCGGTCTCTCCCGTCTTCCCTCCTTCCTTCCTTTATTGATCTTCACTCCCTGGGAGCGCGCGCACACACACACACACGCACGCAAGATCTCTGCACACTCCCGCTGGCTTGTTCCATGACTTAGTTCTTGTCTCATGCTGAATTCCATGGTATTGCACTGCTCTTGGCAAGAAACAGTTTGGAAGTAGTTGGTGGTCTTTTGCCAGTAGCCAGCAGGCGCTGGGAAACCAAGATGGCTTATACCGAGAGCCAGATCAGCGACGCCATTTCGGATGGTACGCAGTATGAAGATCGTATGTCTCTCCCCCCCTCTCTCTCCAACCTGTACCCTCTCTTCTGCTCTTTCCTCCCCTTTCCTCCCGAAAACTGACGATATCAAGGCGGCAGAGAGAGAGCGTCAATTCAGGAAAACATTCACCGACTAGAGCAGATTGAGTCTCAATACGAAGAGGAAGATGTCGGTAGGGGTATGGGTGCTCTGCACCACATTCGTTCCAGGACACGAAGTCGAGGACACGGCGACGACAATGTCATCGGGTGGAAGTACAAGGACGCTGACGATCCATACAATTGGCCAGCGGTAAGTTCTCTCTTGTGTGTGTGCACTCGTATCAACATACTCGTTGCATCATTTCTCAAGTCTGACATCCCTGCTTGTAAAGCCCAAGAAAGCAGCCATTACTTCCCTGACCGGCCTCCTTGTCATCAACTCGACCGTGGGATCTTCCCTCCCCAGCATGGCTGTACCTAAGATGGCTGAGCTGTGGAACGTCACCTCGCACGAGCAGATGGTCCTTCCCATATCCGTCTACCTGATCGGCTACGTCGCCGGCCCCATGATATGGGGACCCCTCAGCGAGCATCTTGGGCGTCGGAACCTGACCATCATCACATTCATCTGCTTCTCCCTCTTCACCATGGCCTGCGGCTTCTCACCCAGCTGGCCGGCGCTGCTGGTGTTTCGCCTCTTCTGCGGTCTCTTTGGAAGCTCGCCAATTGCCATCGTCGCGGGTATACTGGCTGATATGTACAACGATGCTAGGGAAAGGGGAAGAGCATTTTCAATCTTCATGGTGGTGAGTAGACTGCCAAGCCAAAGATTTCCTTCTTTCCGCAACGATTCAAGAAGATGACTTGTCTGACACACAAAAATGGAATGCAATACAAGACAACCGTTTTTGGTCCCCTATTGGCCCCCATCATATCAGGGTTCTGCTCCGACACCATCGGCTGGCGCTGGACCTTCTGGGTGGCCGTGATGCTATGCGCCGTGACGCTTGTCGCCCTCGTGGCCTTTCTCCCCGAGACGTACGGCCCCATCCTGCTGCACCGGCGCGCCATCCGTATGCGCAAGGAGGACCCCAGCTCCCGGGTCATTGCGCCGCGCGAGCTCGAGACGACCAACATGTCACACCTGTTCACCGTGGTGCTGACACGCCCGATCCGCATGCTCTTCTCCGAGGCCATCGTGTCGGCCACGTGCGCATACCTGGCTCTCGTGTACGCCATCTTCTACATGTCCTTCCAGGCCTTCCCCATAATCTTCCGCGACCTGTACGGTCTCTCGACGGGAGTCACGGGTCTGTGCTACCTCCCCATTGGCGGCGGGGCTATGCTGTCACTCCCCATATTCTGGACCTGGGACCACATACTTTCCCAGGCCGTCGCCCAGGGCAAGCCCTGGACCAGGCGAGAGGAATTTCGCCGCCTGCCGCTTGCCCTGCTCGGCGGGCCCTTATTCGTCGTCGCCCTGTTCTGGCTGGGATGGTCCGCAAAGGCCGACACCTCCTTCGTGGCACCCATGATCGCCGGCGTGCCCTTTGGCCTCGGCTTCATGCTCATCTTCATGGCCCTGCTCAATTACCTCACCGACGCCTACGACTTCTTCGCCGCCTCCGCAAATGCCGTCGCCTCCATGTGCCGGTCCCTGCTGGCCGTCGTCCTGCCCCTCGCCACCACTCCCATGTTTGCCTCGCTCAAGATCTCGGGTGCCTGCTCGCTCCTCGGTGGCCTCAGCGCGGGCATGTGCGTCATCCCCATCATCTTCATATGGAAGGGCCCTTCCATCAGGGCGAGGTCCAAGTTCTGCATCGCCCTCACCGAGAAGAGGGAGCATGTCGCACGTAAGCTCGAGGAGGAGAGGTTGAAGCTCGAGAGGGAGGAAGCCAAGGAGAAGGGCGAAGAGGTCTGATTGGTTGCCATATACCGGCAGTACACTTCGAATAGAAAGAAGGCGAATAATTCTTCCTGTTTGGTTTTTCATCTTTAGGTAATCATGGATAATTGGGAAAGAGAATAGTGATGGGAGTCATGGTCGGCATACCCTTGTCGTGAATTGCATAGTTAGCCTACTACTGGAATGAGTCGAATTGCGAAGTCTTTTTTTTGTTTGTTTGTTTTTACAAGTATTACTGAAAGACACAGAATACACGGCGTGCTCGACCACCACCATCTCGATCAGTCTCTACTCGTACACCTCTGGCATCATTCGACGTCTGATTTTCCGTAGGACCGCCCCTAACCTGATATAAAACGTTCTGAACCGACCTGTCTTCTTCGATATAGCAGAATCAGTAACCCAAGACACCTGGCCTTCAGCAGACACTTGATGGATGGCGAAGTCTCTGACGCCGACGCCGTCTGTAGCAGAAGCAAGTCTATTCCTTTCCTCCCGCTCGTGTGCAGGATATCTTGCCCACGATGCCGGGGGCGTAGAGAGTCTCCATGACTTCCTCTTCCCTTCTGCCCTGCTGCTGCTCCGTGACACTCCTGCATAATCTGATTTTGACGAAGTGGGAGTGGCGTTCTTTGGGGAACACTCTGCCACATTGCATCGTGAATGCTGGGACGATCCATCGTGGAGGGCGGCGGACCTGTTATCACCGCTGGCGGGCTGGTGAGACGACGACCACCGTGAAGAACTGGTGTTAGGTGTCCGAGCACGTGTAGAGGAACTGCCCCGTCTGCGCTCGTCGTCGAGCCTTATTGCTCTCCGCCACAGCTCCACAGTCTCCTCATCCATCTCCGGGCGGGCACTGTTAATGGAATGAGACGGGCTCCGGCTCAGATGCGACATGTTCTCCCCCGAGCTCCTAGACGCCGGCAGCTCGATCCCCGCGGCATGATGCGTTGTGCCATCTTCGGTGTCACCCAGGATGCCGGAGCCATAGCTTTGTTGGCGGTCGGTCTCTTGCGGTACCTCCAGATGGATCGTGGGTATCGGCGGCGCGGCGGACCCTGATGGTGCTGTAGACATGTTTCTGTGGCAGGGACCACTGCCGGGAGACCCCTACCGGAAGTTTCGTCCGTCTGGCTTCTGTTCTGGTCCTTTCCCAATGATGAGGAGTTTAGCAGTTCCTGAAGACTCGGTAGGTTAAGCAGGCTCAGGCCGCAGTCAGTCGGCGCCGGTTACCTGCGACAACGTGTCTGGCAAGCACAGAGCAGATTCATATATGGCAAACATCCATCCGTAGCTGGGCTTGAAGCTTAAACGCGACGGGTAGGAATCCATGCAGGTACCATCCCCCAACGGCAGAGTCCTGGGCCAGCATAGACCGTGACGTGGGCCGCTCTGGGTCAGCTGCACGGCAAGCATACGGCAAAGACCATCATGGCTCTTGCTAATACCTGGAGCTGAGCCATATCGACACATGAGCCGTGATGAACTATGACAGATGGTAGGACGCGCCTTCCATGAGTGATTCGCGCCATCTCTTCAACGGAGTGCTGCGCCACTAAGGATCATGAAAGGCAGGCTGAGGTGAAGATGAAAAGGTGAAGCTGCACTTTATGGGGCCACCCCACTTGGGAGAAGAAAAAAAGAAAGAGACAGAGTGAGAAGTCACATCAGGGAAGGCAGGGGAGGCGGTGTCTTTCATCTTCTATCTTTCCCTTTTGAACGGAAGGTGGTGCTATGGGGTTTCCCGATTATCAGAGGGATGGAGCAAACCGGCTGCCGCGTGCATACATCACATTACACGTAATATTACTACATATACGTGTAATACGGCGCTGCTGCTGATACAGCAGAAAGTGTCCGAGTCGGAGATAATTGCAACGCCAAGTAGGCCTGTGATAGCATGGCACAGAGGATCATATCAAGCAGCTGGTCATGGCGTGCTTGCATTAGTACATGTGCAATGCCTGATGTCTGGTTACGTGGCTGTGATACCCTCTTTTTTTTTTTTCTTTTTTTTCTTCGTGTGGCGGACGATTATTACCGGGTATGCTATTGCTGTGAGTTAGTCGTACTGTCTGAGGGAGACGCACATACATAAACATGTACGGAGAGTTGGGTCTTGACGGATTATCGCTACAATACTACATGTTCTAGCGATATTGACCAATACCTCCTGGTTCGGGTTGTCTGGTAGGAAGAGAAGCGTCAAGAGTGGCGAGAGCCGTGGTAGCCTGCCTGTAGGTAGCGGCAGTCGTATGTGACCTGGTCTGATACTTACAAGTTACTGATGGGCGGTGGCTGATAGAGGTAGTGAGTAGTATTATTACTATCATCATTGTCATCATCATCATCATCATCACTACTAGCAGTATTATTCTTCACTGCAATAATATTCCGTTGTCCCGATACACACTTGCAGCCGGAAATACTCGTACGATAACTTACTAGTGATAGCACATGGGATGGCCTGTAATATGGTATTATTCGTAGTTTTTTTCTTGCAGCTTCTCAAGTCCGAATACGAATGAGAACAACACTCACATCCCACACAGCGGTACACGTGAAGAGCAAGACATTGCAAAGGACCCCACAGTTGTCAGACCAACGGCGATATTGCATCGAGACCAGGGAATTAGCGCCAGGTTCGGCTCGGCAGCCAAATGGCGCAATGCGACGGCGGCTATTACTTTTGCTGCGATAGACTGTAGTATTACTTTAGCGTTTATGTTAGTTTCTTCATCTTTTTTTTTCTTTTTTCTTTTCTAGGCTAGTGATATCACCGTATTGATTTTTTCTTCTTCTTCAAGGGACTCGGCAGGATGGAAGGAGGACCCTGTACCTGTACCCATTCTGCGGCTCG